GGTACAACTAAATTATTTAAAAGAATATTTTAGATTTTTAATTTGAAACGTGTAAATACAAACATACTATTAGAGTCAAAATATCAGATCTCATCAATATTAGTCAGGGTTAATATTATGGGTACTAGACAACTCATATAATTACAGTTTTTTATTGTAAATTAATACTACATACCTAATATACATAGAAAAACCGTAGTCGGCTTTGTATAAATATAAATAATGCCTAGGTGTTAAGTAACTATATCACACAGGACAATAGAAACAGAGTCATCTAGTCTCAACCTAAGCAAAATTTGTGTTATATGTTATTAGACAACTGATACAAATACATTACAAAACGTACAGTACCACAAACTTGTCCAACCTGGTGACTGAAACTTGAACTAATGTCGCCATTTTGAAAAGGGTAAAAAACATTTACCAAAATGACATTAACATTTCAAAGTCAAAGGTGTCCAGAACAAGAATCAAAGAAGGCTTTAATAATCACTGATTCAATGAATAATTATGATCATCAGCCATTTTACGAGACCTCTGTAAATATTTGCCATGCTTTCTATAAATATTGTAGAACATAAATTATTACATACAATTCAATCAAAGTACATTCGGTAAAGGTTCCATGGGTGTGCAATTAATCTTTCTGCGGAGTTAAGACTATGGCAAACTACATCGTAATTAGTATTTGTATTTCTAATAAACATGCATAATAAATCACTTAACTTGATAGGTCGTATACAATATTTTACAACAATATTTCATATAGAATATTAGTGTACTTATTTACATTATCGATAACCCATTGTTGTAATTAACTTATAGACTATTGTGCCTTCATGTCGTTTCAGAGTAGTGAATTCTATTGTGAAAAATGATTTGTAACTTTACGTAGTAAACTCTTCAGAATATCATAAAATATGCCGACCACGATAAGCCGTAATCTATGTATAATGGTATATATTTCCAGTTTAATCTCATTAGTACTTGAGACAAAGCTAGGTACTTATAGTACTGACGTAGGTATCAAGAAAATTGACTCTTTAATAATGACAAACAGATCGTCATCAGTTAGAATCTCAGGGCATGACGCATTAGTTATGTTATTTTCTAAACAAAAAACGTTTTCGTCCTCTTACTGTAAGTAGGGTTTTTTTTTTCTCTTTTTAAAAATTGTGCCAAAAATTATATGTACAAAGATCAATGTTAGGTACTACATGTACATATAGTTGTTGTTTTTATTTATCAGCTGTAATAATATTACAGTTGTCGCTTAGGAAACTTTGGAGATTTAGAATTACAGCAGGGGTGGTCTAACGGTTTAGCTTACTACATCGACATACTTCCTTAATGATCATTAATTTAATTCTTCGCACAGTACATATATTTGTATTCAAGAATATGATTGTTTGTATAGCTTTTGGTGTTCTGCGTAAATTGAATATTTTCAAAAAAAATTGTCTATGTATTTATTTGTCTAGCACCCGTAACATAGGGCTGGCTTAACTGGGGAGTAGATGGTGCTCTGATGATTCTCCTGAGGTATTATTATTATATTCATTAGGTAGATTAACCCAGTTTTTCACAAATTAACTCTTTCATATGATTACTTGAATATTTATCTTATCTTTATATTTCTTTACATATAATAAAATCGTGACGAAGTGAAAACTGTTTGCGTTAATGTGTTTTACGTAAAAACAGCTGGAATTTATGTAGAATACATATATTTAAATGCGAGTCATATAGGCACAAGATATATTAGAAAAATAGCCCCCGAATATGTACATATAATTAGTAATATTACTCATTATTTTTAAATATATCATCAAATATTGTTAATTAATAATAATTCATTAAAATAAAATAATATAGTGTGTACGAATGTTTAATATTTAAATATTTTTAACATTTGATTATTGTCTATGAATGTTGTCTAAAATAGGATACGCAAATTGTATCCAACAAGTAGGTACTAGGGCCTACACTATCTAAAAAAACAAAGTTGACCCATGTATGCATACAAATAAAATTGGAGTGTGTGTAGTAAAAAACGGTTACTTCAAGTACTAGTACACTATTGAAGTAACCGATTTTACTACATACATAATATAAATACGGTGCATACATAAAAAATTATGGCTGGACCGATTTTGACGCGAGTTTTTTGGCAGGTAGCTGATGTAATAATGAGTAATTTAGGCTACTTTTGTTTTTAGAATAATAAAATAAATTCCACGCGGACGAAGTTGCGGATACAGGTAGCTACAAATAAAAGAATTAGTCAGGATAATCATATTGTTGCAATTTAAAGGTAGCTAATAACTTGTTATTATAAAGCTGTGTAGAGGTGAGGATGGGTCTTAAATGGTTAATTGTGTTAGTAGGTTGCAAAGCGCTATAGCTTGCTACCTCTTGATATCTTAAGAATCCTCTTACAAGAAGATTCTAACCGCTTACTGGTCAGAGATAGTTCATTCAAAACTTTAGGCTAGCCTTAGTGTTGTGTTCACCACGGCGTCGATAGATGACAATTAAATAATAATTCAGAGATAGGTACTGATATGTATTTATTGTATTTAATAATTGTTAGACAATACAGGTGTAATACGGCACGCTATTTTAATATTTGCGGTTGACATACAGTTTACATTGAACAATCGGCAATAACAGCTCTACAATGTGATTATTTACATTTATGTTTGTGTAAGCCACAGATTATATGCATATATGACTATGTATTTTAATACATTCTTTAAACAATCCCTCCAGATAACTTGCAGAACAGACACATCAAGCTTCTTTTTACTACAATATTCTTTTCAGCTACAAATAGTGCTTATCTATGAATAGACATTGATTATCTATAAAATACATATATCATATTCTTGTATGTAATACAGTATATTATATTCCCACATTTAATATGTTATAATCGATATAATTGCAAATTGTATTCTTGAAACCGTTCAACTATATTTACTAGGTACATCGAATAGATACATTGATATATAATACATACTCGGCGCTCATTGGAATACATACTTTAAGTCCTTTACTACTATACTATTGCTTAAATATTATTTAGATATAATTGAGATTGTTTAAATATGTATCAATTCAGTTCAGCTATATTAAATGGTATACAGGTAGTGTACTGATGAAACCTGCTCATAGTATTGTTTGGCGGGTTGAGACAGGTCGCCAAACACTCGGCGTGGGACTCGAAATTATTCTGGTTGCCGCCGCAGCCCGAGTACAGCCGACGCTTGCACGTCCTGGAAATCAAACGATCATATTATTAGTATCATTTCTATGCATATACGAGCATACACTAGCTAACACCGCCTCAGAATTAAATAATATCAAAGGGTTTTTTAAGTTTAGATACGCAATTAATTTCTGTAAGCACAGGTTTGATAGGTACGAACAGTTTTTATGGAAAAATAAAATTGTTGTTTTTACTATTTTCCATGCAATTTCATCATAATTTCTCACCACTTAAAATTTCCTTGTTTGAAGAACTCGAATTCTACAAACAAGTAATTTCATTTGCATTCTGTTATCGTAGTTAGGATATGTAATAATATTGCTGAAATATTGTTGTGATGAACGCAACATTTACATGCCAAAATTTCGCTGAATATATTTGAATCCAATGAAAAGAGATAGGAGCGACTCTGCCATCTCTCGAATTTAATTTTGGTATTTCTGTATCATCTTTTACTTCGCCGGTGAGTCATTAAAAATATAAATTAACGCACAAAAATATTTTTTGTGTTCGTCATATTTGATTTTGATTGAGAATATGATTGTTTGTATTGGTATATACAAAAAATACATCTTATTTGTATCAGTTGTCTAGTATTCATAACACAAGCTCTGCGTAGTTTGAGACTAGATGGCGCTGCTTGTATTGTCCTGGGTGATTATTATTATTGTCATTAAGAATGTTATTAAATTAAGAACAATGGGTCTGCCGCTGCAATTATAATATTTGTACGAATTCAAATGCATGTCTACCTGTCTCACCTGTTCGGTCACAATATAGCTTGCTTTAGAAATGTTTCAATTTAAAGTACGAGATATTACTGTGAAATTGTAAGATATGGAAGCACCACATCTTAGCCCCCAGAAAAGGCAGGGGTACAGTAGGTGTCACGTGACGACAGGATGTCTCTTGCATTCGTATCCTGCGTATTCGTATCAATGGTCTGCTTGGTTCATTACAGCAAAACTTACATATGTAATAATGATATGTATATAATATAACACTTACTTCGCATATTTATCCCAAGTCCATCGGTTGTAATATCCAAAGCAGTTTCCATAATCAAACGAGAGAGAGCAGAAGAAAGGTATTTGTTCTGTGAATACAAATAATACAAATATAAATATATAAAAATCTTGCAACATAAATATCTATCACGTTCAACTGGGTTCAACTTACGTCTAGGCGATGTAGTGTTAATGTAGCAGTATTCTAAGCATTCATTTTTTGATTCAAACTTGTTTCCGTTACCCTGGCATCCACCCCAAAAAAATCTATAGCATTTTCTTTGCTTCACATCAAAGTACCATTGAATTATATCAGCCCGACATGGCCCAGTGTCAGGACGAAGGAAACAAGTTTTGTGCCGGGCTGAAAAAACAAAAAAGGATTTTTAAGGGTTAGAATTATCATAACATTCCTTTTTGTATGGTCAACCACATCTGGCCACTAATCTTTTGACTGTATCTGCTGTTATAAGTCTGGTCGCTTAATAGATTAATAAATTTTAAAGTAGGTTGTCATTTATTGATTTTATTGTGCTATTAATTAGGTTGTTAAGAAAAGTGTGTTCCAGCGGTCCACAACAAATAAATTGGCGGCGTTAAAATACTCGACTTTGACAACCTCAAACCACAGTTATTGCATATTAAACGAAATCAATATAGCGTATATATTATTAATTATATATTATATTAATACCTCGTAAAGTATTATCCAATTGCATACAAATTGTCTTGGTCCCAGGATTAGTTGTTGTTTTGCGCCTATGATAATCGTAATGTGACTTTCTTTTGCCCTTTCGCCCGACAGACATAGAAACTAAAAACAAAAACACCAACAATAAACATTTTTTATATCCTTTGAAACAAACAAATTTCATATGTATACTATATAAAGTTTAATACGTAAATAAAAAAATTACAGAAAATAAGGAAATGTACATAAAATATTTTTATTAGCTACAGTTACCCGTATAATGCAGTAAAAAGAAAATTGGTAAGTTAAGCCAAGACTTGTAGTGTACTTTTTTTGTTAACATTTGTGATATTGAGAATGAAAATATTTGTACACCTCTCTAAACTCAGTTCTATATAAATAGGTATCATACAAAGACTGTTTCTGTTTTCGCGCTTTTTTTTACAAACTATTCTACTGCCGCTGGCGCAGCTGGGCTTTGCAGAGGGGACTCCAAATCCGCGGAATTACTTATGGAGCAGTTGAGGGCGTTTTCTGAAAGATTTTCTCCAAGATTTTATCAAATATTGATATGATTTATACTTCAATTTCGATAATTACTTCCACAAGGTACAGTTAACGGCCATGTTAAATATTATTCGTAACAATAGTTTTAAAAAGTGTATTACTACCTAGTTGTTGCAAATGATACAAAACTTATTATATAATCAACATAAGTTGACATAAGATCATAAAAGTTAATTAATTTGATGTGAAGTACATGGTACTGCATGATAAAATAATCGGAATATAGGCATCTGTATTTACAAATTTGAGAGCAAAAATATTTGTAGCTTTACCCATGGATTTTAAGAGTTGTAAGAGTTAAATAGGCGAATGCTGCTTCTCCGGCGGCTCCCCTGCGTGCAACAGAATTGTTAACGGCCGCTCGGGTGACGCATCGGGTGAATCCGAAGTTGACGCAGAGGCTGAAGCATCAGGCGACACTGACGCCGATGCCGATGCATCAGGCGATACTGACACCGACGCCGATGCATCAGGAGACACTGACACTGACGCTGACACATCGGGCGACACTGATGTTGATGCTGACGCAGACACATCCGGCGACACCGATGTTGACGTCGACGCATCGGGTGACGCTAGCTCTGAATCCTGTTCGGTCGATGTTATTTGCTGAAATAACATAATTCCATAATTGATTATCAAAAATTTTGAATATAAAGAACTTTGGTTAGCAGCCCTATGTATATCCTAATATATAAAATTGTAAACGAACCGTCTGTAATTTACATATTAAATCATAGAAACGGGATAATTTATAAGTTGCACTTCTCATTAAATAAATTTATTTCTCCCGATATTTGCGTATTTGGTCGTATTTTTTAGGTCTTCCTTTGTGAAGGATGATGGGCAAAAAATACAAGACATATTGTCTTTTAGACATATAGCATACATATATAATAGACATATTATCTTATGTTAATGAACAAAAAAAGTATTTCGGATTTTTATCTGTTTATCTGTAAGTTTGTTCATCCTAACCTCAGAAACGACTTTTAATTCGTTTTTCACTGATGAATCTGAAATCCGAATATCTTGAATACCACGACTAAGTAAAAGTGTACGAAATTAATACCAATTCATCCAACTTAATTTTTCAAATCTTCGTGGCTTAATTGTTGCGCTAAACCATTGCGGTTTAGCGCAAAAATTAAGCCACGATGCGATGGTCCTAGGTTCGATTCCTCAAACAAACATTTGTATTGATTGTTTGTGTTGTTCGGAGTGTTTTCTATGTATTTATAAGAATGGGATTGTTACCAGTAGGGACTAGTGGTCCCAGTGCTAGAAATAGAATAAGGGTTATTATGATTATTATGATGACAACTGGATGTTATAAAGGTTAAGTTACATAAATATTAATCATAGTTTTTTATTATTTATTAGCAGACAAAGTATATATATATCATTCACGTATTGTCAAAAACCTGACATAAATATCAGCTATATTTTTGGACAGGTATAGTCCAATTGAATAATTGTTATTACCACAAATATGTCACCTGTATTTCTCTATTTCTATTAGCCCTTCGGCGATTCTTCTTCCGACGCTCCACATGTTTAAGACAGTGTTCGCACTCGGCTTCACTGGACTCGGAGTCTGTATCTTCAAATTTCTGTTTGTGCCTTTGAAAAATACAGCAACCTGCAAGTGAAGTCAATAATGATATAAATAAATTACATTAGACAACTCATACAATATCGTCTAGTGCCAAATTAAAACTTGAACTGTGTGGTAAAACGAACAAGTTGTCATACGATGAATTTATGAATATTTTTTATTTATTGTGCGGAAATTGAACTAGCCGCCATCTGAAAGTAAGGTAATGTGTTAACCTGGTACAAGGGGGAAAGGGGGTTGTTAGTAGTGGGTACTATATAGGTGTACATTGATACTGGTGACCCCACTAGTAGTATCTCAGGCTGACTTCCACGCGGTCCCCCATGGAATACATAATAATTAATACCTGGTGAATTTGTCACGATGGACTAACAGATCTGACCTCATTCTCATCTTATTATCCTTCACTGGTGCCCCGCCAATATATACTGCTAGCGCAATCGCACAACATTCTATTATTCTCCATTATAAAAAAACCTGGTACATAACTAACTTAGTCAATTAAATATAAAAAAAAAACTATATAAAATTACACAAATCATAAAGGTCGAATATCTAAATATTCGACTATCAAAACTGCGAGGCTGATAAAACCAAAGACGCATAAAATATATTGTACTTCAAGTAAAGTAATACATTTACCCTTTCCTGGAAAAAAAAAATAAATAAAACCAAATAATATTTTTCAAAACAGTGTATACATCTCACTCACTCCTGTCTCCCATTGGGATGGGAAGAGACTCGCAAAGAGGAACGCCAAAATCTTCGATACATATATATACTGCTTTTTTTCCTTAACATTCATCAATCTATTTATACAAGTCCACTGGTTACGGGTACTTTTTAATTGGCCCTTTTGCAATACCAATGTACCTATTTGGACGACGTCCTATGGCGTCTCCCACCATCATTTTTATTCTCGTTGAATATATCTCATTCGTACATCCTTTCCATATGCCTAATCCAGCGTAACATGTTTCTTTCGATTTTTATCACCACACAATCTTTCAATTTTCAGTTATCACTTACGACACGATTTGTCATTCTCTCTCTTTTACCGTCACGCCGCCTACACTTTTCAATACTCTCATCTCCACAGCACTAATATTGCTTTCTTGCTTCCTCTGCCATTCCCACATTTCACATCCATATTTTTAATGTTGGTGCTACTCTATTATGACAAGGTGAGTTTTTACACACACATTTCCTTTTACTCTCACACTTTCCATCCCTTATAAACAAACAAACTTTAATACAAAACTTATGAATACAAATGTCTGTATTGGGTGCACTACTGGACTACAAGGTTGTCCTTAATAGATTTTTTTGCATACTCTGCGCTTGGTCTATACTAAAATAAAATAGCCTGTAATTGTTAATTCGTGTTTAATACTAAAACTGCAGGGTGCTCTTATAGAATCAGTACTCGTTTACATAACTACTATTATAACTAATGTGATTAATTCTAACACAAATAAATTATTAGGTTTTCGACTCTTAATATTTAATTATAAAATACATAAAATCCTTAGGATATTAAGATGATTTACATTTCGATTTCTTCTTGGTCATGTTCTCGTTGTCAATGGTGTCCTCGGACCAGCCAACTTTCTTGCGAGGATGATCACGTTTTGGCTGCAATGTCAATACCGCCGGTGGTTCCACAGTCTCCTTTTAGAATATACATAGCATGTTAAATAAATTATGTAATCCTCAGGTATAGAGAAAGAACTGAAAATTTATAGTTACTGTAGATTTCATAACTTAAATATTAAATAAACAACAGATCTTTTATCTAGCTGGTACAGACTAATTGATTGTACAATGCAAATTGGTATATTATTTTGGTTTGCTCATTTACCAATGAACAAACCCAAGTCCAATATTTCGCACAATATATGTAAGTTGCAATCTCCAACTATGGATTTGGATCATTGCAACTTAAAGCAAAATTTGCTATAGTACAACGCTCAGTATTTATATATATTCTGTTATAATGTGATTTCTAATATTACATATTTCATATAATATCAAATAAAACATAAAATATTAGAAATCACATGTAATGCCAGTCAGTCAATAGGCTTCCAACTCTCCGCCGAGACTCTTAAACTGTATGTAATAAAATATAATTATATTCTAGTATTTAAGCTTTAAATTGAGAATCTAGATATGGGAACTAACAAAATATCCTTTAAAATAATTCCTTCATCTTACCAGAAATATTTCATTCTATTTATAGACATATTAGACAAAGAAAAATAAATTCTAAGGATATTTTATAAAACGCACAGCAAAAAGTGATACACTTTTTAACTTGATTCCATATATAATCAGCAAACTAGAATCCGTAGTAGACTTTTAATGATAAAGGCATCCAACCCAAATACTATAGTCGGGAATTAAACTTACCTGACATATGTAGAGAAACTATCAGCTTTTATAAAATAAGAAAGGTCCAGTGGTCGCAAGCTCTCACCCTATAAGGAATTAATTAATGTCTGCTTTTGTGTTTTCTTTATAGTCACAAAAAACTGACATATTTCTTAAAAATATTATATCTAAACTATGTTATAACTTTATGTAAAAACTAAATAAAAAGTACTAAATTATGCATAAAATATTCCCATTTATTGTTTAAATTATATCTCAAATATAATTATAATAAATTCTCATTTCAAAATTACATTAGTATTTAATGTCTTGTAATCAATGGCAGATTCCTTCCTTTACCGCTATCTGCTAGTTCCAACATAATATAGAATACAATTACATACTTGCAGGCATACATGATACATTAGTACTCTCGAACAGCGAAGTACAACGCCAGCGGTGACTCTGCTTAAATCGCCTGGTAAAACTAAAACTCTTACCGCTTGCTGTTGTGGGGTGACAGTTGTCAACCCGGAACTTGTAGAAGCTACATCTTCTGGTTGCATTATTTGCTGATTTTCTGCCATATCACTATTGTACATACACTATATCAATTAATACTTATTAGCACTAATAAGAATAAATTGGACAAACTGGATTTAATAAAATTATAACAACGCCCAATGAATATATTACTTTACTTGTTGCTACGACCACGGACGAAGTGCATCTAGGCTTGCTAGGGCTAGCACTATCGATTCTCTATACGACCCCCCCGTGGAGGGTGTAGGCAGGGTCTGGGGGAGCTCCCCGTTGCCACGGCAATATCCACCGAGGCCAACTACCCCCGGGTCACTGGTACTATATTCTTGTGTGAGTTATGATTCTCTATGTAGTCACAGATATAATTAATATTCACTATGCACTTGCAATGCAATTCAAATGTCAAACCATGTTTTCACTTGAAAATAAACACAAATACAAAGACTTCATTCTGAGACGAGTATTTATAAAAATATGCCGCACAATTTAACATCATAATAAGTTTTATAAAAAATATCAAATTATTTGTTTTACTTTATCGTATTTTCGATAATTAACGAAAAAATGCATATATTGACAGTTTGATACTGACATACTGACTGCTGACTGACAGAGGGTTACTGTTATCTTTTTCTCATTCATCCCGTCTTTTGTTTAAAGACGAAGCAGGCAATAGACGTTTACTCGTACAGCTGTCGTATTAAGCTTTTTCTTATCGAGACAACTAGTGTGTGTTACCAGCTAAGAAAATATAAAATGTAATGTAAAAAGCATTTTCGCCTGAAATAACAGCTTAGGATTGAAACTCGATATATACTTATCTATAATATATTCTTGTCGTCAAAATATGAATTTTACTTTTATTCTCCAAATATATAAATTACAGATAAAGGAAATTAATTGTAATGTTGTTATTTAATTGTAAATATTCTCACAATACAAGAGACCAAAATAAAAAAATATATATTATCTATAGTATAATATAATGTATTGTTTTGTAAGTTTTATAAAACTATGTGAAAACTATTATTATTAAATTATATTAAATATTATAGATAAATTTAATTTTAATATTAGGTAATTAACCAAATTAGACTGTTTTTTACCTTTTAAATTATTATAGTAGGTACTTTACTACTCAGTGCTGTTTAGCACATAAGAAAATCAAATTGATTATATCTACTGATTACAGTTGCCTAGTTGGTATGATTTCAAAATTGAATTTTTAATAACTAGGTATTTAGTACGGATTACTCTCCTATTATGTGACTATCGAACATTTGAAATATTATTCTTTACTTCATTTCCTTTTTTAAGATCCGTACGATATAGTCTACAATATCTTCGTAAATTTTCATTAAGAGGGTAATGAAAACTGACAAAGTTTTATCTAACGTACCTAAGTGAGTGTGTGGGCAATGCAATCTAATCCAATAAAATGTATTGCACATACAGGTAGGTAAGTACTTATGTAAAGTTTTATAACAATAAAATAAATTGATAATTCGAAAAGTAAAAAGAGTAAATAATAACTTTATTTGCAGAAGTCATATTTAACCCAAACCAATGTTACACTTCGGACCTAAATCAGAAACTAAACTTGCCCGGTTTTATTTCCGTATTGTTTTGATTGATCCCAGTCTGCCATTTCTATTGACAGATAATCAGATAAATGGCGATATAATTGCAAACAAAATAGATAAATATTAGATGACATTTTATGGCAACTTATTAATTTAATTGAATCTCCCATTACATTACTGAATGATCTAGCCCAAACTGTGCTAATAAAATGTATGAGCGGCTGTTGCTTCATCCTTGTCGCATGTGCCAAATATCTAGTTTACATTGCAATAGTCAGCGTTCTATACCACAGTAAAATGCCTCCTCATAAGCATTCAACTCTGAAGAAAAATATTTTATGAACAATAATAACAGCAGGCTTTCCTTGGTGCAGCTGGTATAATTTTTGTTGGATAAGTTTGGGTATGAACTGTTTTCTTTGTAAAGGGGTTCAGTGGTTCGCAAATAGCTCGATGTTTTACCTCCATATTGATTTTAGCATATTTATCCCCTTTTTCTTCTTCTTTTCTAATCAGTATGAAGTATGGACGAAAGTCATTTGAATACATTTCTGATTATTTATAGATACAATTTTTATTTTAAATAAATAAATATATTTTTTTCATGACTTCTGTCAAAATTTATTTTCATAAAAGCGTAGACGACCTATTTTGAATGGGAAGGTATTCTCTTTATCATACAAATACAAGTATACCTACATATGTAAACGAGTTTATAGCTAAGTTAAGAGGAACTTGATATAATTATATACACAATATTCATGTAAGTATTTCTCAATTAGATAATAATATATCAAATACTTAAATAAATAATTTTAATTCATACGAAAGTCATGTAATATATTTATGTTGTGTGATACAATTCAGATATATTACACAACTTGTCAGGAAGCTGTATAGGTATGTATTTTTTTTATAGCAAGTACATAGGTATACCTTTGTGTAAGTTAATTGTAGACGGAGTATATTTTTGTATTTCCCATGAGTTGTGTTTAGTTTATATGAAAGAATACAATCAAATTAACAATCTCCATTACGATGCCTGTATAATTCAATACAGAGGTATATGTGTATATACCTACTGTTGATTTTAATTTAATTTTTACTTATTTTGGTTATATTAATTTTACTTTTAGAATATAAACTAAATGTTATATTAAAGACAACATTAGATGATATATATTTATAATTTATAACAATATTGAAACAAAAATATACTACTTTGTGTTTCAAGCATATTTTAATTTTTTCTGCATCGAGCGCATACCGTAGTAGCGGTAGTGTGAAATATTTCTTTCAAATGTCGTAACAACTCTTCGTAGTCAGTTTTGTTTTTCAGTAGTTTGCTGGTACTCAGGTGGGAGATGATGCTTTGAATTTGAGGTGCTAATGTTGTACTCTTCGTTCGACTTTCCCCAGGAACTATATTGTTTCGGCGATGACCAGCACGTTGGGCCTGCCATACAATAGCTAAAATGTTATTAACACAATTCTGCCTCTATAAGCAAAATGAACTAAATTGAATTTAGGTAATTTTCTTTAATAGAAATCTTATACAGATATATTCCAGTCCATATTATAAACATTACTGCGAGATATTTTTCTGTGTGTTTTTATTTTGAATAAAATCTATAGTACTCAATAACTTTTCAGTAAATTCATTTAAAATAAAAAGAATATCTTAAATTTCCGTTATAATTCCATTTCTACTTCGCTGAGTCTTAGTATGGAGACGTGCTATTTATTAGACGATGAATGTACTTTCTTCTGGGCATTTCAACTTTCATAAATTTTTCACGCATCACCCCATGCGCCTTATGTGCAGCACAAATAGTACACTGAAAATAAATAAATATTTGGGAATCTACTGGCCTATATTAACAATTCATTTCTATCAGTAGGTAACTATAACAAGTTTTTTGTTGTATGACATAAGATGTATTGTTTCCTAAAATACCTGCATAAAATTGGATCTTAGTAAAATATAAATTTTGCTGAGTAGTAGGCTCTTTACTTTTTACTGAGATATTTAATACGCTGCAAATAATCTTTTACAAAATAATATAAGAACTTTGCTGCTACATCTATGATAGTCGTAAACATCGTTCATTATTTACTACGGATATTTGAATATTTCGGCATTTAAAATGCTGTGCTGTTAATGTTTTTTCTTAAAAAGATCGATAGTATTTTTAAAAATAAAATGTATCTTTTGTATTTCGTCTGCTATTGTACCACGGATGGAATGTACCGTTCTCAAGTTTTGATGTACAGGATCACGTGGTTTCCGGCATGGTGCCTGAGCAAAGAAAACATTTTATATAGTTTATTTATACATCAACATACGTAGTAATGAATAGCATACCAAAAGAAAACATTAGTAATCCGTAAGAGACATTTCAATAGTAGGTATAATAAATACTCAATGGATAGATATACTTTTAAGTTATTGGTCAAACTAAATATCGATTCGCTTAGATAAAAGAGATATTGTCATTGTTTTTATTTGCCTGCCTTTTAGCTACCTAGGCTATCTTTATAGAGCAACAAAACATAAATCATGTCACACCAATTATATTTTCCTGTACAAAGCATAAATACACGCAATATTATGTGAACAATAAGTGTTTATAGTCCGTTTTTTCGTCTCGGAGACAAATTTGACGTTGCCTATTTTGTCAGCTTTTTGCGAATTACAAATGAGCTTCGCATCGAGTCATATTTCATAAAACATATACCTATTTAAAATATTCAGTGTTTAAAGGAAAAAAAGTAGTTGGTTTTTAACTTAATACCATAAAAATTACTGTATGTAGAGCTACGGAAATTACAAAAATGTGTTTTTGTTTTGTTTTACTTTAATACAAAGACAATAATGGAAACACTAATTTCGAAAACATGCAAACTACGTAAAGTAAAAAAATACAATTTAACAAATCGGTATCGCAGGTATTAAAAATCTTTCAATAATGTTACAAGCTCTAGAGGGGTCTAGAGCTTGTAACATTATTAGAAAATTTTACATTTACATCTATCATTTTACTCTCCAAGAATAAAAGGAGACTATAGTTATTATTTGTAGATTATTACATCATGGTGTCGTCAGATCATACCTAAGACCGGCCATAAGGATGTTGCTGAAACTGTCACTTTGACATTATTTGTAAACCACTAGACATTCTCAGTAGCGAATCGTATGATCGGCTTGTTATCCCTACTTTCATAGATAATTGCAGAACTCTAAATTTCAACCTGTTTTAAAAGAAGGCACGCGTCCTTACGTGACATTTTAAATTAACAACACCAACAAATGAATGATGAAGAATAAATTATATCTAAGAACAAAGTGTGACGTAGCCATATGCCTATTAAAGATTGAAGTAGACTCGTTATCTTTTTCTGTGCTACTTACTAAATTATTAATTTATTATAATAATTCATTAAAATTTCTACCTAAACTTGAAACAGTTGTATAAAATAATTTTACTTACAGCATTCACAAAGTAAATCACAAAGAAAAATAAACCTAAAATATAAAACAGTTGAGCAAGTACTTTCATTGTGTTACGTATTTATTTGTAAGCGTTGAACAGAATGTAGTCAGAATATAAAATTACAACCTATAGCAATAAATTATAAACAATATGTAGCTATTACATTTTATATTCCATATTTCAAAACGAAATTATTTGAGACATAAATTTTTGTTGTGAAATAAGGATACTAAACTCAAAAGAAAAGTATTTACTTATTACCTTTATTTCCTTCGAACGTCTGAAATTTGATAATTTCATTAGGACTATAGTTCCAAAATATCATAGTGGCTCGACCCAATAATGTCTGTGGCCTGACTTATATCTATGTACCTACCTATAGATAGTTTATTTAGTTTGTTATTGCAGTATAATTTTTTTTGTTTGGTTTATGGGTTCACAGATTAAGATTGTATTTTTTAGATACTTAACACCTTGCACCTTATTGAAGACATATGTATTTTAGATTACGTACTTTTAGAAAAAAATAATGTATATATCACTATGGAGAAGAATAGTCAAGGCAAGTAGTGCTGTGGTTATATCACTATACTAATGTTTAATTAGTTTATATAACTATTTTGTCTGACATGTAATATTCTCTTATACTCGATAGATAGAGACTCTTGTATGGTATATAAAACAAACAAATAAAACGAATAATGAAGGACTCCTGCTGCAATTATATGGAATCTCTAAAGATCGACATGACATGGTTTGACAGTAATAAGGCGACTATTTCCCATAACTAACAATCCCCTCCCATTGCTATACTTTTTGAATGGCGATCATAATTGTTTATAATGAAATAATGTATTTAAAACAAACATTATAATCACTATCATCAAGTTCTGTAGAGCAATATAAACTTACAATCACAACAACCACAGTTGATAATGCACTGGCTACGCTGCAGGTATAAGTTTTATAAATACCTATATTTATGAATTTGCTGATACCAGGTGTATTGTGAATACACATGTACCTTTATATATTAATGTGTAGGTATACTACAGAATGCACAATTTATTACATATTGATTTGTATACATTAATATATGGAGTTTTCATAATTTTGAATAATGTATCTTTTAAAAGGTGAATTAATTTCTCATTACGCACCGTAATAAGTAGTTCCAGAGTTTATTTGCCAGATAGTAAAATTCTCGATCTCTGTGTATATATATATTAGTATAGCCATATATTATTTCACTATACTTCATTTTTTGATTTATAGATAGTGTAATTAAAATTAGTTATTAATTAGTATTTATGGAAGAGGTTTCTGCTAAATTATGGTTTAATAGAAGCTATTACCTAATTAATCGACATGCAAGATATGTACGCTGATTTACAATGTATCTTGCCAAATAACAGCAGCTCCTGCTCTATTATATGAATAACTACCTGTAGATATCCTCGAATTCGTCCGCGTGGAATCTAACTTTATTTTTCTAAAATAAAAGTAGCCTTACTCCTTATTACATCAGCTACCTGCCAATAAAAGTCCCGTTAAAATCGAAGTGAAGAAGTCCAGACATTTCATAGATTAGCCCGAACATACAGACAGACAGACAAAAATTGTAAAAATGATTATTTTGGTGTTTATACCGTATTTTTATTCATATGCATGTAGTAAAAAACGATTATTTCAATATTACAAAGAGACACTCCAATTTTATTTGTAGGTACATAGATAACATACGACTACATATATCATTACCAATGGCCAAGTTCTGCTATGCATATTACTGTACAAACCTGACTACCTACTTAAATTATAGTTCATATTGAATACTAACTAATCAACTTAGTTGCGAAACTGTTATTGATTCTCTTGTTATATTCAGAATTAGAAATTAAAGTTGTATTATAGAACACTTGTAACTTCTCTTACGTCTTTGTAACGTATAATACTAATGCATTTTTTTAAAGAATGAGACGGAGACAAAACCCATTAAGTCGAATTCCTCATCCATTCCAACGTTCCTTCTTACGAGTAAAGTATCTTTCGTGCAAGTTTAATATGTGCAATTACTTACTACATGAGGATCTATGGTCACTTATATTCGCTGAAATCGATCACACACCCGCATCAGCAAAGACAGGGTATGATGGAAGGGCACTTGCAAAGTTATATCTAACAAAAGACGGTGGAGCGATGGTCATGTATATATGATCATGTGTAATATGTTCAGACTGCGGCCGAAGCATGGAAATCATTACAATATGTCTTTGAAGATAGAGAAATGGACGTCCCATTTCATCATATTGGCATTAGACCGAAGATTATAATTATTAAATATATCAGATTTTTAAAATATAGAAGCATATATAAATGCACGACTGTTCAATACAACTGATACTGACAAAATTATTGCAGATTCTTTCGTTGATATCCAAACTCCTAGGAAGTTTCACTCTTGAAATTTGTATTATGGATAAGTAATTAATAGGGAATCAATTAATGGTATCTTGGTAATGACTGTCATCCGAATCCTTTAATGATAAGAAAACTTTTGATGATGGTCCACGTACCTGTTTTGATCCTTCAACAGGTGTGGAATCAAAGAAGCGCTATGTAAAATACGTGATCTTAGTGAATTTAATAACAAAGTCTATCTTCTAAACATATAAATTATATAGTAATTTATATGTTTAGAAGATTATATATTCATCACTTATATTATCCTTTTTGTACGTGTTTTGTATGATTGTTATACCTCTGTTGTTCATATTCTTTTGAATATGTTATGACTTTTTGCTCACAAAACAATGGTTGTTGTGATTTTTAGAATATTTGAAAGACAGTGTTATAGCTGCTGATGTGTTATAATATAACATAACAATAGTACCTACCTATATTGTGGACATTTTTTTTAATCTTTTCGGTTATTTTTGTTTACGAGAGAGTGTTGTAACTAGCTCGTCAGAAATGTCTTTGTATTCTAAACTTTGTTTAATTATATTTATAATTATATTATATTTCTGTTACTGTATAATTTTGTTTTACTTACTTTTACGTACTTTGTAATATTTCATACAAATCTCCGTGCGTCTAGTTTTTTTCTTGTATACATTTACATAAATAAAAATAAAACTACAACAGAATATTTCAATAGAAGTATATCCTATAAATTTTGCTGTACTTGAGCCACCTACAATGGTTTACCTATGTCTAGTGTATAGAATTGTATATGTCTAGAGGTTATAATGCACGTAATGTAGTATAATTGATGTGAAATGATCTATTGACTTATAATTCGGTATGGCGAGCACCGGTTTTAGCACTAATATAACACCATTACTCGTTAACGATACGAAACGATACGAATGGTAAGCGGTGGGCGGGGTGCGTGCGCGTGCGCTTTTTGCTCGTGGCAAGGCAACCGGCCAGCGGTGCACCGGGATCTATCCTTATTGTGTTTTATTCTGTTCTTTGCTCTCTTTCCTGACGATCGTCGCTTGTCGTACATCCGTACAAACTTTGCCTACAACAAAGCTTGTTTAGGAATTTCTTTTATATTATGCCAATATGATAACGAAAAGTTACATCGACGTCCGATTAATTATTGTTTTGTTTTGTTTTGTGGTCAAGTGTTATAAATAAATATTAATTATTATAATTTTAATTCAATATTTTAATACATACACTTCATATTTCTGTTGCTAACATTATGCATATCAATTATTTTGTGGTTCATATATTTTTTTATAATTTTGTACACTTTTTTAATGGAGTTGTTTGCGAGTTAAGGGTAAGTTGGCTTATTAAAAATTCTAATAATATATTTTTAGTGAACATAAATAATAAATATATGTTTATTAGTAATAATTTTCGATGTTTACCATTTCATGAGGTGTTTTTATTTTAATTTATTATTTACAAATCTATATAGAAATATAGAAAGAAACAAGTAATATTTTTTTACCAATTACCTTTGGTATATATTTAGATACTTATATTTGATTTATTTAAAAGAATCGTAGTAATATTTTACTACTAGATACTAGTAAATTTAGATGTGCGTAAAAGAATAGAAACTAATGGCAGTCGGCCCTCTGTGCGTACCCTATAAGAGACCTAGCGTGAAGTTAAGACAAATACACTACATATTTATATGCAACAAATAGCTACTTCACTAAATGGTGGTTTCTTATCTATCTTAGATCTATGTCACTCAATTAATATCTAGACGTGAATCTCTCTATATAAACATTGTATACATATATCTATATATATAAACATACATCAGATGATCACGAGTAGCCAAGTAGCTTAGTTAACTGTATAACTGTACAGTTGAAATCAACTATTCGGCTTTTGTATTATTTAGGTAGATACATTTTATATTTGCATTTAAGTACTAAATATCTATAATAAAGATTATTGCCTCAACTAATTACGATCCAATAACATTGAATTGCAGCCATTCCTACCATTTTATACTCTTCAATTATATATTAGCAACACAATATTTTCATATCATAGATTTTTGCTTTAATGTTACTTTTCAATTTAATGAACAATGAAGTCGAAATAAAGAGGGATTATGGTTTCGCGCCTGTCTAGAATTCGTCTATTTTATATTTTATAATAAAGTAACGAGAGCCTTGGAATAGCCCGTCTTTAGTACTTGATATTAACTTAGCTGTGATATGTTGAAATAATAATTGGAACTTATAATAGATACCGAATATTTTTAAGAACACAAAATTAGTAAAAAAATTATTTACAAACTACAATGTTATTATAAAAGTAATTAAAACTCTATTGAAAAACTAAAGAAATATATTATTCTATAATAATGTATACAGACTTCTAATATATTAAAATTCAAGCGACTGTACGCTTCTAAAGGCTGGCTGGTAGAGAATTCTATTAGTTCTATTAGTTAAATCCTACTATTAAACCCCACTTTGGTAACCAATTTCAATATAAATACGTTAATGGTAGATAGTACATACTTAAAAATTGCGTGAAATTTATTTTACTTCATAAATTTCATGCACTGTTCTAATTACGAATATTTGCATACTAATTAATGTAATCATTTATACATTGTACTTAATTAAAATTTTAAATGCGAATACATATCTAATATGCGTGCTTGTAATATAGGCATGCAATATTTGAAAAAAAGTGCATAAAAATTTCCAATGTTTCTCAAGTCGATTAATAAGTAATTTAATGAAAGTCATACCATACCATATTAGTATATGTACCATATATACCATAATAGTAATACCATTTAACATGTGTACTTACTAAGAATAATTTTATAAATTGTATCTTTGTATAAATTGATAAAGAAATAAAATTCTACCGGGTTTATTTTGAAGTAATTGTTGTTTTAAATCGATGATGACGTACACTTACCCTCCAGCTTTCACAGATTATTTTATTGAATATAAAATACTCACTGAAACGGTAGCTATCTCTAGATGCCAGAAGATTGTTTGAATTTGGTCAGATGTTGACTTTATCTATACAAACGGAACATATTTCTCATTTATTTATAATAACATAAAATATTGTATTATTAAAACAGAATTACAGCAATGCACGGAGAGCATGCAGTAAATTATATTGTCATGCGAAAATTGGCATCAGACAATACATTCACTTGGTTGCCAATGATGCGAATTGAATTCAAATGAACACGTCTAGCTAAGTCGTGCTCGTTTATAAGGAAAAATAATCATAAGCATAATAATTTAAAGTCGTTTCGAGTGCGCAATCCCTATTGTTCTTAGAATAGACTGAATTAAATAGGCTTGATAGATTCGTCTCGAATAGCATTTTATTTGATTGAAATCGCCTATAAATAATACATAATATTTTATTACGTCTTATTTGACAGGAATTGTGATAATAAGTTTATTACAATATTTTTATATCGTTATACATATATTCGCAAACCGTCTTTGGCACGGATATTCTGACATATTGATATTTGAATTAAGTCTGTTCAACGTCACCTCGATCAAGGGTAGGATCACCTCGAGGTGTAGTTGTCTGGATTTATTGTAACTTCTAATATAAATAACAGTCCTACTATCATTTTTTATTTGTCTACAATACACACATACATGATGTAACGGCACCAATCACACATCAACAAATAAACTGTGACTTCGTGGCTCGAGTGCATATTATTGTTTACATTTCATTAAAATAAATCAGACATAACTTACTTATTTTGATTTATTAGAACAAAAAGTTATTTATTGTTTTATTATTCACCTAGCCCCATTGTCTCTTGCTATAACCACCTATCATTGAGGCCATTAGATAATCTTGTACGTTGCAATAAATCGCTCGATTGATTGGTACTTCGCCCTATTACTACTACCCTTTACACTAAATAATTCGAACTGCAACGACAAATAATTTCGTGTGCTACTGCACTGAAAACTCTAATAAACACTTCTGCATGCCATTGTACAATATTTAGTATACAGATACATAATATCTTAGATTAACGCATAGTATATAATTGGTCTAAACCATAGGGCATAGTTCGCGCTTTATCTTAATACATATTATTAAATTTTAATATACTATAAATTTGTCGATACCTTCTGTCACCAGGTTACTACACTGTCATTATTATAAGAAAACAGGTAAAGATTTTTACTAAATATGCCGTATATAAAAATACAAAGTACTTATTACATTATATATTCATGAAAAATATAATATAAGGTTCATCAGAACAACAAAAGCCAAAACGAAAATTCTGTTCAGTAGTTTTTGCGTCAGTAAGAATTTTTTGTCTAAAATTCTAGGTTTTAGAATTTTAAAAAGAGTAAGAAAATTCTTAGTGCGTTTTCACCTATATATTGTAAATCTAAGTTAAGATATAGTTTTCATAATAAATTACAATTAATAATAATTCGAGCTAAAGTGATTAATTTTTTTTTCGATATTCAGCCGAGTACGCAAAACAGTGACGCGTGCCTATCGCGAGTGGCTGCGTGTGAAGCCAGTGGGGCAAACGCTCGACGCACAATTTGTGGCACAGACGGCAGAACCTACCCCTCTAAATGTCAGCTCATGAAGGCACAGTGCGCTGGTAAACCAGTGACATTTGCTCACAGAGGACTTTGTTTAGGTGAGTAACAAACAGGAAGCATTAAATGTATATCTTTATATCAGTTTTAATGAGTCAACAATCAGTAAGTAAATATAATGTTACATACATCTATTACCTACTGTACATAATAGTCTTATACTTTGTAACTATATATAATTATAAAATTATTTAAAAATAAATGTAGAAAGTTTTCACAAGTTCAATCGTATTACCACCAACTAACTACATACTTGAATGACGGGTGGTAAGCAGGGATTCCAACTGAATGAAATGGAATTCTGGCACAAGTATGACATTTATGGCCCTGGGTATAAGAACATATATACTTCCAAAATGGTCAGGTAAAGCCTTAGATATTTTATTTCACGTATAGATTGTTTATATAATATAATATAAAATTAATTATCACAATACAATACATAATTAATCACCACACAATGAAAACAAAATATAACTGACAAGACAATCATCAAGTAAAAGTAACCGGCCCTACGACACGGGACATCTCGTTGTCATTTCCAAAAGTTTCCATAACGCATGCACCATTTCTATGCTGAATTGCCAGAGAAAGAGGCATTGATTGGCACTGATTCTAGGTAAATCGACTTCGGAAGTACTCCGTAATAAGTAATTTAAGGTGACCTTAGCCAGGATATCTTGCCATTTTCTCTGAACCTGAGCCTCTTCAGATAAATTCAGGATATCTTAATCGTCACTCAGTAGCCTCACTCACGAATTATAAAAAACCCATCACCATTAAAGGATAACATACGAGTGACGAGGTTTTCAGTACCAGGCTAAGACACAAGTAAAGCTGCATGTCATATACGCAACGAATACCAAAACCTTCATGCCTAAAGGGCAGAGACGATTTTCATCCAACTTAAAATTCAAGATTTCCTCTAGAAGATTTTTTATATCGTTATTAGTAGACCAAATTTTATCAGGATAAACCAAACTGAAGATGTTCTTAAGATATAAATACATACGAGGCGTGAACAAACAACATCGGAACAGAGTCAAGGCGACATGTGCAGATAATTTTAATAAAACGCACTCATTTTAAATTACAATATTACACACATAGAATTAATTACACGTATCAAAAATTAATAAAATATTAATGTTTTATGGGTTTATATCATTCTCATTATACAGTATATGGAATAATATGGATGTAATTCCGATTAAAAATCAATTCGTGATTTTTATTGCGCATTTCGCGGTTGTAACTTGTATTTTATTTTAATGTCAAATATCTTATACCATATATTCAATTAATGTATTACGTAATCAAAATAAAAATTTAATATACCATATTCCAATACACTTTAGGATTAGTAAGTACTTACTTCGTTTTATACTCCTGCAGTAAATTAACCTACCCGATCGAAACCATCCAGTTAATAAAGTCAACGTGGTTAAATTGGTTACAAAATACCTACTACTTAGATGCAGTGTCATATATGATTTTAATAATGATTAAGACGTGAATATAAATTTATGTATTTTGCATTTAGGTAATTCTGTCTATTCTTAGAACAATTATAACTATTAAAAAGTAAACACCACTTTTTGCTATTAAAACATGTTTACCTACTCTAAAAATATGTCATATTTAAATAAATATATCGCAGATAAATGTATATTTACTCATACAGTATCTATGTAGCCTGTTAACAATTGAATGCCATCATAATAATTGATATCACTGTTACCATGCAATTCTCCGCTGCAATTATTTCTGCAGCTAAGATGCTGACTTTGTTATCAATAATGACTTAAAATAGCTCTCACAATGGTGTTTATCAAATAGTCAAACTCATCTAAATAATAATCGCGTCAAGGAAACACAAATTACCGATGTATAATGTTTGTACAGACTTGTAGTGCTGGTACTATTCCTCGATAGGTATTAATAAAAGATCTGTTACGTCATGACCTTGGTCACATCCACACATCTACTTTAATATATATATATATATATTTAAATGGATGAATAAGGAATTGTACACCCGCCTTCGCTAACGATGTAGCTGGCGGAGCACCAATAGAGGATTATAAAGTGAGGATAAATTCACATCAGTTAGCCCATCATAGTGGATTCAATACAGATCTTTATTACTTCAATTCAATAAATACTTCCTGACTTACACAATATGGATTATATTCCTCGTATCAAAGCTAGAAATTACTTAGGAAAAGTTTCCACATTTGTTATAAAAACAAATAGAAAAATTTATAAATTTGTTACCAATCTGGTAATAAAAAAGGAATCTTATTGGTTTAATATAAGTAAAGAAATTCTCAATTTTTTTTATATTTTAAGATCGGCAGTTTTGACGAAGGTGATTCAAAAAGTTTTCTAATGTAATTAATTACTGAAACTACTTATATGCAATTTAAAATTTCTTTACCCTGTAGTTATTGTTGTGCATTAGTGTATTTATAAACTAGAATAGATTGTTTGTTATCTATGCTACTGTACTGTAATTTATTTGACGTTCATAAATTAGGAATATTATTATAAGGTCAAGTTATATACGAACAATGCAATCTCAATTCTGCGTAAATATAAGTTACGTATTACTATTTTCGTGCGTGTGATAATTTCATTCATATTTATAACCAACTTCAAAAATGGTGGCGAACTCTGTTATATATAAAGCGATTTGAAATATCGTCGAATACCCGTACCCTGGTTTTAATTGGATATAACTAAAAAAACATTTACATGAATTTTATGGTCACTAGAATAGTCTCCCTATCTTTACATGTATATTGAATGAGGATGATGCGCCTATGATAAAACAATGTAACGTGCTTGTTTATGATCAAACTCAGTTTTTCTTGTGTACCAAATGAATTATCTAATGGATAACTTACAATGGGACAAAGTGACTTAAGTATGAATAATTACTTTTTATGACGCTCGTGGATCATTTCCTTTAATTAGTCATTGAGGCAAGTGGGCCGGATCACAATATTTATGAGATTACTCAACTACCGCTTTCCGGCGAACATTCTTCATCATAAAGTATGATGAATTAGCTTAGGATTCATGCTAGTTGAACGCTATCGGTCCCCAAACAAGGTTAAATATTGCTCAATGGTATAAATCAAGTAGGTGTTTAATGGAATTAAAATAAAAATACTTATATTTTTATTGTTGTAAATATATTTTCTTTTTACCTCATCGTCGTGCCATAACGGCAAGTTTCGCCTTATGTATGAATGATACGCTTACATCGTATGAAAAGACATTGTTATGTGTTGGAATAGTTAAATTCGTTTGCAACTTAAATAATTTTATTAATTAGCTCTATCGTAGACCGCTTTATGTTTTACTAGTTGATACTCGCGACTTAATCAGTTTATTTTAATAAAAATGATAGGCTCTCTTTTCCATAAATTTATTGTATTAGTAAGTAGTGAGAACTAGTGGAAATATATGTATATACCCGAGAATAGTAATTTTATTAAAAGTTGTTGTGTAATGATAATCTTTATATTTTTGAGGTTACTGGATTATTGTATTGGTACCACTAAAAGGTAAATATTGTTGCCTTAACAGATGGGCAATCTTCATGCTCGATTGCACTGAGTTATGCCCAAAACGCTCGTGCTGGGCGGCGAGCCGCGTTCGTGCCCAAGTGTCGCCCTGATGGTACTTATGCGCCGGTGCAGTGTGCCGCCGCGGGCGCCGCTACGGGCTGCTGGTGTGTCACGCCCGAAGGAAAAACCCTGCCCAACACCGCGGTCAGGAGTGGTCGGCCGGACTGTACAAGGACGGGTAAGTCGATAACTAAATCTCAGGTCTTCTTGATCGTCTACCAAAATCTACATTTTTCATCTTTCTTTTATAGTTTTGGTATTCTTTATGGAAAGCCTCTGGCGATAGGTCACGATAGGTGAAGCCTTTGGTATAGACATATTATTCTAAATTTTTGATAATTTTCTAATACAGTAATAGTCTGCGTGCAACCCTTTAAGAAGCTATTTTGTATGGTGTGTTTCGCTTGAAGCATAAGGCAACTAACTAACTAATTACAGAATAATATAAATAATAAGTGGTATCACAGACGTCACACGATAACGTGGTGTACGTAGTACTGTTCATGTACTAATATATAGGCTACAGTTGCCCCTTACCATCAGGTGGGCGGTCAGTTTTTTTGCCATTCTAATGAAATAAAAAATGCAGTCTTAAATAAGTAACAAAAGTATATATATATAGTCTTAAGTAAGTATAAAACTAAAAACACTAATTAGGTCGCAAATACATCATTCGCATAATAATAATAATTTACATGTTGTTTAGACTACTTGCAATGAAGGGTATTAGGTGACATTTCTTGAAAATGTTGATACATGACACCTTTCGTCTGAACATGAAGGTTGACAGACGTCCAGACAGGCTTAAGTACCATTAAAATACTGTTTCGCTTACAGATACAAAACATGATACGAACGAAATACTCACCCAGCAATTTTAAATATTGGTACATGTATGTACATTTTTCGAAGTTAACCTGTAATGTGATATGACAGACATCAGCATAAGTCAGAAAAAACTTGAGATAAAAAACATGATTATAATGGCAGCTTTTAGTCTGTATTATAACGGCTACTGAGAGAAATTAAGCATGGCACCATGTACTCCAGATTAATTGTTTATTAGTCTATTACTCGTACTCTGCGACTCCGTACCACGACAACGTACAATATATTTCAATTACAACATCAAAGACTTCTTCTATAATAAAGCATAATAATAAATGATGGTCTACACTTAGCATTTATTAGATTATATACTATGTGTTTAACACATTGGAAATACTTTATACACCTATCGTTCCCGGATTCAGAACATCTGTTTTGCCTAACGCTAACTCGTAAATAATGGACGAAATACTTTAGACATGGTTTGTAAACAACGATCCAGTTGAAAGCCAGTGTTTACGTTATCCTAGAGCCACTTCAGCACCCGAACATAAGATTCATCTTTTTCACCTTTATTTTCCACCTGGTACGCGCTACTCATATTTCCCTGTATTCGAATCAATCCGTGTATCGATCGTATCTATGATTCAGACTTTTCATGGGAATTAAATATACATAAGACTCGGTATTTCCCGTTCCCTAGGGGCTTTCCGATAATAACGCCTATGAAATTATTATCGACATTACATTTACCTATCATTAAATTACGTACGTATGTAATAACCATGCATGAATCACTGTTCCATGCAGTTTGTAAAATAAATTTTAATCATACAACAATTTAATACATATGTGTATCATTACGTTAAGTATAATACGGGGTGGCTAGAGAAATCCATACCAATCCAAACCAAACCGCGCAATACGCTTCTCAATATAAAATTGTTAAACAGGTGTTTACTTTAATAGATACGAAGCAGACCACGCCGAATAATGAAAGATATGATGTAAATAATCTTCACCAGTATGTAACTACGTTTAAATACAACACAATAATAAAATATAAATCGATTGCTTGTATTTTTATACATGCAATTTCTTTAAATTACTAGGTTAGTTGTATGTGAAATTAACAAGTTGTCAAAAAGTTTCTCCTGAAACTGGTGATCATTACACGAGGACACAGCTTGCTGTGACGCCTATGGCATGACCTACGCGTGCTTTATTCTTTTATAGACAACCAATAATAGTAGTATGGAGTACTACGTAATAAGAAAAATAATAGAAGAAGATTAAAATGTGTGATTTGAATAGATGACATCACGTAGGTACTAGTTATTAACACCGAAGGAATTTTTGTCATCGAACTAATTACATTCTATTCTATTCTGCCATGATTGAAAATTGAATCGCTAGTGAAAGAAACCAGAAGTAGAGCAGGTATATAGCTGACATTAGTCAATAAAATCACGCGATTGTTTTCAATGTAGATTCCGGCAATTCACTCCCTATCTAGTTGAGATGATGTACGTGTGCTTCATATAATAAATGTAAACATAAAGAGGGTCAGGGGCCCATAAGGCGGAAGATGGCAATCTGGACTTGTTTACCACTAGTCAGGTACCTAGCTATTATCAAATTATGCATTGATACGTGTTGTTCCGTGGTTCCGTGGTAACTCCACCTTACAAAGTAGGTATATACTTTTAGTTTATTACAAAAAAATAAATTTAGATGCATGTCATCAGTGTACCATATTACATGTACAGAGATACTTTATAAATTTATGGAGCATAACATTTCGTCTATGTTACTAGGTCTTCATAACAGTAGGTGCTAACCAAGGACTAGCGCATGCGTGCTACGCTAGAGCTAGATATAACCTGCCAATAACCAGAAATAGTAACAGGAATACAGGACATGATAGCTAGTTCAACTGAATATTCAGTAAATAATTCCAGTGCATCTACCCATTAGGTAACGATGTATTTAATTGTAGATATATAAAGAATAAATTGATATAAATCTACTATTCATTAATCAGTACCTAACTAATTTTGGGAATCCGGTTCTTTATTAAAATAAAATATTAGATAAAAAATGAATTCTTCCTATAAAGTTTTTTAAACTTTAGTTCTATTCATAACGTAAACAACATAAAAGAGTAGAGTAATTTTAATAAAATTAATAGGTCTAACAGGTAGCCTGAAGCAGATAACGGTTTTGTTTTTATACTCACGACTAGTGATTTATAATCACCACAATAGCATAAAAACAAAGTAGTTTTACGGATATAGATATAATACAATTTAATTTGTTTGTAATTTATTGACTTACACTTCACCTCAGTTACCCTTTGGACCAGGGGCGGCCTACGCAGGGCGTTAACCGACTAATCGTCTGTTTCCTTCCACACCCGCTGCTTATGAGTTCTGGACACATTTGGGAGACCAACTGCAGTTCTAACATCGCAGAATATATTACTAAGGGGTGTCTTAGTTCCTCCAATCTGATATATTACAAATATTATAATGACCAGGATCTCTAGATTCTGTAATACCAATGTATACAAATATTATGTGCATAGTATATTTTAATTTTACGACTCGTACGAAACTATTCTCTAGTTACGCACGAGTAGTAAAATTAATCGGATATTTTTTTTTCATATAAATATGCGTGAAAATGTTCATAGAATATAAATGTGTCATACCATCTGTTGATACATACCTACTTTTAAATGTAAAGAGCTTTCACATTACCTCTTAATTATTATTTTAAACAAGATTTTTTATTTCATTTAATATATTTCAGATATTTTATTAATATCAATTTATAATAATATTATATAATGCTAGAGTACGTTGAGTATGTTAATTATTTTTTGTCTATAACCATCTGGGTGCGACTAAATGTCTTCAGCAATCAATCTCAAGACGTAAATCTACTGCATTCGAGTACCTACCAATATGCCAGACGACAGGAAATTCCATATCTGATTTATAACTTAAGTAGTCTGCATCTTGTGACTCATAATGATTTTTTATTTTCTACCTAAATCCTTATAATAACGTAGGTAGCGAAGTTTATTTATAAAAATAAACCCAGGTAAAAACAGGGCGCGAGTGTGCATTATATTTGAGACTAAGTTAGACTTCATTTTACTGTTAATTAGGTATACCTATTCAAACTGAGCCACTTGGAGAACATCGTTCAAATACATAACGTACGTGGAAGCATATAAACAAAGCCGTATTTATAATATTAGATAGCATACGCTATCTCTAGTATTGTCATAAGCCTTGCTAAGTCTAGGAAGTTTTTATTTCAAACTCGCATAAGAAAATGTCAAACTTTAAAATAGTAGATCTCAAGTTAGAAACTTAACTTAACACCTAAGTGTGTACATCTGTCTCACCAATTTCTGCCACTAAAAAGTGCTATTCTAAGACATTGCTTCATATGAAAGAGTATAAAGTATAGATAGAGCCGTGAAATAGCACAGAAACCTAATACGTACTCAACATAATCAAGCCATGGTTAGTTTCCAAAGACTTACTTTGGCCGAAAACGATTAAATGTTATCTATTTGGAAGGATAGAGCTGAATATTATCTACTAGTACTCATCATATTAATGTACTTAGACAGATTATAATATTTCTGGATTTTATGACAGTAGGTATAAACTTTGTATAAAGTACGGTGAACGCGTGACAATGTCTTATTTTGTACTTAGATGACTTCTTTAAATATAGAACTACTTTACTATTGCTGGAAGAGATAAACAGTAGTTTTAGCAATTTTTTGCATGTGTACATTATCTGGTAGCCACTGAAATAATTCAAATAAACAAAACTGTTGAAAGATCACATTGAACTCGATATAAAACATGCTTTTAATCCCAGCAAATGAAATTGGTTCATAATTAAAGAAGTATTTATCACCAAACAGACATGAAGCTATAGACATTTGGTGTAGACTAGTAGGTTGTAGACTAAACATAATTAGTATTACAAATAAATTAATCAAATGTACATATTACATTTTTATTGGAATTATGAGTAGCGAAGTAGTGTACCAGTCCCTTCCATTAGTCACTGGTGCTTTTATGCAAGCAATTAAACATTTATTGCCACTTCGTTGACCCCGTTGGATCTACTTCGTTCTCCAATTACGTTTGAACATCTATAGCGAAAATCGCTGATAAATCTGGTCTGATCGTATTAATAAGTGATACACTAAATGGCACCGCAATTTGTAAATCTTACTCCAGACACCAGATGTTATTACATCTTGTATTGAGACTAGATAATATGATATTATTTACTATTAACGTATTATATACGGTCAAAGTGAATATTGATTTTTCATTAAATGAAAGTTCAAAACAAATAAACTCAAAAATTAAAGTCAGGATTGAAAGCAAATCATTTTATTACATGGATATTTTAAGTGTTTTAGTATAATTAAAATGACAAGCTTCATTTTTGGAAAACAGTAACAATATACAATAAAATACATGCACGCATATATGCGTATTGATATTAGAATTCCATACAGATATATATGGATTGGATAACTATTTAGGTATATCTACCTACCTAGTTTAGTTTCAGCTTGTATTTGATAGATAATAAATTTAGATATCTTTTGTCGAAAGAGGAACCTGCTCTCTTTAAAGTAATAGATAGTAAAAACAAAACAAAGTAAAGTCTCAATATTTATTAGCTTCATTGTAAGTATTTTGAATCCTATTCGAGCAATATGTGAGCTTATTATAGTTTGTATAGTGATACCATTAAAATTGAATTGATGACTCCGAATGATTCCAACCATAGACCTGCGACCAACTATCGTCTGTATGGGATTGTTTCTTAGAAACAGCGGTGCATCTCAGACTGCTCGACGCCGTAACACAATGGGCCCAGTTTTTTTTCCTTTCAAGCAAAACGAACCCGTCTCAGCCGTATGACGATAGAAAAAATGCTCCAGACGTCATTCGAATGCTTTGTTAGATAACTACGAGCGCACCTTTGATGTTTTATATTTAGCCTTTTACCTGTACACTTCTAATGAAGTCGTTAAGAAAGAATTAAAAAGAACTAGCTACGTATATTTGGAACTACAGAGGTCATCCGAGACAGAAATTCAAAGATACCTAATAGTGCTTATTCATTAAATATAGCTATGCACAGATAATACGTGTATTACCTACACGGAAATAAATTTAATTCTGTCAACTTTATTTCAACGGCTATCTGTACTATAGTTTATATTAATTGAAATAATAAAAGGCGAGGGTATAAAATTGAGATGTTTACATACCTTATGGAATTTGTTGATGTATATAAAGTCTTTTAATACTAGTGTGACTGATAGTAGCGAATATCCAAAGTTATTAAAAAATAAAGTAATTAGAAAAGTGAGTAAGTACGGTATATAATTGTTGAACCCTCATTCGTAATGACATAGAAGGCCTATTTTTCAACTATTTGTATCTTTCGTGACACTTTTCTATTATCATTTGAACTCTATGGCATTTTATTCAAAATATGTGTCTAGGTATAAAAAAGGCCACGTCTTAATGGTGATACGTTACCGGTTTTTGTATTGGCTAATGTGTGCATCACCGCCGTTTGGACCGGTTGGGTAGACGTACCCCGCGCTTCCCCGTACCCCTCTTGGCCGGGACACTATATACCATCTGTATGGAAATAAATCTCGAATCACCTAATGTATGCAGTTATAATATCTACCAGATTGTTAGCAATGAGAATATGTATTGTTTAATTACTATTAGTACATGTCTATCTAGAAAATAACTAGTATATTTTTAAGAACGCATTATTAATAGGAATTATATATTATTTATTGGAAAGAATTAATCGGAAACAAATAAAACGATTATAAATCAATAGAATATATTACACAATAGACGTCGAGGACTTCAATTAATAAATTTTCTGTGAACTAATCACAGAAGGATATACAATCTATTCTAAAAAACATCATCGCAATCCGTTAAAGGCTGACACAGGTATCGCGTTCTAGGTATGCATAGAAATAGACAGCCGAATTGAAAACCTTATTTCTAGACTCTTAAATCATATATTCACTCTTCACTTCATATTTTTGTTGTTAGGTAAATCCCAAACCAGGCGCAGATCGTCAGCACGCGACAAACGCAATAAAAAAAGTAAGTAGAATGTATTCATTTACCAATTGTATACGTATGTTATTATTATCATAAATACTGATAATATCACAATGTATTATGTACATATATTTACTTACTGCATATTGTTATTAAGTATTTTATTTAAATTACGTCTCTTAAGACTTTTGTCTGTCATCGTCCTTTGCTCTATCTACTGATTTCAGAATTATATCTCATTTGAGTTGTTTCAAACATAGCAATCTTTTTTGGTGTCGACCCGACTGACACTATCTGAGTTAAGATAGGAAACCATAACACCATACACTGCAGTGATTAGGCAGCCCAGCAAATGGTTCTGGCGTTGTTAGACCTTGTAGACCATATCCCATTTTGGAGTTAGACCATGCGTCAGTCGTTGGCAATGCGAAAGCCCCCGTCCATTGTATCAAGGGTTGGAGTTGTTGGTTGGAATACGTCAATGCCTAGACGTCAAATAACCTCGTGGTCGTGTCCGATATATTATAATAAGCAGTAGTACTATAAATAGTACTAATAATAATATAGACATATATTGTCCATCAAGTCTCAGATAAACTATCTGTCAGTCTCTGACAAGTGTTTTCGCGGGAACAAACTGCACCGTCGACCTGACGGTGTCGCCACACCATAAACCACCATAAGTGGTTGTCTTGAATTACTTGCTATATTGCTTACTGTTTGCATCCTTATTGCCTGTATGTAATAATTGTATAATATCCTGTTAAATGTGGTAAATCCTACGGAAGGCTCATGACTATGTTCTGTATAACTAGGTTGCAGCCGGGTTGATCGCGATCAGTTCAACACGGTTTTGATCAATAGCTTCAAAGGGGAGTACAAAAGAATTATAAAATCTCAGGACGAAAATCCTCAACCGGAAGTCGTCGCAGAGTGGAAGTTTAATGAATTGGACGGAGACAGAAGTGGGACCTTGCAGAAATCTGAATATCGAGGTCTGAGGAAGCTTATTAAAAAGGTATCATCTATCTATCTGTATTTTAACTGGGTAATTGGGTACTATAATTTTAAGTAATATTTTAATAATATTTAAACCTACATATTCACATTATGTAAAGACGCTATTAATTTGTGACTTTAAATCCTAACTCCTTAGAATTTTATCGATGCGAAATATTCGAAGTAACAATGAATGATATATATTTTATAATAATATGAACAAAATAAAATTAAAAGCGTGCGTCTTGTTAAAAAATAGGCTTAGATTATTAATATACATGAATATATAAATAAAGAATATAGAGTTAAAAGTAGCTTCTCATAATAAACATTATCACGGAAACTTAAAAATTATATTACTTTGTACGTGTACTCGTAGAACTAAGTTTATAAATAACTGTAGGAAAACCGTAAAAGAAGACTTAATAAAGCATTTCAAAGTTTTACATTCAGGGATTTTGTGAACTGAGTTATGAAATAAACTTAGAACAAGTACCTACATATTAACAAATTATTTTATGATTCTACCGCAATACATGGCATCTATATTATGCCAATTTCATGTCAGAAAGTTTTTACTTTAACTATATATTTATTCTTAGAGATACTACCAGATTTTGACCGTTTGTTTTAAATGTCATTATTCGTCTGTTTGTATTTTATGTATTTTTTCATACATACATGTAGTACCTATAGACATATCCTAACGTTTGTAGTCATCCGTTAGGATATTTCTATAGGTACTACCCGTAGCGGTACCAGTTCGGTTTGTTATTTTTTCTTTCAGTTATGTAGTCTATTATTATTTTATGTCTTTCTAAACTCAATAATGATATCGAACGGTTACTGTTCGAGCTACAAATTAATAGAAATAATATATTAGTAGATATAGAACGGCAGAACTATATTTTAATGTACAGGTGATGAAACCTAAGCGATGTGCCCGTGCCTGGGCGCCAAGTTGTGATAGTGATGGTAATGGCGATATAACACGAGCCGAGTGGGCAGCCTGCCTATTATATAACCCAGAACCACCTGCACCGGACTGTGAGTATCTAAGTAATCTATGCTAGGAGTTCTCCAACTGAATATTTATTAACTTAATAAAAGCGAGCGCTATATATAACCTCGGTGGACTAGCGGTTTAGAACACCATTATACTTCCGATGCCTTGTACGAACATTTATATTCCTGAGAATAATTCTTTTTATTAGTCTGTATGGTTTCTATGCATATTGCACAAATATTAAAAAAAATATTTTTTTATATATTCTATCAGCTGCTTAGCTTAGCACTAGATGGCGCTGTGTAAATTCTCGTGGATTATTGTTATTATTATATGTATTTCCTACAATCTGATAAGAATACATGTTACCAACATTAAGTATAGTAGATTTTGTTTAATTCAAGGTCTTAATTGATTGCTAATCAAGCTCCCTAATAAAACGTGATACAAAAACTAAAAGCTTTGCCAAATCACGTCATCTGTTTAATACATAGAAACCTACTTTTTTTATTATTGGACGTAAGTATCTATAAAAATTAATTAATTTCATTAGTACTACCAGTTAACTTCTAAATACCTAATACCCTGTTTAATTACATCTAGCATATTATACAGTAATAAATAGATTTTGCTTAATGTAAATAAATTAGTATAATAATTATAATACATTATATGTTTATTTACTTTTATTACATTTAAATACCTTTATTGTATAATAATTATAACTCGTAACTATAACTGATATGGAAACAAAATGAATTTGTAATACACTGTTTGAAGATTCTTTTAAAATCCTGTCTGGCTAGGTACCTATATAGTACTATTATAGCATAGAATTGATAATGATTCGTCATACTAAAAGAATGTTGAGTGGAAACAGATCTTATAGAGTTCAATAACATTAACAAATAGAATCTCAATATTAAGTTATATTTTTAAAGTTTATTATAACGGTTACCCTCAACGGCAATTCTTTTCATATTGCTTGTCATTTATTATAGTTTATGTTAATTGATGTGACATGAGCCGTTTGGATGGTAATGCGAAATGCAAATGTATGTGCAAACATAATAATAATATATAGTCTCTCTCCGTTTCTTCATGTTGTTGAACGCAGACGAGGGCAGCGGACCCGAAGCGGAGCCCGACTATAAGGAAGAGGAACCCACGTCGGACCCCAGCGCAGGTGATACAATATTTTGAAAGTCTATACCAACCCCAAGAGAGAGTGCCTCTCTACAATTACTACACTTGGTAAAAAAATTCCATCGATTGTATTCACGCTCAATTTTGAACATTAAATAAGTCAATTAATACAGTTAAAAATTTAAAACATAGTAAAACATTTTTATTTCGTCAATTTAATTAGTATGTCTGTATTGAGTAAGAATCTAACGTGTAAGGATTAGAAAATGGAGCAGTTTGTTTGATATGGCATTAGACGTCAATCACATAGCTCCAGATCCATTGTCAGGGCCAAGGAACATCCTGTTATCTATGTAAGTGTCGTAACTGCTATTGTAGTTCCACACCTACCGGGATGTCGGGACACATTTTATTACATATATATTACTATAATAAACCCTGAAAAATTTATATTCGTAATAATCGTAATAACATATATAGTAAGGTCTCTAATATGTAGGTAATATGTGATAAACAAACCCGTGTTGGTTACACGGATGATGTCCTGATGAGATAATTATTTCAAGCCCCGCCATACTAGTATAATACAGACATTCATTATAGTAATAAAAATTATTTGTATATACATCTTCGATTAGTATTTAAATGAATCAGACTGTCTGTTTACGATAATTAATCATTTTCAGTCCGCCGATTGCACCTGATATTAGGTAGATCTAGCATCTAGGGCATGGAAGCGTTTACCCGGACACAATTTTGCATAAAATCGATAGAACTGAATTGCCGAGTCTAGATAGTTCGTTATTATGACGCACACATACATTGTGACCTAACTGACCTACTCACGTGTCAATGTGCCAGGATGCAACAGATCGGCTCTATCGATCAGGTGTCAAATCAAGTCATACCGCATGCGTCGTAGTTGCTAAGCCAAATTGTCTCGGTTCGCATGCGCAAATGCGGAAGCATCTACGCATGCGGTGTGACACGAATCTCGTTATAACTCCATATATGGCGTTCTCTGGAACGATAGGTGACCCCGAATGACCCTATAACTAAAGGTCAAAGTATATATATATATAATAATTTAAGTATTTTCGTTTTGTATGAATGTCGAGCTTAAAATGGGATGTATGAAGGATATGTGCCACATACACAGATCCTTCATCCAGGCATAAAAGAGTAAGAAATGAGTATATAAGACGAACTTTGAAAGTTAGTCCATTAATAGACGATGTTGTCTTGTTATAGACATGATATGCAAAAGGAGTACTATGATTTAAACTAGGTACCTTCTTAACATGAAAGTGGATGTATGTAAAGGTAGACTACCAAAGAAAAAGGAACCACTATAAAATAGTGGCATGGTCCTAAACACGATGTTACGTGTAAATAGTGTGATTATAAATATCACTTTTTTAACATTTAAATTTATTTTTGTTTTCCATATTTCCGAAACTTCAAGAAAGCGCCCCGGAACTACTTGCTCATGCTCTGTAGCATGTTCAAATTAGTAGCAATTAAGTACCTACATATCAGTATACGTACTATCCATACGTCTATTCCATTGTTAGATACGGTATTTGTATACCATATGAGTAATACTGCTTGTTTAATTTTCTAATTATAGAATTTCTTTTGTTTCACAGTGTTGCCAGGCATAATGAGAAATTCGTTTGCACCTGATGGCTCCGATGTGGACTCACGGCGTGAAGACGAAGCAAATGACTGCCTCACAGATCGACAGGCGGTGTTAGACGAACAGGTCTGGTGGACTCTTGTTTGTAATGAGTAGGTTCTATTACGTATTTACAATGTTTAGCAAAGCGAGTGTCGTTATAGAGGTCTGTATTATACATTAAGTACTACGGAATCAACATGCTAAAGTGAAAACTAAAATCTTGTTTTATAGAAGTTGGATTGACTCTTTCCAATCCGGAAAATATTGTATAACTTCGAAACTAATAAAATATATAAATATTTTATCTTACAGTAAAATACTAACATTGGCATAAAAAATATCTAGATAATAATAATATATATAAAGGTCACAAAATTTTCGAAATTTTATCTTACTTTGTACGTCAGCCGTCAAGCGCCTTGCTTTGTAAGCTGAATTTTGATTGAACGGTTAGTTGTATATGGAAATAAAATTCCAGGATAAGAGTCATGACATCTTAGTCCTGTTAGAACATCACATTATCATGAGGTGTCTGTCCTTATGATGATATAATGTCGTAATGCCAAACATGTACATAGGAAACTGTTAGCACTTGCCATATCATTCAAATTTTACAAAAAAAATGCAGATGATTAAGAACATTGAGTTAAAGATCTCTATAAATAATCTGGAATCTTTTTAAAACAAATACGTTGAGCTAATGCGTCAATCAAGGCGTAGGTTACCTAACTATTATTATTTGCAAATTTTATGCCGTAGCGAAGTTCTTAATAAGTACAATAATGGTATATGCAAACGGCGCGTATTTATGATTCAATCAATTTAATGCGAACTGTTCTAGTCATAACTAAACTACAATTCAAAACATATACATTGTTTTGTTTAATTGTTCGACTACATTGGCGAAGGAGGAACAATGAGGCGATATTTCTAATATTGTTTGTAAATATAATAACATACAATGGGTCGGTCATATAGCTCAAATAACCAATAACTGCTGTAGTAATGTTCTCCAGTAACGACCTAAAAAATATTGAAGAGCCGTCGATATATCGCTATCGTTTAAAAGTAGGTACATATATGTTTCTGTATTACATAATGTATGTTTGGTATAATATACACATTTCATAATGCAATTAAACGGCAATATTGTCATTTCAAATTAGGTACCAAGTTAGGTAATAACGTATGAAATTTACGAATATGGTTATGTTGTTTATTTGTTACCATTATCGATATTATTTTCGTTCTTTTGTTCATTGTTATGTATTTATAAATCTAGGAATTGCGTATTGTTTAAATACGCAATTCCATAACATACCTTGTTATGGAGATGGCGGAAAATAACTGCGACACAGTTATTTATGGGTTTAAATATTGAATTCATTTGTCTATAACCTAGGTGCATTACATTAAGTCACAGTTAGGTACTGAGATCTGCAAAATCGTTAAGAAAATTTCCTTAACTTGTTTTAAATTAGAACTCATAACTATTACGGTTTATTTTGCATTATATCTTCGGATTCCATCCATATTGTTATTAGAAAACTTATAAAGTATGTTAGAAAATTATAATATACATCTCACAGTTCATATATCTACATCTATGTATGTCCTCATCCAGATGCACTGGGTCAAAGCAGTGCAATCACATCCAGTACCTCTGGAGTGGACAAACTGACTTATTTGCAATAGTGGTTAAGAGGCTGTTTGCGCTCCCTCGAAATTTAACTTTAATTTATTTTAACTTCAGTGATGCAGTTCATTTTCGCATTATGGCTTGAATATCATTTATCTGCGCTGCTGCAAATATCTCTGATGCGCTAGAGAACTAGAATTAGATAAATAATTATGACTTAACTTATACTTATTATCATTGGTAGGTACATTCTCCACTAATATCGCATTTACTACTCCACAGAAAGCCGGTGGCTCCGTGCTGTATGTACCGGAATGCACAGGCGACGGTAGATATGCGAGGGCGCAGTGCTACCGCTCCACTGGGTACTGCTGGTGCGTACACCAGGACACCGGGAAACCAATACCAGGCTCCTCAGTGAAGGACAGGCGTCCAGACTGCGACGCTGCACCGCAACATGCTAGTCCAATGAGAGGTATGGCATCAATTTTATTAAGCCGCCTATATACATATACGTGAACATCACCTCAGACATTACGTTGTCATATGACGCCATGCGTTGTCATTTCCGAGGACTAAGATGTCATGCGTCATTACCCTGTAATATATATATACTTTAATTGGATTGGTAACCGTCGCCTATATATATGAACAACACCATTGACATAGCGTTATTATATGACGCCCTTATCGTTATGTTTTACCACTTCAAAGGACTAAGGTATTACGCTCGATAACCTGTATACACAGCCTTGTCTCACTTTCTTTTGTTGTTTTGTTTTGTTGATCTTACCCTTCAACTGATACACATCTCACAAAGAAAGTTACTTGGGGATTGAATTAGGTACAAGAAAAAAGGTACATTCCCCTGCGTTACAACATGAATTGTCCTATAATAATATTGATATAAATACAATAATATAATGACAAATCTATTTCCTTAGTTTTAGACAATTGTAGTATGTCTGTATTATACATCTAACGCGTACCATTGGAAATTTAAACTATTTTAAACCAAGTTCTTATATATTACTTCTTTATTCCTTCATCTCCCAGGGTGTCCGGAACAAGTAAAATCGAAATTTTTAAGCGATCTCAGGAGTTTCTTCATTAACAAGATGACCAGTTCCACAAACGGCACGGGACCAGGGTAATTTTCATATTTATTTGATACAATAATAATTATTATAATTCTTTAACTTGAAGACCACCAAAAGATGACCCTTTCAATATATCTAATATAATTTCCGTCCGTCAGGTATTTCAAATATTAATGAACACTTTTTAATAATTAATTTGAAAGTAAATCTGATAGAGAATACTTGAACTTGTTAAATTTATAAAAATTCTAATGCCTGTATAGCCTAAGAGTCAGTTGGTATGCTTTGATATGTCAGTCGCCGTGACTAATAATAAATATATATAAATTATAGTTGTATCATTTGTAATTATATCAAATAATCTAATAATTATTTTAGTACTAGCTGAGCTAACTATTTTTTTTTATTGTAAACCGATTAGAATAAAACGAACACTAAATTTTAATTTAAGTCAGCACATTAGTGAAGTTCATTCCAAATTAACTAAGTTGTTTCTGAGGTTATTAGTTCGATTCGTTCATGTATCTCCAATCAGCTATCAGTCATATTTTTTTAGAAATCACATATAGTTTTGTGGTCGAGATTGAGCCTTTATTTTTGTGACCTTCATAGTAATCATTAACAGTCTTACCTGTGCATTTTTTCATTTAGCCATTAGACTAAACTCATTAATTTCAGGGACATGGTGAAATGGGGCGCCTCTAATGAAGAACAAGCAGCTACCTGGACCTACGTGATGCTGGATAAGGACAAAAACAAAGCACTGGAACGTAGAGAGTGGAAGGTGTTTCACCAGCTGATTGCAAATGTGGAACATTTGAGGAAGTGTGGTCGAAAACTCCCCAGATATTGTGATGTGAACCACGACACGAAAATTAGCATCACAGAATGGATGGCGTGCTTAGAGGTCACGCAGGCTTCCCAGGGACAGACAAGTGAGTTAAGAATAATTTATATATAAAAACAATTTTCACAACCTCACTATTGCAAACCTTATAATAGGTAAACTTCTACTTTTGTAATGTATATTTCGTAGCTAAATACAGGAATAGATATTAGTTTAAACCATTCCACTAGATGGTTGGTCAATCTTGTTTGTTAGAAAGAGACAGAATTCTATTATATGGATAATAGAACATTGAATTTGGTTTTTCTTACAGCCGAAGCAACGAAGCCGTCGTCCAACTCTAGAAGGAAAGGCCCAAATCCGTTGGAATCGATACTAAAAGCTGACGATTAGTCCCTCCAAATGCCTATTAAAATAGACATTCGTGCCAGTGCTAGGTGTTAAACGAAATGAAAATGTGTGAATGAATAAATATTGTGTAAATCAGTATGAAGACATGGTAATAGTTGCCCAGCGTGATTGTAAGTTAAGGTCCTTGAATTGTTCTAACTATTGGCATAATTTATTCGAAAACATGTAGTCCTAGTATTGGCTTAGTTAATTAATATTACTGGCATGTTGTTCTGATGTAACATCATCAGTATCAAATCAGAAAGCCGGTACATACAGGCGTGTATGAATGTCGATATTAATATAATTATAATGATTATTGTAATATATTAAATTGCACTGCTATCAGTGTTCTATAATATGGTTCAATTGTGTTAAAGAGTTGGCAGTAGAAAATTAGAATTCTCTAACATATATATATAATATGGCTAAAGCCGTGCCGTACACAAGTATAGCTGAAAATAACTTGGAATTAAATTAAAAGAACAAATAGCAAGAGTTAGAAGAACATGTATAATGCACGCATAATAAATAACTACTTAAACTAACAATAAGAAAAATAGGAATTCGGTTTAAAATTAAACCTTTTAAAGTTGATTGCCATATTCTTTTTAGTTAATGTAGATTATTTATATATCTATGCGTAGCGTGCATCATCAATCATGCATACATAGTTTGTAATTTAAGTAATGACCTAAAATATATACTTCTAAGTATGCCCGCGGTTTCACCCGCATATAATTTTTAGCCATGTGTTATTTTGATATATAAGCTATATTACTGCAGAATTTCATCGTAATCCATTTTACGTGAAAGAGTAACGGACATTCATCCATACTCACAAAACGCATTTATGCAGTAGATATATGTATAAATGTAGTTAAATTTTCGATTTTTTTAAAAATAAAACTGACAATAATATTCAATTCTATCAACATTTATGTTAGCAAAACTGTGTATACTTACTTATGTGTTAAAGTGTAAGATAATTAGTTTGTATACATATAATTGTTTGATAACTGTTATATATATATAAATAAAAAATAGTAGTGATCCTAGTGGTTATAACTAGAGTTATATTTTGACATACAAAATAAATAAGCGTAGCTATGGATTTCCTAAATATTTATATAGTATATTTAAAATAAGATAATGTAGATTAAGTTATATATGTACAATAGTACATTTGTAAAACTATTTTAAGTCAATTATGTTATGATTCATGCGAGTAAAATTTACTAGTAAAATATTGTAACTAAAAAAAATATAGTATATGACCACATTCAAATTTTAACAAGAACGCCTTTTGATTGATAGAATTATTTGATTGGTGTGTATCAATACAGTCTAAAGCGTAAAGAATATATAACCATACATATAGAAAATTACGAAATATGCGTAGTTGCTTAATATAAGGAATTTAATAGTTAATCTTAATATAAAGATTCCTGATTTCTGTCTCTAGTTCTATGTATACTAATGTATTGAAAGTACCTATTTAAATTTTGTAAGTTGATGTCGAACTGTATGAACTATGTGATATTTTTTCAATATTATTATTGATAAATAAATAATTTAATACTTCGATACAAACTAGTTTCTCTACCGGTCCTTAAGAACAATAATTGTTCCTAAGACCGACACCTACGACTACATTAACCTTATATATGTATGTATTATTATAATTATTAGATTTTATGAGGCATATTCACAATGATATATAAAAAACTTTTTAGTGTAGTGATTAAAAGTACATCGAAGACGGATAGCGCGCGTTAATTTCATAACAGCGTGACTCAGAAAAAAGGGAGAAATATATAATTATATTTTCCTTTGCGATAACTAAAAGCTCAGAGCATCGAGCAAGCAGAATTGTACTTAATTGTTAGTGAGTGAAGAGTGCTTGTTATGTAGACTCCCTAAAGAACGTGTTAAACAATCTGGTGGAGTGAATATCAGTGACAATATTGAACATTCTGATAAGATGAGAATACTAAAGTATCCAGAGATAACCTAGTGAAACACATGAGTGGCACTATGGGCGTCACAATATATTAGTGATGACCGTAATGCTGCTCATATATACTTTATATGTAGGATATGACGACCACTATCCAATAGCGTTCTATTGGATAGTGGTCGTCATCACCGACAGCTTATTTGCCACAATTTGATACAATAGATTATAATGTATATAATTATCATTACTCTAGCTAATATTTAGCAAAGATTATAACTCTGACTCACAGACAACCAGAGAGATTTTGCTCCAAACCTATTCCGTAGCTACGTGTGATCCAACAGAATTTTTTTTACTCATTAACGAATGTTCGAGTCATTTAAGCTGACATTTCGAAGCTAATTTATAAATCCTTCGAACAGTAACCTAAACAAAAAAGAAAAAAGCGAAAATTGTAAATCGTTATCTATTGATTGTTATCAAACAACAATAATAAAAAAAATATATTTACAGCGCTGTTATCGTTTGAATGATTAATTAATTCAATTATAGAAGGCGTATTAAAAATTTCCACGTTATGTTATATATTTCCTTTCCCTGGAGCTATTTTTCTCTTTTCTTCTTTTTTATGTTATATTTATTATTTAGCAACATATTCTGTGAAAATTTAAATCTAATTCCTCCAGCTGTTTTTACATGAACAACAAATAGACAGACGGTTTTTGCGTCGTAATTTTTTCTTGGTTCTGTTATACGATCCTAGGTTACCTACTTTCCTGTTATGTCACATCACTGTCCACATCCAATGCCCTTTTCTAAACACGACTGATAATAAAAATTCTCAAGTCCGACCCATACATGCACAGGCACTAATTACAATATGTGGCATAAATGAAACTATAATCGTTTCATTAACATATTAAATAATATAATTTATTAAGTAGTATAGCACAGCAATTTTTTTAACATGATTTTCCAAAGCAAACCTTAACAACACTTCTATATGTCACATCACTTGTTACACTGGACAGTTCGTTTGTATTCGTCTATAGTCTCAGTAAGTATCTTCTGGAAGATGCTCTCAAAAAGCTGATTCTTCACAATGGCTTCGTCTACGTGGAGGGCGGTCCACTCGGGTTCGCACCGTCGCCATTCCGCGAACAGTATGTCGTCAATATGGTCTGAGCGACGGGACGCCACGCCTGCAAAACAAATATTAATATTCTTAGTACATTAGAAATATGAATTGCACTTCTAAGGTTTATTGAGTTTACAGACAGTTCAGTTGGATTATTATATTTTACTACCTTGTTAGCATAACGATAGCACACCGATTTATTTCCTATGGTCGCGCGTTTGTTTATAAACACTTGTTTTGCATGTTATTACTCAATACATACATTTGTATGCCTGAGTGTGATATATTGGTCTGTGTTTATATTTACTAAAAATAAATTATTTAGTACCATGGTACAAACTCTGCCTAGTACGAGGATACTAAACAAAGTTTATGGGATAAGATGGCATATATTAGATGGATGAATTACATTGTAGAAAACAAAGTCGCCGCCGTTGTCTGTTTGATTATATGTTTTAAATTATTCAATGGATTTCGATGCAATTTTAAGCAATAGATATTGATTCAAGAGGAAGGAAGGTTTATAGAATAATAATAATAATAATCTCAGGAAATTCACACAGCGCCATCTAGACCCAAGTTAAGACCTAAGCTAGTTAAAGCTTGTGTTATGGGTACTACTAAATAACTGATACATATACATAGATTTCTTTTTTTTTGTAAATACATACATATTATACATAGAAAACACCCAGACCAATACAATCATACTCATGAATACAAATGTTTGTGCCGTGCGAGGAATCGAACCCGCGACCATTGGTTGTAAAGCGGTATGCGAGACCGCTAGGTCACGGAAATCGTCAAATGTTTAATACAAGCGTGTTATAGTACAGAACAAGCCGAAAAATTAAAAAAATATTAATTATCTGTCCGAAATCGGGACGGGTCGCTAGTTATTATGAAAAAGAAGACGGCATGGGACCTATACACATGGTGATAGTTAGTATTTATTGTTTATTCGTAGTATTTGTTGTAATGCAAAGCAAGTACGCTATATGCCATTTATTAGGACATTTATAATCCTTATAATGACCTAATAAATGTTACATTGAGTGGTTTTGTTTCTTAATTCCTGGTGTATTAATAGCTCAACCAATTGTCATCTTATTTTGAAGCTTATAATTAGTTGAATAATAGTTTACTAGTGTACTATCATAGATCAATTTATTACTGCTAATGGCTTGGTGAGTATTTATATCAAATGTATGAATAATAATATGTATTAAATATGACTATCAAAGTAAAAAAGCTTTTCCCGTCTCTCTCTGTCTATCTCGTATGAAAAAATGTGGGAAATTATACATTAATAGAAGTTAAATTTCATACCTAGATTTGGTGGAAAAATAAGCTCAAGACGAACCTTGTCTTGTATATAGTCAATGACTACAAATTACTACTTATATATATATAAACTAATTACCTGACACAACTGCAGGCGCCACGCCAGTCAAAGCCTCCGTTAAATCTGACGAAGTTTTATTTACTAATTTTTCTGTGTCAACTTGTGGTTTTTGAGGTAATAAATTGCACGAGTCCCATGGTTTCTCGCTTTGTTCTAGTTTCTGCCTGTAGAGTGCTTCATGGCAGAAATCGTGAACAAAAACATCAAATGGTTCGTTTTTGTCTAAGGATTCCATGTTAGGGTCTGTGATGTACTGCTGTATACGGTCTCCAGTGGCTTCGTCAATTAAAAACATACGTGGCACTCTAGACATTCTCGATTCGGTGGGCGGAGTGTATGGTGGTGGAGGCTTATCAGGTATCTCACGAACAACTAAAAGTTGACACTGCTGCTGTTCTAATGCTTTAATCTGAAAAAAATATATATTTTATGTAGAAATGACAAGTAAGTAAGCTGGTAGCTGAAAAGCTGATAAGCTGTAACCATTACCTACATACATGGACAGCACTACAGTCATCAAATCATAATGCACTTATGCATTACCATTCCAGAGGTATAAGATGGCATGCCTCTTATCCTGTAATTTGTCTGTCTAATTCCTATAACCGAAACTCAGCTTATAAAGGAAGCTGATTGGCATTTGAGTACATATCCATACAGTCGAATTATGTCATGGGTGGCATACATCTCTAAGCTGTAGTGTATATTACAAAGCTATAAGTTTGTAAATTGTCTAGGATAATTTTGCTAATGTAAACATTGTTGCTAACAACAAAATAACTTACGGTAACTATTTACAAATAAAGTTATGGAAATAATGCTACAAATGTAAAAATGGTCCATATTAGAATTAACATATCAAACACTTCCGTATTTTATTAAACTATATTCATTTAAGATCTCACGCATGTAGCACGCTGAATGCATGAAATAGCTTGGTAGAGAGGAGTGAAATACTACGTATATTTAAACATAGGACATTTTGATATATATGAAGATAAGTTTTACGATGTTATATAAACTGTGTTTACAGCAAATAAATATATAGACTTAAACGTAACAACTACTTTATCCAACAAAACAAGATACATTGAAGGCTATAAACCTAATTACAGGTTGCTAAGCATACTTTTATTTATTATGAAATCCGGCTATATTGGTGTTTTGATAGATGTTAGATGGAATTATTAATTATGAAGAAGTGAATGAATATATATTATATATGAATGAATATAGATACCTACCTCTCTCTCGATAGCTAACTGTTGTCGGCGCAGTTCCTCAGCCTCGCAGTGTACTGGCGAGGTGAGTGGTGATACAGACGACCCACTGGCACATAGTGGTTGACTGCTTATGCTGGTGCCCTCTAAAATTGCATTTATAAAATTGTTATCATTACCATGTAAATTTTACATAGCATACATAAATATATATCATGGCTATGTTATACATTTATGTTAGGTGACAAATAGTTTTAACCTTAACCAATTATGTCAAGTTAGGATAATGTTAATTAATTAAAATTAACGAAATAATTTAAGCATTATCAAAACATCAGAGATAAGCAAAATATTCAACAAAAAGTATTTAAATAGAAAATTAAATATATTTGTATTTCTTTTTAATACATTATATAATAATTATATTTTTTTTCAAAATACATAATTACAATAAAATACTTTCACAGTTCTTAACTAATAATAAAACAAAAAATAATAAATGCCACAAATGACAATTCATCCAACATTATTTTTATTTTTGACTGTGTACTATTTTTGTTTGAATCATATGTAAATAAATACAGAAGACTTATATCTCAAATATGTATACACACATATATATATAGACAGGCCGCGCCCATCGGTGCAATAACACCTAATACACAGACTATGCTTAATTTTTAAGTTTAATAAAATCGAAGTATTAGCCAATCAAAGTATACAATATACATAGATAAATATTAAATAAAAACAATTACATACTTAAATTTATAACAAATTCTTTACAACTAATTAGTTAAAATGGATGTATGTGTACCTGTTGAGACTGATGATGCCGATGATTTAGGCATTAGCCACAATGGTGTGTCTGGAGAGTGGGAGTCAAAAACAGCAGCGCCACCAGCGGGAATCGGCAACGGCCCCTGATTCATCATTACTGTTTCTCCATCTTCAGGAGATACAGAATTGTCACATATGCATGATTTATCAGCATACACCATGTTACTAGCGTTTCGCAAAATCTCCGTACCCTTACTAGTCATGGTAGAAGGAATCTGATAACTGCGATTCTCACAATGATTTATATTTAAATCAGTCACTTGTACTAAACTGTCTTTCAAATCATACAATACACTAGAATTATAATCGTGCTCAGACACATCTAATGGTGACTTTTCTCCTTCAGTTAAACCTTTATAGTACTGATCTAACTCTTCCACTAGACTTCGAGCAGTTGAGGGTGTACTGCTTTCCAAATCTGGATTTTTTATTTGATCTATAAATTTCTCGACATCTGTCTCATTCAAATTACTCTGGTTATTATTTGTCGAGTTTACTATATTTTTCAATGCCTCCTCATTAACTTCATATTGTTTACCATGACTGAAAATTTTTGGCAATGACAAATTATGAAACAGAATATTAAGGTAGCTTCCATCGACAACTACGAAATTCTCTGCTGCAATATCAGTAGACTGATCAACAAGAACTGTCGCTGAAATACTATCACCAGTTTGAATACTCTTTTCTGCACTTGTAGCATTTGTAGCCATAGCGCCTGATTCAGGAACTGCCAATGGCATATCGATCTTAGACCGGAACGTCGTACTATCTTCGCAACCGCTACTCGATAAATCAAAACACTTAACAGGTGCTATATTACGATCAGATCCTGTGTTTCTCTTCAATTTCTTTTTTCCTAACAGTATTTGATCGACGTCAACATTACTGCTCAATTTCAGTTCTATATTTTTTTTTGTTTTCATAAGTGCCACTTTACGTTTTTCCGTGAGTGCCACAAGCGCTTTACGCATTCTTTGCATTTCCCCACATTCGTGTTGAAGTTTTAAGAGTGCACCTCTTTGTTTCTTCTTCAATGTAGATATATCAGTATTTTCTTGTTTCTTTTTATCTTCTAACCAGAGTATTTGGGATTTAGTGTAGTCCTTCAGAGCATCTTCTCGCATTTTAAGTACAAACAAAAGATTCTTCGCTCGTCTTTGTTCATCGCGAATGAGCAAGTTGAGCTGTAATACAGTGATATGTAAATAGGTAAATAATAACTTTTTAAATAGTGCAATGTCAAGTTAATTAATGTAGTTACTATCATTATTATGACCTAATCTAATTAGTTACATAGCTGGCAACTACTTGACGAGCGATAACGCAAATGACTAATTACTTCTCACGAAATGTTTACAGATAAAAAGAATAGCACTTACCAAACAAAGACTCTTGGATGCCATTGTTTCATCAACATTATTTTCATTTTCAAGTCTCGACAAAAAGGAACTGTACTCAGGACTCCTTACATCGAATCCACTATTTTTCACCCAGTTTTCAACTTTATTTTCTGACAAACACTTATTGGACAATGAACATGATTCCAAATATTGGAGTGATTCGAAGAACGAATCTATAAAATTAAGCTCCCTTTGAAACTGCTCACAAATGTAGTCACTTTGTAATAAACCATTATTAACTCTTATTGTGCTGATTATATCAGATGGTTTTACCAATTTACTGCTATTAAAAACGTAAGAACAATTAAGGGACTTCAACTCATTGATACAATCAGTGTAGTCAATGTTAGTTTTATCCTTTTTTTTATATGTTTCGTCCTGCATGAAATCATTTAACTCACTTTTCATCATTTCTTTTTTATAGACTGACACAACATTCATAGGATAAGCTAACGGTATCGGACTCGGTGATATATTCGAAGCATCACTACTGCTGCTGACAACATGAAAATTTATTTTTTGTCTTGTCGTACAGGTTACTGTGGCGCTACTAATTATGAATGAAGAACTTTTGTAGAACATTGACTCTTTATCATTATATACATCTTTATTGGGAGTCATTTTTAGAGACGGCACTTGTAAATTTGGCAGCGATTTACTATTATAAAGCTTAACTATCTCTTTGGATTCACTTCTGTCTTTTGTGAGGGTAACATTTGGTATTTCAAGACTATCAAACACTTTTATAGTTTCCTCCTGTACATTACCACATTCAATTAACTTATTTATGATTTTAAAATCATGAGATTCTATTTCAGTCATTTGATCTAATGTTACTGGCAATGGATTTGTTCCAATGTTAACATCTTTACAAGAAACTATATTTTCTGTTTCCGTGCCACAGTGTATTTGCTTAACATTGTCAGATGTTGGATGTATGCTATTTTGCGATAATACAAAACAATCACGTTTTTTATACTTTTCATCTAAAGGTACATGTATTATAGTTAGTGCCTTATTTCTATTTTTAATTTCTTTCATAAGCTTTTGTTCTGATCTATTTTGTGATGAAGGGGGCGATCTATTTACTCGGGATCTTTCTACAGTTTTCGTAGAAATATTACTTTTCAAATTCTCTAGTAATTTACTTTTCAATAAACAGACTTCTTTTTCACTTTCGCTTGGTGTAATTATATTTTTACTTATACTAACTTTAGACGATGCAAACGCCGTCCGCGAATTATAAGTAGGATCTAAAAATAAATAAACAAGAATTAGAATCAGACACTTTAATTTTACACTATAAGAATAGAAGTAAAAACATCTATGCATTATATTGATTAGGGTAATCTGTCTGTTTGTAAACTACTTCATTACAAGACAAACCATCTGTTTCATCGAATTTTATAATTGAGCAGACAAAAGTATTTTAGTTGATATAATAATAGATAAATTTTGAATACTGTATACAGTTCAACATATAAGTCAGTATTTAAGAATAGAATCAATAATCTTATGGGATGTTAATTCGTTCACATAAACAAAGATGGGGAAGCTGATACAACATTGATTATATAATTATATTTACAAACCTTTTCCCTTTAGATTTTTGTTTCTAGTATTTTCTCGTGTGGATTGATTCATATTTGAATATTTGCTCCTGTAATTCAAGTTTGCGACACTTATATCCTTTCTGTTACTTTGTACACTGTTTGATTTTACATTTGTTTTAGTTTCCTTGGAGTCTAAAAATTCAAATAAACAATTAAAAAATAATTTATTAGATGTGCAGACAGACTCAGGATAAGATCGAATTAAAATTCATTATGACATAATATTAAGCTAGATTACTTATTTCAAAACCATGTATTCCAAAAAAATATTATCAATCATCATGTAATTAATATTTTAAGCAGATATTCAGTATAATTATACCAGTTTGCCAAAAGCTAACGTAATAAATTGTTACTATTATATATACTTCACAGTATGCTTACACTAATACTCACATTTGGAAGAACTTGTCAATCTTGAAGTAGTTCTATGTGAAAATTGCTTTTCCTCCTTAAATTCTGTACCAACTGATCTATTTGATGTTTTTACAGATGACGATCTTCGTTCTCTAGCTGTGGTATAGAATAAAGCTATTATATTTCGTATGGAACATACACATTATTATTATTTAAATATATACCACTTTTTGAAATCATGTATTTTTACCAAGATATTAATGACTGTCATCTCTGAGGCGATCTAAAAATTATTTCATTAATGTTATTTTTTTGTTGAACTGGCGATTTTGTTGTGTAAATATAAAGTTAAACATGCATAAAATAATATCACTAAGAACAGTTAACGACATAATCACATCAACCCATTTTGGTTCAGTAAGTGTAATTAACAACAATAAGTGTTAGTGTTGCATTCCACATAATTTTCTGACCACATGCCAGCTGTTTCTAATAACTTGCTCTGTCTATCAAACTGACAAAACATCTATACATGTGTACAACTTTTCTGCATTATTCTTAACAGGTTTGAATTTTATGGCATTCCAAATTCCAGGCTATTCGAAGAACAACTAATCTTTATGATATGGCCACATATAGTAACATATTCTTCAAGATTAAGATATTCTGAAGTTTGATAGCAAACTTAAACAGATTCTACATATAACATGAAACAATATTCCTGACTCAACTAAAAATACTAGCCAAATGAATCAGTAAGATAAGAAATATTAAACATACAGAATTTAGGATGTAGGTCATTTTCGTCATCTTCAGTGATAGTAACAATTTTCCTCTTAGTAAAATTAGAGGCCATCATTTTGGACGAAGCCACCACATCACTTCTAAGTGAGCAACTTGTTTTTATGTCTGGTTCGTCCACTGTTACGACGCGCCGTAAACGCGGCTGAGACATGTAACCGTTCTGTGGCCATGACCCTGAAACAATGGAGGAATGGTAGGTAGCTATAAATAATATGACAATTTGTCCATTATTATCATAATGTCAATATTTTCTAAATAGAAATAGTGCATTTATATTTTATTCTATATACTCAACTACTGCTCATAGCCGTTTAAGAAGATTATCCCCATTTTTAGATCCGCGGGATGTCATCCGTTTACAAGGCAGAGTCGTCTTCTGATATTCAGGATTCTACAAAGTGGCCTTATATTCTCGATGGCCGTAACTACTCCGTACGTCTTTTGATTTTATTTTACCATTGCCGAGCTGCTCATGCCCAACCAAATCTCGTCATCAATGAATTGCAACAAAGATACTGGATACTTCATTTAAGGAGTTCTCTTCGTGCCATTATCCATCAATGTCCGAGATGTATTCTTCTGAAGTCTAAACCTTTAAATCCGCCTATGAGCGACCTACCAGCGGAGAGATTAGCCAATCATCGTCGTCCATTTACTTTCGTTGGATTGGATTATATGGGACCGATGTTGGTGACAGTAGGAATAAGAAAGGAGAAGAGATACATTGTCTTGTTCACCTGCTTAACGTCGAGGGCCATTCACATAGAGGTCGCAGCTTCTCTATCCACCGACAGCGCGCTTATGTGCCTTAAGCGATAGTGTAGATAAGCAGAAGTGGGAACCCAGATAAGATCTATTCAGACAACGGGATGGCGTTCGTTGGCTCTAATAATCTGTTAAAGGCAAAGAAGAAGCTAATACAGGGATAACATGGTCTATTATTCCACCTGCAGCTCCTCATATGGGAGGCGCTTGGGAGCGTCTAGTGCGGTCTGTAAAGACAGCGTTGAAAGTTATTCTGTGTGACCGTGCTCCCAGAGATGAAGTGCTTCATAGAGCCTTAATTGAAGATGAAGCGTTAGTAAACAGCCGGCCTCTCACTCACGTTCCGTTAGATCCCTCTTCACCCGCTCTCATACCATTCCACTTCATTTTAGGTGAATCTTCCCCATATCACCGGTTCCGGTTGTTTTGGATGAGGGTAAATTTCTCGGAAGAAGTGGTTGGCAGAAGGCTCAATGTTTAGCCGACATGTTTTGGTCATGCTGGGTTAAGGAGTATTTACTAACACTAATTCCGTGAAGATCCCCTGGCCAATACCGGGAACAAACAGTGACAGTAGGAGATATGGTCCTTATTGTGGACCCTTCACTACCTCGAGGTATGCGGCCTTTAGGTCGAATAGCCACCGTATAACACCTCTGGAGGTATACTCCGACGACCACTGAAAAGGCTGGTCAAGTAGCGAGTAGACTTTCAGTAGGATGTGACTATGCTATTTTTTATATGTCACTTTTGACTATCTAATTGATTTTTTACTTTCCTTCGCTGTGAGCCCTTTTGGGAAGAATACACATTATTACTAGTATTTGGTTTTTATTAAAATAGTAGTTGTGTTCCTGCTCCAGTAACATTACTTTTCTTTATCTTAGAATAACATAATACATAAAAAAAGACAATCAGGAATCATCATCAATCATCTATACATCTATAACTCCAAAATAACATTTTTTACAATTTTTGTTTGTCTGTCTGTTTGTTCCAGCTAATCTCTGAAATGGCTGGACCAATATTAACAGGACTTTTTTTGGCAAGTAGCTGATGTAATAAGGAGTAACTTATGCTTCGTTTATTTTAGAAAATTAATATAAAATTAAAAACCATGTGGGTGAAGTTGTGTGTCGTGTGTCAAGAATATGTTCAAACACTATGTAAAAACTATTGAAAATCTTTTTTTAGAGATTTAGCAGAAATACATTGTAACATTTCTATTAACCTACAATAATTTCTAATATCTCTAATGCTCTTGGAACCTTTATAAAAGACCAGCTTTCCCTGCAATTGTTTTGCCATATATATTAAATTCACTATAAAAAATATGGGTTAGTGACAGAAGAATGCAAATTTAGTGTTGTATGTATTTTTTAATGGCAAAAACAAAAAACATAATTTTGGGTTGTACCACCTTAACACTTTGGAGTATAAAAATTGGTTATAAACCTATTCTCAGAAGTACAGTTTATACATATAAAATTTCATCAAAATTGGTGAAGCTATTTCAGAGGAGTATAAACACATATTCTCAGATAATATCTGTAGAAACAGGTATTATTAAGAAGAAATAAAAAATGATTAAGAAAAAAAAATAAAACATGGTTATAGAAACTAATTGTTAAAAATTTAGATAATGTAACTTTGAAAGTTTTCAAATTATTATCAAATAAGCCTATTATTTTACCAAACTGGGATCCATAAATTTATATATTTCAAACACAATTGGCCATATTTTAGCTCAATTAGTTATATATAGAGGGAAAATCATCCTTGTGGTTGAGCTTTTATTATTATATGTATAATAATTATAAAATATTAATAATTCAATAAACATAATTTCCTTTTTATAACAAGTTCTATATGTATAATAACCAAATTTATACATTACACCATCCCTACTTAATAGCTGTCAATTGTTTCAAGTTAAATTAGATAAACAATAATAAAGCAAAAACTGATTGCATATAAATAAGTAATTATGGGTGTACAATTATTGGTTAAGAAGAAATAACGACTGAGTACAAAGGGTAGGCAACCAATGAAGAATGCTATGAGTGCCAGAGCACATCTCTATATCTAGTGATGTTCATGGCATTGATCATGTTTACATAACAAATATATTATCATCATGTACACTTTGAATAGCTGTAATGTGAATGTAGCTAATAATCTTGTAATGATACGCACTAAAAATAAAATAGCACAGAAAATGAATAAGATAATAAAATAAACTAGGACAATAAATAGAATAATGACTTACCCTTGGAGTCAAATCCAAATTCAGGCAGTTTGGTATACTTTATTACTGTATTCCTCTGTTTAGAACTAGGAAACGTGGAATTCTCTATCTCCAGAAAAAAACCATACACTTTATGAAAATCGGCATTAACTTGTGGTGATGCCGAAGCATCCATTATTACACGCTACCTTTTCTTCTACATGTGTTAGGTGTGCCAGTCTGTCGTATTAAAAAAGAGGGCAAAATTTATTAACAGTAATGCAATAGCAGTGTTGTTATGGTTGAAGTTGGATTATTTTCACATTTTTATTAATACACACGATACTGCTTTAAGAAAAGGATGGATATGGATTGCATTTTTTTAAGTAAGCAAAATAATGAACTACGCGCATGGCAACTCCTTTAAGAATTCTGGAAGTACAGTTGCACTTGTTGCAAAGTAACAAGTACGACATCTGTAACGAAGTAACTTGTCGCTACTTTGTTTTCTAGCACTAGTATCAAGTATAATAATTAAGAAACGAGTGCGTATATAATACTGCATAGTCTTTATTTAGTTGCTAATAGAATTTTACAATTTATTTCATATATGACAATGGCGCTAAGCCTTCACAAAGCTTTATTTACACGTTGTTCTAAATCATATTGACCTCCACGTTTCCCTTGAAAACCATCGTGATAAGTTCCTATTGAATTCACCAATTGTGCTAAATGATCTAACCTAAAAATCTAACTCAGGCTAATTTTATCATCTTCCACTGGTGCGCCGCCAGCGTAAGCCGTTAGCGGTTAACAGGCTTCATTTATTATGGATGATAATGGAACGGTGCATCCCCTTCCATTATCATCCATAAAAAAAATTAAGTGTAATTTTATGTCTATATATTCATATAGATTTCGATTTGGAGCCGACTATGGCGAATTTACGTACATCCCGCGGTAACACTCTTGCCTAATTACGATGATAAAATTAAATAACAGCCTTATCATATCACCTACACCTACCTAAAGAATGTAGTTCCGTTCAGTGTTTTAGTTGACATTTATTCACAAACAGATTGCAGTTCAGTTCCTCCGAGACTAGTAACTCGATTAATGAGCATCGCGCTTTTTCGATTAATTTTGAGTTTTGCGCTCTATAGCATCATTAATTTACGACGCGTCAGGCACTGTTCGTTTCCTTTAACCGTTTGGCCTTAAATCATAATAAAAGTAATCACTGATGTGATGTACTAAATCCATTAACTTATTTAAAGTACTAAATTGATTTTGTTAAGACATATTCTAATTAGCTTTTTTAATTCTCCAATATATGAAGTATATCGGAATTATTTTACTACATAATTACTCAGAAGAGAGAGTACATATCGTCAAAGATAGGAGTTCATACCTGCATCATAGAAGAAAAAGGAGTCTAAATAGATAGAGACTATTAAAATAAAGCTATTTATATTCCTTTTACAAATGTAAAAAGAGCTGTATATAATATATTGATTTTCTTCGAATACATAATAACTATTTTCTTTTCCTCAAATTTAAACTCACTCATATATTAGCGTCATAAAAAATGATCTTCAGAAATAATATAAACCAGAACGCTATTGATTGTAAAGAAAGTAACTAGTAATGTAACGATACTTTAACAACCAGTACTACTTGGTATGGTTACCAGTACGTATGGATACTTCATTTGTCTTTAGTTTTCATCTCTATTTATTTCTGTAGGGAATGGACATAGACACAAAGCTAAGATAAGAAATATTTTTTTATCTATTGGGATTTGTCGGACTTCGAGACACCTCTCATCACTAAAAATTATAAAAAAATAAGCATTTTCATCTATACTTTAAATTTAATATTACCCTGAATAATGTTTTGTATATGTTGCTGGCAATATTTATAATTCAAGTATTCTATAAGTAATATAAAAATTTTTTAGTGTTGGAAATTTTTATAATGTAATATAAAAATATATGTCATCTGTGTATGGGAGCCGGTGAAAAGTATGGGACACTTACCTCACTAACATTAGGGCGCTAGGGCGCATTCACGCTAAAATTAGGGCTCTTCAGCTAGTACATGAACTAAGGGGTCGCTTCATCATTCTACAGCGCCTTTGGCTATGTAGTTCGAGTCCCAACCTGTAGAAGTTGTAAACCAGCCGTTTCCTCGATAGGGTCGACTGCTTCGCCGTATTTATTCAAAGAGACGCTTGGGCCGTTTTGAGAAGCTGCCTAGATTTAAACGAGCACATGCTATTTATGGATAAATATAGATATGCCGGTAACATAAACATATATAGTTTGCCGACCCCAAATAGATGGGATAAGGAAGAAGCAGATGATGATGATAAACATATATAGTTTACAGCAGTAAGACAGTACATATTTTAAAAGTTAGACCTTAGTTTAATCTTGGTATTTGCTGCTTAAAAAATTATGTAAGAGTAGAAAAAAATAGTCTAATTAAACTTTTGTACATATAAAGTAATCTATTTTTGTTTTAATGTATCGAGAAATCCAGAAAGAAGACAAACATTACTATTCGTTTGTTTGTCTTCTTTCTGGATTCTGGATGAATTTAATTATTATTTCGATTCCAATAAAACAAACATTAAATGCTTACACTACTATATTAATGAATTATTAGAATACTATTGCATATTAATAAAATCTACCTAAAATATTTCATATTATATATCTGTATACACAGCAATCGGTAACATTTTTATTAAATGTAAAAAGATTTAATTTGGATTCTTAAGATTAACTTAAAGCTACTACGTTTTAATCCAAAACGTAGCGTAGTGGTTATTTGCTTAGCGGACAGATGGATTAATATCCAAAATCCTAATAAAAAAAAACTATACTATGGATTACAGATACACACACATTGAAAAGTCAATTACAAATTACAAATGACCATAGACATGCTCTGCGTTTCTTGAATATTCTTAACTCTATCCTATCGTCGTCGAGACTATAGAATAGAAATATTAAAATCAATCTTTTGTGATAGGAGAAACGCAATTTATTGTTTTATTATTAATCTTCTTGGTGCTTGAAATCTAATATTATATTATGTTCTATTTATATTTTTACTTATTTTAATGTACTCACGGCTAGATTGAGCAGCTAATCTCGTTGGCCTGTTAAGTCACAGCTCACAGTTCGATGTCTTTGTTGATCAAGTGCAGTGTCCGTAATTAATCGTGAACGTTCTAAACTCCAGATATACTTGTGATCACACTCCTATTCATACGTTAATAGTTACGATGCAATCCTTGGAATTCAATCACAAATTTAAAAGATAGTGCGTGACCATGTATTTCAATATTATTGTGAAGTATTGTGCTCTTCTGTGAAAGGAATATTTTTACTACACACGTTTTCGCAGTAATAATAAAGGTATGTACTGTTTTTCTCTTTATATTATTTATTACCTAGCCTGCAGTTTAATAATCAATCACGTAGGTAGCCATTTTAGATTGCTAAGTACCTATGTAATGTAGTAGAATAGGACAGGTAACAAGTCTAGGTATGCAGTTTCCTATGTTAGAAGAGGAACAGAAAATCAGTCAATAGTGTGATATAATATAGATTTTATCATTTAAAATTGCACTGGGAATCTGGGATTCCATATTATACAACCCTGGGAGCTAGCTTGTTGCATACTATGTCCTTGTTCTCAGATGTGAGCCTTTAATTTTAGTAAAATAGTTATAGTGATAAAAATGGATCTCAGAACAGGTATTTAAATTGATATATCTTTTTTATTTAAATCAGATATAAATGTTAGGTGAGACAAATTGTGAAAAATCTTTAAAATGTCCACCTGCATAATCAATTATTTCCTGGGAAGGACTTTCATTTTTTTACTGATAAGGAAGGAGTTGGAACATTAATAAGAGAGATAGGAATTTCCAACACCATGTACTTTCAGGAATCAATAGTTTTTATATAGCTGACCTGAGAATGCAATTCTTATATACCAAGTGCATTTAAATTTTCTAAGGCATAAGGTAATATGTGTATTTGGAGATTATGATTTAATATTCTAGTTTATTCTAGTTTTTCTCAATATATGTTTGGAAGGAATAGAAAATAGAAAATTTAAACCTTTTAATTTAAGTTTGACCTAAATAGGAGCTTGTACTTTGCTGCCTCAATGGACATTATTAATTTTTCTTAAGTTTATGTTTCAAATATCATTTTGATTTGGATTTTTGATATTATCAAAATCATTTACTGAAAAGAACAAAACAAGAAGAAATATTTTTGATAAAATTGTACTTCCTGTATGGTGTTACATAGAATGTAGTATTGATTTATCTTTGTCTCCCCTACTGAGCAAGTCTAGTAATGTAACATGCAATCCATATCAAAATGTCTACCAGTTAGACTTTAAAATGAATAAGAAAGAACATAAAGTATATGTATTATCTCTTATTCACTTTTTAATAATATAATTGATTCTTTTTACTATCAAAAGTGTTTTACTGAGATAGACTTTGCATTTAATGATCTGGGTAAGTATCACTGCTCCTCCTTTTGCAGCCTTCAAGCATCTTCCTATGTAAGTGCATTAGTTTGTAGAGTCAACATATGGCAAGGAAATTACAGTACACTGTAATCTTATGACACCTTAGTCTTATGGAATGGCAATCCAGATATTAGAATGTTATGATGTAGTTTGTAGATGTAAAATGTAATATTGTAATCTTTGTAAGTTGCAATATACCATTGAAATATTAGTTATTCCGTATCAGGATAACATATTTTTTGTACCTAAGTGTAAATTTTTTGACCAAATAGCATATTTGTGGAAACATTTGAATTACTTCTTTAGTTTGAAGATATCTGCATCTGAGGTGCATCAATTGCTCGTAATATCAATGTTAATGCTGATACATGTGAAATAATTTTTTGGTTCCTGAAGTTTAAAGATTGTGTTTAATATTTTTAATATATAGTGCACTGGAAGGCCCGTTGTGTATGAAGACATAGTATTGGAGTTATTATGGATTTTGGACTTTACGAGGTATATTAGTTCCGAATAGAAAAAGAACTTGCCCTTACATTAGAATTTCTGCCTTTCTTGATATACAACAAGCATTTGATCGGATATGGCATGAGAGAATCTGGAGAAACATCAATGAAACTATGAGACCAAAGTTGGAGTGCCACAGGGATCAATTCTTGGTCCTATGTTATACATGATATATACAGCGGACATTCAGGAAGTGAAGTAACTATAGCCAACTTTGCTGCATTGCTGGCTAGCAATAAAACATCTGACATGGCTTCAGCTATTCTCCAGAATCACATGGTTGCAAAGAGGGAAAGTCAAGACCAACATTACAAAATCTGTCCAAGTGACCTTTACTCTAAAACATGGAAATTGCCCACTAGTGCGATTGGGATATTATGCTTTGCCAAATAAGAACACCGTTAAATATCTCGGATTACATCTTGATTTTGTTTAACTTGGAGAGAACATATAAAAACCAAGAGTGAATGTTTGATGGTTTAAAAATTTTTCTTTGGAGCTGTCTGAGGTGCTCGAGGATTCCAGATAAAACACCATTGTTATAGGCGACTTTAATGGCAAAATAAGAAAACAAATATCAGGAGAGGAACTGATTCTTGGAAATTATGGAATAAGAGAAAGAAATGAAAATGGTCAAAGAGTCCTATACATGGCTCAAGAAAATATCTGGTTCTCCTAAATAGCTTTTACATAACAAAACAGAATGATGAGAGCAACTTTTTACTCGAAACAGAAAAAAGATATTCTTTCACCAACATTAGAACAGCCTGTTCTAATGTTGGTGAAAGAATATCTTAGTACTAAGAATACAAATAAAATACAAGAAATCTATGACCAATATATAAACTGTATGTACAAGACTATAAATGCTAAACCGAAAAGAAAAAGTCATAACTGAATAAACAAAAGAACTTCTGTTTCTAAACAAAAAGAATCTTAAAAATACTTTAAAAGATCACAAATATAAGCTAAGAAATTAGCAATAGTATAAAAAAAGATAATTAAGAATTAGAAAAGCATTGAAAGAATTACAGATATCAAAAACATGGATCTCGAAAATTAAAAATAAGAACCAAACTACAAACAGACATTGTATTTTGAATATTGCAACAAATTTCTACAGAAACCTCTACTCAAGTCAAGCCTACAATAAAAAATCAATCTAGATGAAGAAAACGAAGAGGTCTTTTAGAAAGAGAAGTAGAATACTTTATTAATACGCTTAAACATGAAAATTAAGCTATAAAAATGACATTGCCTGAAACTTTACCAAAACTATTAATGAGAGGCTTATTCGTTTTGGTAAAGTTTCAGGCAATGTCATTTTTATAGCTTAATTTCTTATATTATCAGGTTCTGCTTTTTCATGTTTGCTTCAACATTATTTTAGAGAGAGAGTCAGTCAGAGATGACAAGCAACATAATACTTATCCATAAAAAGGGAGATAAAGAATATATAGCTAACTATTGTCCTATTAGCCTTAAACCAATATTTATAAAGTCTTTGCCAAAATTGCCATATGCAAACATTAAAACAAATCATTGAAAAATGCAAAGAATATATATTTCCTACACCTTGCTTTCATGGACTGTAGTAGGGTGTTTCACACTATGCTATATAGTCAAACTTAAATCCCTAGGGTAAGTCTTTCCAATTAGGAAGGACAGTGTGAACCTTTATCTTCCAAGATATTGTTTAATACCTGCATCTTACCTATACTAACAATCAGATGTTATTAAACATGGGCAATCACCAAGAAAAATATGCATAAACTTATAACATGCCAAAGGAGTATGAAGAGAAGCATGTTGGGTTATAACAGGAGAGATAGAAAGAGAGCTGTGGACATAAGTGTTACCACCGGTTGGGATGAAATCATTACTAAAATTAAAAGGTTGAAGTGAAAGTGGACAGGTCACATACTAAGAGGAAATATGAGATGGACGAAAACTGTAACTAAGTGGATTCCCTGTTATGACAGTACAAGAAATCGTCTGATGACCTTAGAAAGATTGCCGGCCCACTATGGCTCTAATAGGCAAAAGATGACCACATGGAAAATGCTGGAGGGAGGCCTTTGTGTCTAAAGGACATGTTGACTCCGAGACTGATGTGCAGAATTAAAACCAACATATATGTATAATTAATATTTCTTTTATCTTTTAAACTTTTAATTAATTATTTCAGTTAGATTGTATAATTTTGTGTCAATTAATAAAGGCTTTGCATTTGAACTGGCTTATGGGTCCAAATATAAAACTGTCTATTGACAATAAATTACTGAAGTCCATTTTAAAACCTGTATGGATATATGGCTTACAACTTTAGGGAAGTGTGTCAAAGTCTAAGATCATCCAGTGTCCAAAATATTATAACAGTAGGACAGTATCAGGTGTCCCTTGGTTCTTCACCAATAACGAAATTCATATTTAGGCATGCTGGCACTAAAGGATGAGATACTTTATTCCAAAACATACTTAATATAAAAAGCACCTTTGTAACTACCCAAATTACCAGCTGTTCAACTATTAGAAAAACACTACCCTAAGGGACTAAAAAGAAGCAATATTATGTAATGTTTCGCAATATTTTAAAGGATCCTCCCGCTGGGGTGTATATTACACTCCAATTTTAGTTCCCACATTTAAAAGATCTGCTTCTAGTTTGAAGACTGATTGCAGATATGAAAGAAAAAAAATCTGAAATATGTGCCGAAGGTGTTGAATGTTGTTTATACATAAGTGAAATGTTGCTAGTTGCAGTTTGCAATTAAGGTAATAATTTATACAAGTAATATGTGTTATATCACTAGAGTCAGTCAGGAATGAAACAATGTTTGAAGAAATTATGTTATCAAAAATTTATACTTGTTTTTCTAAACAATGTACTTAATATAAAAATAAAGAGTCTGTAATAGACCTATAGGAATACTCTTTGAAATATTCTTACTTAACAAAATAAATATTAACAATTTTATTATTTTTACACAACTATTGTCCTTGTAGACCTGGTAAGAAAATGTAGCTAAATACAGCTATTATCTAATAGGGCATCAAAGTCAAATATTTGAAGCATAATATCTACTATTCAGTCTAGAGAATCTTTTTAAAGATATCTAAAGAATCTAAAATTTTAAATACATCATTATAATGCCTTGGTATTACGCTTTATAGGTTAGACATTCTTTACACAAATATAAAGAGAGGGAGAAGGAGAGAGCGCATTTTGAGCTTTTTGTGTAAGCAGAGTTATTTCTATGGTATTAGAAATAACACTTTATGTAATGTATAATATAATAATAGATGAAAAATACAGTTCTATATCATTTCTTCTCCTATATTCGTTAATCCAGGAAATGTAGCATGAGAGATACAAAACTTTTTGGACAATGAACTATATTATGTATTGTTTGCACATACATATTTATTTATCAACTTACTGTTTGTGGCACCAAAACTACTACTTATACTAAGTAATTTATGCAGTCATTTAAACTCATAGGTAAATTATTTGACATATATTTTATTTTTGATTTTACAGGTAAAACAATGGCTGTAAAAAAGCATGAACTGGTTCATGACAATCGTAACCAACTGGATCTGACCGCGCTGGAGCAGTACATACAGCTCATGAATGAACAGCCACATTATTTACCTCCTCCGAATGAACTAGTAAAGAATTGCCAGGATATTGTAAAATGCCTGGGTAAGTTTCATATATATCGTAAAAGTAGACAATAAGATAATATTAAGACATTGAAAAAATCTTGCAAAAAAAAATTACATGTATTTTAACTCCCTTGTTAATCAATTAATGATACAAACAGTAGCATATAAATAACTAAATAGGGTAATACCACAAAAGAATTTGACGTAACTGTAGTAATGAAATGAAACCTTCAGAAGAGGGAATCATACATATACGCACAGACGTAATAAGTAGTCCATACTGTAGCTTTAATCATTTCATAAATTTGTTAAATTTAACGAAAAATGTATGCGTAGTAAGTATCTTGAAAGCAATGAATACAAAATAAATACAAATTATATTTGTGCAACACATACATGTATAATAGAATATATCGCTGATTAAAGGCCAAAGGGTCACATGACGCAAACGGTGAATTTTACAGGAGAGCTTATCACAATTTTCACTCTGATATTTTTACTCTTTTTATGAATCTATAAGTATATCTATGTGTTTGCTCTAGAATGATAACTGTCTTTTATAATATAAATATTATAATGATTTAGATACCATTTTTGGTAAAAATATAGTTTCAGTTCTCTCAGGCCCTTTGGCATTTAATCCGCGATATATCTAAAATATGGTATTTTTTCAACAATTTTATCTAACTATGAAAAAAAAAGTTTTTCCGATATTAATAACGGATGAATGAGTTCGGGCTTTTAGAGCTTCTTGAAGACCGTTCGAAAATCCACCCAGGATGTTCTGAATATCTGACTGAAGGTATAGTGCGGATATTTAGCCACAGAAATTTGAGTTCCAATAGCTTTGTCGGTATTGGTACCAGAACTCGCGTGATGATGATAATAATGTCTGTGTTCAATGGAATTAAGTTTACATTTTTTTTAATGTACGGTATATGGCAATAATAGTGATGGATCTCGTGGTTTTAAGCGATATGACTGGGTATGCCAAAATTTTAATATGGACCTCAATAAGATATGGTATGGCTAATTTAGTGATAGTAATTGATGTGTTCTTGAAGGATTTCTTCGGTTATGGCGTAAGGGCAACCCTTTCATTTTTACAATTGTAACGACGATGCTGTCAATTGTCATAGTTAATGTGTCCTCATCTAAGAATCGTACTTTCTTCCACTACGTTATAATCTAAAAATTGTATTTTAGAAAATCTAAATCTACTTCTTACAAAAGCATTGAGAGCACAGTTTCCAGAATTAAGACATTTAACCATTGTATTTATGATCAACCATTATAAAAATGTTTATTTTTAACCATAAGTAAGGGCTGGATAAAAATCAATAATTGCGATAGGCATATTTTACGTAAACAAACAGGATAATGAAAACTGTAGGTGGGCGGTAATTGTGCCTGTGACTGTATATTAATGCTAAATGAACAAAACAATATCACAGACGATGTGATATATTGTTGAAGAAAATAGAATATAACCACCATTAATTAAACCAGAAAAACTTTTAACCATTATTCAGTATGCAATATGTGTTAACGTTAGTTTTATTTGTATCGAATAGTTATCGTTACAAAGAGCTTAGCTACCCGATTTAATGTAATCGGCTTCGTTTATGGCCAGCAGCATAAAACTGTGTATACACTTTAATATTTCGAACACGCCAGTGGTGAAAAACGGCTATAACATTTTTACTTGTAGATTGCTGTATTATCCTTTGCTTTTTTTTCACATTTACGGGCGTTGTAGGTATATAAAAATAACGAATTTTAGAGCACCGAATAACAATAACAGTGCTTTTGTTTGCAGTAGCTTTTTGTCTCATTTTTATATATAAAAATATTTTTATGATAGTAAAATACTCTCTTTAATATCCAACATCTGACTAGTGATTTGCTAGCAGTGTCAGGTAGAACTCCATGGTAGTTTTCCCACAAAATTATTGTGGTTAAATCTGGTGAATTTCTCATGATGGACTAACTGATCTGACCTTGCATATTCTATTTTTCTCCACTGGGACCCGAAAGCGTATACGTTTAGCGCAGGCGGGTGCAGCTCTCCATTGTCATCACCAACAATACTTACTTGTTTGCTCTGGTTCCGCACGGGTGTAGTAATGAAGAAAATGAATGTACGTCTCTCAATACTTTCTTCTAATTAAACATTTTTTTTACTCTTCAACAGGGATTTTCAAAAATTTTCATCCACACTTTGACATGAGTTCTTACCCAAATATTAGCTACTACTGGGCGCACCCTTTCTGAAGTAATAGGCTTACAATCATTTGGTATTTGAATTATTCTTCTAAAATTTAAGTTTGTGCTTTTAGAGCACCTTTATTAAAACGACTTACACTTGAAAAGTAGGTACATTGAAAAATAAAACAATGAATTGAAGAAAGAAGCAGGTACAGAAGGTGGTCTTATCGCTACCTCAATCTCTTCCAGACTCTTAGGAAAGAGAGTATTTCTAAAGATTAGTTAACAAACAATAAAAAATTAAAGAAATAAAAAAAATATACATCAATGATTTAAAACGAACTAATTATTATTTCCTACAGATGTAGTAGTAGTAAATGGTTGACAATACGATAAGTGGAAATATAAATATTTCAGCACGTGCCTCTGGCAATGAAGAACAACTGTGGCAGTTATTGCAGTCTGTAGAAGTATACTTGCATCGCGTTGTCAACACCGTCCACCCAAGTGTTCGACATGAAATTGTGACTGCAATACTTGATAAATTTTACTCTTACATTTCTGATCCTCGTAAGTATCGTATTATTAAAATAATTAACATAAAATTTTAACAACTTCAACTGTTTATATGGATTGAATTTAGATTAAGACTTGTCTTTTTTTAGATTTTATCAAATAACGATTTACATTTATATGTCGGAAAAGACTTTGTCTATTACTTCGATTATGTATATTTCGGTTATGTTATAAATTTTATGTAGAAACATTATGTATACGACATAATTTTTTTATTGTCGAAAAAAATTTCACCTGCTTGAAATTTATAGCCATTAAATACAATGCCAATATATGCTTTTCTGATGTATAAGCTATATTACTGTAAAGTTTCATCAAAATCCGTTGAGTAGTTTTTGCGTGAAAGAGTCACAAACATCCATCCATACTCACAAATTTTCGCGTTTATAATAATAATAATAAGATGTTTCTTAACGTTCATGTCGCTTAATTTTAGCCGTCCTGGTTTCGTTATATTTGAAAATAAATGAACACCTCTGTTTGTAGAATCGGATGCGTGTCCCGCTACCTCAGTAGTGTTGATTGTCCTGGACGAATCGGACAATGAAGCTACTTTGTCTGCTGCACGTTGGCTAGTGCAGCAAGGGGAAAATGGACCCGCTGGTGCAGGACTCCGGGCATCTCTGTCCTGCTTATACCGTTGGATGTACGAATGGCACGGCACTCCAGCTCTAGGTGACTGGATATTGGCGTTTGTCAAGGCTTTGGAGGTACACATTTTTTTGTTAATATATTTAATAATAATGTCGTATATTAAAAAAAAAATAGAATGTTATTTACTTTGTATTCTTATAACTAATTATATAATATTCACGACTGTTATAACAGATGTGGTAGCTGACTACCACATCTGTGATGGCATAGTCAATAATCGTTGTCGTAGTAAACGTAGATTTGAATTAAACATAGCAGACTCTAGCTTACTGTGGTCTCTTGGATTAATTTTTGGTTTGGTCTCAATATCTCCTTCACCAACATCAGAGAGTCAGTCAGAAAAATAATTGAGGTAGTTTTGAATGATGCGCCCGTTTGCGCTAACAGGAGTGGAGGATGATAAGATGAACATGAGCTCTGGTAAGTTCATCGTGGCAAGAAATTTTACACAATGGATTCCAGGAGGAACCGCGTGGAACTCAAATTCACTTGGTACATTGTAGCAATGGAGTAATTAGTCCATATTACTAACAATCCCCTTGTCACCCTATTATTATGTTGTTATTACTAACCAGTGGATGCATATAGACACTGCCACTTTATTGTGTGGAAAAATCTTCAAAAGACCGTCCCACTGCTGGAGGGGCGTCGAGGGGGCGGGATTATTGTTTTTAATATTAATATTTATTGTTTTTAATATTACTTACTTTACCAGGAAAACGAACGATTCGATATTTTGATTGAGGTATCCGTGGACAATCTGAGTCGTATATTCCTGGCAATGGACGCCCCCGTTACTCTACGCCAGTCCGTAGCTGATGTTATATTCCATATTTTAGCATCACTGCGTGAATCTACTGAAGCTCTCGACCGGGTTTGTATAATTTTTTTATTTATCATAAATAAATATTCAATACGTAATAGCTTAATAGAATTAATTATAACCGAAATAGTCTTTGAACAATAACCATCTGCGTTATATTTGACTACCTGTATCAACCGCCAAGCAGCTTGCATTGTAAGCTGTGTCGATTGAAGGATGAGATAAGGCAGTATAATTCTGGATAACATCTGAGTCTTTCCAAATAGATACCTGTGTGATATCACGGACGTCACATAGAAGATGATGTCGTAATACGGTTCATGTATATAGGCTTATGTTATTGCTCGCGACTTCGTCTGCTTAAGGTTCATTTAGTCGTTTAGTCGTGCACACGGAAGATCAGTTACTCGGCTTACTTTATTTTTTTTGTAAGATAGAATATTTAGTGTATATGTGCAGTTTATTTCGTATTGCCATGAGTCTGCTTATTATTTTTACAAGTTTCATTAAAATCCGTTAACCTGTTTAGTTGTGACACTTTTATAAAATTAATAAATATACTAATCATTTAGATTTCCCCTCACGTTGGTCATGTGTTGGTGAACTTAGCCGCCGATAGCGGCCAATGGAGCCGTCAACTTCTGCAGAATGTGGTTGATATACTGTCTGCTACTATCGACCGTCTCCTGGATTCACTCAAAGGAGATTCTCAGGATCTATTTAGAGCAAAATACGCTGACGTTGTGAGTATCCATAGTATATAAACTTCACAAAATTATAGTTATACCTTTGGTATAAATAACAACTCGTATCGTAACTATAAAACAAATGGGAATTCGACAGTTGTAATTTTAGTGAAAACTACACCCAATTTGGGTAAGCCGTTTCTGAGATCAATGCATACAAACGCACAAGCAAACAGACAATTCTATCGACCATTCTTTAATCTCAAGTCTCCAAATAATACTTTTTTTCATGTAAATAAAGTGATCAGTTAAAATTCTATTTTATGTATCATTCCCCCGTCCAATACAAATGGGGATCGACATTACGACGCCGCGAGCCGACGTTAGAACCTAGCGGTGCCCTCAGGCGAGAGTTGGCTCAGGCACAAGTCCTTTTGATTTGGAGTGCCATCTGCACTCGTCCCTTGTCGTCCGGTGAAGCTGTAAAGGCAAGCTGTATTATCCAACAGTATTGAAGTACTCTAAAAAAAAAAAACAGTGATATAAAACTTATTGAAGTTGTCGTATTATTCCAGATTCTGTGCTTGGAACGTCATATGGCATCCCGCGACTGCCGCTACCTGAAATTGTCACCGTGGCGTGCTCGCAACGTTTGCCTCACATCGATGAATGCTAATGCTCCGATGCGCAAGGTTGGCTTGCTGAACCTTGGAAACACTTGCTATATGAACAGCGTGTTGCAGGCATTGCTCGTCACCAGGCAGTAAGTTATAAATTGTTAAAAATAAATACAGAGTTTAACAAAAACCGTGTTCGATCCGTGTAGGTTATGTTGAGTATCTAAATACAAAGCTGTGTTTGTAATCTTTTACTACATAATGTGGAAAAAATATTACTTAAAAACTTGTTAAAATTATTATGCATCTAGTGCCCACGACTAAGTGATTTCATAAGATGCTATGCGTCCCTTAACATTGCTATAATCCTTAGAAACAAAGATCCACAAAAACTACATGTAAAATACCCAGACCGTTACAAACTATCATACTCATGAATACAAACACATATTTGTATGGTGCGATGAACCCCTGACTCTGAAGTAGGTCAGTGTTCTGAACCGCTAGAGCACCGAGTTTTACTAAAATCGTACATTTTAAATTATAATAACATTTTTATTTTCATAAATACTATTTTATTTCATAATATCACACAGTTTTTTTTTTACACCCTGTATTATTGTATGTATGTATATACATTCGTATTTATTGGACAGATGCTATATCAGACTTTTTATAACCGAAATTGTGCTATAATTAATATATAAGAGCTCACTTGTAAGATACAAAATTAAAAATATTGAATATATAAATCGAAATGGCAAACAAGTTCGATGGCCTATCAAATGGTAAGTGGTAAACTATAGACATAACAGTACCATTTACAAACCTTATCTATGACTTGTGGTACTACTGGTGCATTGTTATTCCGGAGGACTATATGTCATGCCTCTTTTGCCCTTTAATTTCATTGCCTTATCTCACCTTCAACCTAAACGCAGAAGATAGCTGCGCAGCGTCTTTAATAGATGAGAGGTAGGTTCCTACGACAATACTAGTATATGTCTACCTTATCTTAATATAAATTGCATGGCTGATTTTTTTTATGACTGTTATTCTATATTATATCTATTATAATACATTGTGCATTTTGTTTCTATTGTGTTTTCTATTGCTGTAGTGAAAGTATTGTTTTAACTGACCTTATTTTTTGTTAAATATATTTCTGAATCCTTTGACAACATTGCTTTATTATATTTTATTATATTCATACAAATGCAAAGCATAACAACATATACAAAGCATTTTCGAGCAATTATAGTCTTTTACCGAACTGGGTCAACTGCTCTAATTTGGCTTCATTATTAATTAATGCAGCAAGAATAAAAATTCACCGGTATTGCATTGTATGCTAAATACATCTTTCATAAAGAGAGAGCTGTCTCAAGCAGCGTTAATATAATAAGTAGCCATGCGATGATGGTGATAATTTTATTTTAATGAAACTATTATATTTTATTTTAAAACAAAATATTTTTATCTTTATGGAGTAACTATAATTATTGGTTTATATAGTACAAAGTGGAACAATATCGTACCAATATGGAATTCTCATAAAATAATTGTACCTCTCCTAAAGATTAATATAAAATACATTACCATCAAATAAAATTGGTATTTTACTTGCTGTAAAATTTTACTTCGTTTGATAATTAGGATTAAATATCTGCGCGTGGAAAGCTGATTTAGAAAGCTCTACGAAAATGCATTGTATGTACACTATTGCAGTACAGTATATAGTATGCCTCAGAAAGCGAACTAGTGTGCATAGTTACTTATTTTAATTATTTTGCTTTATTTTGTCACTATATTTGCTTTGGCGAATATGATTGCATATTATTTGCTATATTTTTGTAATTTTATTCTACATTTACCTGTCTTGAAATTTTTTTTCTTTGTTTTCGCGTTCTAAGCTTATGTGCATCTTATTGTTAAAACAATTTTATTTTAGTTATTCATGTTTTCTTTCTAGCTATTTTTTTCCTTCATTTTAAAGTAAGGGACTAAACACTAATATTGTAATTAAAATGGAGTCTGATTTAATCATTTTACTGTTCATTTTATTATTGTACCATCTGCTATCAACACTTACATCTGTTATCAGATTTTTAGGTGTTATGAGGATTAGGAGATGAGGCACATCCAATGAGATGCCATTTCTATTATTTGTTTCATATACAGTCTGAGCGAGTCTATTTTAGTTTAGATGAATAGTTATTTATTCCATATACTTTCTGTGTATTTTCTTTAACATTTCTAGATATGTATGTACTTTTGTATTCTTTATGAACCGGTGACAAATAGTTCACAATTAATTACAGATACTCATAATAGGAACTAGAAGTATATATCATACATGTATATTGTATTAGAATTAATGTGATATTTTTAATATTCATGAATCACACAGTTCATTATATTCACGTCGACATATTTTTTTTATCTCGCACCTTACAAGTCTGTTATTTTCAGATTCAGCACTCATGTAGTGTTGCGCATGACCGCGGTGCCATATTGGTCGAAAATGGGCATCTTGTTTGCGAAGATGATGCACTCCATCTCAACAAAGTTGAACCCTGATGAATTCTTTGCTGTGATGAAGCCACCTTTCTTTTCTAGGAATAACCAACATGACAGCTCCGAGTTCCTAGGGTAAGATACTGACATACATTATACATGCATAATTAATAGATAATAATTAATTATATATACTAGGCCACGCGTTGCTGTGGCTATTTGCAATAAAATAATATTGCGACTATAAATTGAGATGTAAGCTATCCTATCTTTCAAGTTGGATCAAAATGCACACAATGTGCACATCAAATTTGTAATCGGTTCAGTACCTTAGGAGTTCATCGCGGACAAACAACGTGACGCTTAATTTTTATATATAATAATTAAGGTATAATATGTTATAGTTGAATGAGTATGTCATGGTTATAAATAAGCAATGATATCCAATTTCAGTTACTTGTTCGAGCTTTTGCAATCATATGAACATGGATCTGACCGTAACTTCGACTACTCGCGGCCAGCGGTACTCAACCGCAACCGCGCCATCGCTCATACTGCCAACCCTCAGGCATCCAACTCCAGGTATTAATATTAATAATAACAATAATTCTTAAAAAACGACAATAAACATTACATAGTACATTGTGAACTCCACACGATATATGAATAATTTACTACTGGATAAATAAAATTATTGTCTTATAAATCAGATTTATAGCATACAAGCAAAATTTTTTTAATTTCAGTATTTTAATAAGTTTTACTAACATAACGTAGTGAATGGGCAAAGTAGCCTGAAAATAAATAAATAAATAAAACTTTTAAAAATAAAAATATTAGCTCTCTATCTCTCATAGTCTCTAATTATAAACAAACGTGAAAATAGCTAGATATTTACTATAGTCGAATTAGCCAAACTTTGACCAGGATAATATTGCAATTTATAGATTTGGCTACCTTATTTATAGATTTGGCGACTTTATTTGTCTTACATTTAAGCACATCGCTTTACTTTCGATGGTCGCGGGTTCGATTCCTCGCGCGGTGCAAACATTTGTATTTGATTATTTGTATCGGTCTGGGTGTTTTCTATGTATACTATGTATGTATTTACAAAAAAACACTAAGTAACAAATGAAAAATAAACATACATCTAACCAGTTTTGTACTGTGGAACAAGATGGCTGTGTTAATTATCCAGGGTTTTTTATTTATTTATTCGGTTATATAATTATACATAATATTATTGTATTTCAATAGAATAGTACAAAACTTGATCGCATTTAAATCAATATTGTAATTAGACTTCAGATTAGCTGCTAGGTTGTGTGAAGGGTACCGAGTTTTAATTACTTATTTAATTAATATAACATGTTGGAATAATGTAGTCATTTATACAATGACAAATTTAAATGTAACAGTAATTGATGGTACAACTAAATTAAAAATTATCGAGTAGAGGAAACAATTTTTTTTGTTTATAAAACTTTAATAACATGTACCATCGACAAGTTCACTGTAATAAGTAATTATGAAGATTTTATTTATTCAACAAAGTAAGACTATTTTTTGTTTACTATAATACTCTACTGTCTGTACTGTACCAGCTACAGTTGTGAAGTATATGGTTAGTCTTGAACATTAGTAATTTAGGACCAAAGTTAAGGTAAGGTACAGAACAAAATGTTTAGCCCTATTCCCTTTGAGTGTTTTTTTTTCAGTTATATTGTCATGATTGTCAATGTACTTAGAAATTCTTATGATGTAATTTCCAGTGATAACGAGCCTGGTGAGCAGAGTTCTAATCGGCGTTCTTTGTCGCCGCGACCCGGTAGCAGTGGCGGCGGTAATTTATCCTGTTCTATTATTATTAGGTGTATTAAATCTAGTAAGTAAATAAGAATAATTTCTGAAACCGAGAAGAAACAAGATGACGAATAGTGAAGTCTTCACTATTCGTGAGAATTCGGAGAACTCGAGACATCGATACAACCCTAGTAAAGATTCTTTTACTTTTGTTTAGAAGTAAAAAATATTTCTTTTGTGCGTACAATTTTGTACGGTATTCTTACGTAGCTTGTTAGTATTGAGTAATTGCTTGTATTAGTATACAACGTGTTCGTGACTTTGTCTTCTTATAAAATTTTGCAACTTTGAATTTTGCCGATACAAAGCTTTTTTTGTACAAGCAATAGTTTCTATATATCTATATAGTAAGTCTGTTTTTAAGACAGTGAATCGAAATTAAACATTGCAGTATTATGGTTAATTTGAAAACATACGTACAGTGATTAGGAAATTATACCTATTTATATTATATATTTGAATAAAATGTGTACCCAAAATGTAGGGATGCTATTCATAAAAATGATAACTGAGGACGAAAATGATTCTGGCAGCCTCTATAACAGCCATATCAGTTGATTTGTATTCTATTAATAAGTATGTAGTCCTAATTTATAAATATAGAGAGTATAAATAAAATAAATTATTTTAATTACTAATTATTATAAAATTTTTGCTTGAATATATCTTAAATTCATAGTGTCTTAATTACTTGCAGGTTCCAGTTCAAGTGGACAGAAGCGTTCTTCGATTGATATCGAACGGCTCCCACCCAAGAAACGTATACGCTACGAGGCGGCATTCCTTCGCCGTGATTCATACATCGATAGCATGTTCGGTGGCGTGCTGCTAACCCGTGTGGAATGCATTGAATGCCGATCGTCCTCGCTCTCACGCGATGTGTTCCGTGATCTCCAACTCGCTTTTCCCGAGAAACCAGAGGGATGGCAATTCAATGTGCAAAATCTTCTGGAGTTTTATTGTTCCAAAGAACGCCTGTCTGGAGACAACCAGTACGAATGCCGCGATTGTGGTGGTCTGCGCGACGCTGAACGCAGCGTTCTCATTGAAACTACACCCAAATATCTTATTCTTGTGCTCAAGAATTTTAAGTAAGTACCGAAAATTTACATTATTATAGTATTAGGCTTAAGATTTTTCGACCAAGTTTTATTTATATTTTTTATTCTCAGATTTGAACCAAAGCTGCAAGTGCAAACTAAACTGATGCATACAATGTACTATAATCATACCGTAACATTGCCTGCTGTGCGCTCTCAGGCCGATCACTCGGTCTACATCCTGTATGCCGCTGTTATTCATACTGGTACCACCCTGGACTCTGGACATTATTACACCATGGCCAAAGACAATGAGCAATGGCATATGTACAACGATGACGTAGTTTCCGTTACTGATGAGTCAGAACTGAATGGTCTGAATCGAGCAAGCACCCCATACATTCTGTTCTACAAGCGCACTGATGTTGAAGAAGGAACTGCCCCTTCTCTGGAGGAGCTACCACCGAGGCTGCAAGAGAGTGTGATGGTCCACAACAAGCACTACGTAGAGACCATCCAGAAAAGGCGGCTGACGTGCCCATGACAATTAAGGTCTGATAAATACATGGATTTCTCGGTGCTGGATTATGTCGACTCCAAGTAAACTTCTTGCCCCCACAATTATTGACACAAAGTGATACAAATTGATAGAATTCTGTAAACTATTTTATTTTAATATAATTTTTGTCGACTATCAAAACGAATAGAATCTTCCACCACCATTTCTTTGCTACTTTAAATAAGGTTATTTAAACATTGAACAACTCGTTTAATTATTAGTTCGAATAGTCTGTGTCATGTAATGTAGTTTCCTTAGAAATAAGGATGAATGGTGTCCTATTATTTCAATAAACTACCAATGAACAATCGGTAGCGTCGCATTGTTTCCTACTGAAGTTCCTATAAACTATTTTTTGAGTACGATATTCTACTTATTTTATCAATTCAAATATTTTATATCTCATTTCATACATGTGCACGGTCCAAACGTCAGTTGATGCATATGATGCAAAAATAAATTTTACCTTTCCCAGAACATTCGCGGTCTTGAAATTAATTTCGTAATATAAAATAATCATTATTATATTTACTTGGTTAAAGTGTCTCAGAAATTCGACCTAGTAAACTTAAGTTTACTGTATTTAGATTACAGACTTAGATTTTATTAGATCTTGTTATACATATATATATGGAGTCTGTATAAAGCAGAGTCTCAATTTGTGTCACTTTTTAAAGGATCAGAAATGTAACTCTGAAGCTAGCTTAAATGATTTGTGCATGTTCAATGTATTTGATGGAAACTGGTAGTGAACATAATTTATGATAAAGCGGCTTGACTAATGTCATATTTGGTGGTTATACCTGTGTTATTGATGCAAACTAAGCCAAATTGAATAATAACATTGAATCCAACTGTAAGCAGAATTTGCGCTTGAATCAAGCCGCTTCAACATTTCCGGACGTCATACTTCAAAGACAAGGCAATACTGAAACTGTCAGATGAACAAGATATATAAGGATTTATTAATATGTCAACAAGTCCTTGTCCATCTCTTTATTAGTGTGTATAACATCTCTATGTGCAGTACTAGCAGTCTGTGTACATTTTAATGGCTTATGACATAAACATGACATACTTAAAATTAAATACTATGACTATGGAGATTATATAAATCATGAATTAATATTTGTCAAATCTTATTGGAAAAGTCACTGATTTGTCTTTTGGGAAGGGTATAATGAAGCCTAATTCTCGTTATAATGTAGGTGCTCGATTTAATGAAGACTGTCCATTTAGAAACAATGGTATTTATAGGGATGGCTCCGTCTTTACTATGGAATCGGAATAGTTGGAAACGAAATGGATAACCTGATTAAAATATTCAGTATATGTCATTTTTCGCTATATTTAGATAATAATATGTAGTGGTACCTTACTCAAAATGGATATCATACAATCTCTATAATTGTTCCAATATTATTCTATGTGTCAATCATTAATCGTCGTTTTTATTAGATATAATGTTCACGATTTATCTAGGACACGTATTGGTTTATGTTTATGAACAATATAATATATTCATAGTGGTCACTATTAAATATAAATGTTGTATATCGACCTTTGTAAGCGTTTATGTACATGAGGGGCATTGTGAGCACTAGTAAACCAATTATATAAGTCATCTCTGTACGTAACTTTATTATAGTTATTATATTCGACAAGTTTGAAAAACTTGTATATATAGAATTGAATACATACACATCAGGTGTACCTATATTGCCATATTTATGTCCTATGAGGTAGTGACGGTCGTAGTAAACTGCGCAGATAACAAAAGATTTTAAATTACAACTATCATCTCAATATAAAAGTTTAAAGCTTGTAAGGGACTCTTTTAACTCAAAATTTTTTAAAGAAAATTTTTTTAAGCAATATCGAATTTGTCTGGCTTGCGTTTATGACATCTGTACCTGTTGCCGGTTCTGAGCCCGGACAAAACGTAGTATCTAAAAAAACTATGGGTGAGACCCTTAAGGGGGGGATCTTGCATTATATACGCCATGTGCGATGACCATAACGCCCCTCATTTTTCAGTGAACTTAGATACGCTTACAGCGGTCCAACTGTATGTAAATAACAATGATCTCGTAGAGATCTTTTCTGTAATTTGCCAAAACTTTCTTTGGTGATCCAATATACCAATAGGTATTGCATATATTTACACACACAATGTATGTATTCTGTTAGTTAATGAACTTTCTGTATTATATCCTGAGGGACGTTAATAATTTGTTTTCTATTTCAATATTGAGTATTGCTTAATTATTAAATATCAATGTGTTAAACATATCAAATAATACCTCAATATATTTTTTATAGATTCTGTTAACGTATGCAAATTCAAATAGCCTTTCAGTTAGTTATTTTAGTCGCGAATCATAGAAAAATTTGTACAAATTTTTAACGTGCTTCAAGGATGTAGCCTAAAGTCCGCTAATTATTATTAATTCCATAGTTAATGTAAAAGTGTTCAAACTTTGTTATTTAATTATATCCAGAGAAAGTATTGAGCAATTTATATTTTAAATTTAAAAATTATTGGTAAGTTTAAGATGTAAACGCGGGTGGTTATGAACTTCCCTTATAGTTATTATTTTATTTATTACACTTTACACACGCAATAATATTATTTTATGATGATGATAGTTATTTTCCCAATGAAAACATTATTTACTCAATTCTTCCTATATTTTTATCACTCGCGTTTGAACGTTAACATATAATGAATATAATCAATTACATATTTACATTATTATAGGTGTTTACATAATATACCTTATATTAAAACAATGTACGCAAAGATACTATAAGTATGTTACTTCTTTATTAATTTAGTTTTTATTTAGTGATGTAACTAGATTTTTATTAAATTTATTACTTATCCAACTTTCAGTCTATTGGGCGTTTTTCGAATACACCTTTGCTGTAAATAATTTGCGTAGCAGTGGGGGTACAGTAGCGTTCTGATTGTGGTCCTATTATTAATTATTAAGCTTTACATAACTAATTGAGGGTCATAATCTTCGTCGAGTTTTCTGTTATAAATTAAATAATTTATTTAAGTGCTTTAAAGTAATATCGTTTATCTGGAGGTTAGATTAACGAAAAGTAATTTCAGAAGTTGTCTAACTTAATAGAAATGCAAATAAAAAATAGTTTGCATTTATGTTTATGTTCTTTACATTTTTAAGATTTTGTATGAAATAGCATTAATTCACAAGGGCAAAACATTAAATAATTAAAGTATGTATGTCATAGTCATCAGAGCAGACCTTAAAAGCAGCAGCCATTCACGAGAATAACGTCATACTCCAGACATCTTTGCTCTCATCTCCTTTCAGGAACCGCCTAACCCCGTCTGAAAGTTGTTTTACCCCCACTGTAATAATTATATATATGAATTTTACATGTGTTAAGGAGAATACAGTATGCTGTTCTCCAAATGTCTTAAGGTTTCTGACTTATACTTCGTGATTCATCACATTCTGTTTTAGGGTGCGTCTTCAGAGGCCATAATTTGCTACATTAGGAGATTCCTGGTTAATTAGCACAATTAAGATATTTTTTGTCAATCGCAATCAATGTGATATATTATCGTGCATATACAATTTTATTTTATGTATATATTCCTTTAAAACCATTGCAAAGATATATTTTTAATTACTTTTAAATATAATTGTATATATTATAGAAAGAAATATATAAATAATTTTATTACATCATACCTACCGGTGACTCTGAAGTGTTCGTTATTATGTTATCTACTTACAGAAAAGATTGTATAAAGAAAATAAATACCTGTTTATTAATATTGTCCGGAACCCTCGGTGTATGTATTTGTATATATAAAATTATATGTATTACGTAATGAATTGTGAATGTGTTCTACATATTTAAAACCGACGTGCATATAATTATTTGTATATTGGTTGTGATTTGATCGAAATCATATTATGATGTTGTGAGTTTAAGTAGTCATTTTAATATGTAAATAATGAAAGTAATTACGGTGACATTCCGGAAGATTATAATCAGGTATTTATTATAGATATTATTATTATAAAAGAAGGACCAGGGACTACTATTTATACTGGTTTATAAAGATTGTTGCCTACTCCTATCTGCAGTCTATGCTATCTTTAGAATTAGCTTATACCTGCTGCTTAATTTTGATCTGTGAGATGAGCATACTATCTACTTAATTCGTAGAAAAAAAGTACCACAGTGCCAAAAGAAAAAAACTCGTTGAAGAAAACCTTGTTCAGAACTGTGAATATTTGATTGACTAAGTGACTTACTTTACCCATTATAAATTAAATAGTGATCCAATTTGCATGAAAATTAAGCAGTATATTACATTTACAAATATAAAACTAATTAACAAGTAATTGACATTCTTTTTAAAGAATATTAAATGCAGAATTTCAGGACGAACACTAATGATTGTAGTACGTAATAGGTGCTGAACAATGTTATGGTATTAATAGTTTGCGTCCGAATTCTGGTACGGTACAACCATTTATATTTATATTCTATCTAATAAACACTAATAAAACTTTATTTGAATTTCATAAAGTTTAGTTTGTTTATATTATATAAGTGTGAATCATGTGACGGAATTCGGCTGCGAGGACCAATACCATATCTTTACCATGTTAAATTTGAAAGAAAGTTAAATTTTATGACATATTCTTTAATATTAATTACAAAAGTGGTTCTATAAGGTACTAAATGCTTTTGAAGTTAACGTCGCGTTTCTGCCAAGGAAATTATATACCCAAATCTTATACATATTCTTCAAGAGGATGAGATTGTCGTTTATTTTTCCTTAAAGTTTAAAAGCAAATATGCGTAATATGTAACATATTAATAAACTACACAACCACTTTTTAATAATTTGGAGAAGTGTCTTATAGTCTAATTTTTTAAAAAAATGTCAGGCAATGTAGATGATTGTCAGATGGGAAAGGTTTCACATTAGTCAGTAATATTTAATTGTAATTAAAATGAAATGTGTAGACCATCATAATATACTCGTATATAGAAATGACCTGAATATCTCTGACAAATGTGTAACATGGGAATATGTACTGAATTGTGAGAAGTGAATTAAAATATTTTTGATAAAATAATTATGTTAAATTACTATTGCATTAAAATTTAAGTACCAGACTTTAAATAATTTTACATGATTTGTTAAAATTTAATTTATCAACTTGATTTTGGCACATTGATAAAAAAATTTCAATCAGGTAATCGCTGCGTTTCAAATACTAAAGGCATTGCCATTACATACATATTGCAAATTAACATATATATATATATTTAAATTAAATTCTAAATTACGTAATTAGATATTTAAAAATTGTTTATCATATTAAAGGTTACTCCATTTACTGTTTATTTTAGTATATCACAGTTTCCTTCTCTTAACAGTTCGAAGATTGAATAAGCATAAAATAAAAATATTTTTTCAAATATTATGATCTCATTTCTTATTCCGGTGAGAGAAAGTTTTAAAATATGCAATAAAATAGTTTATGTGACGGCTTCTTGTCGTTATGTCTAGATATAATTGGCTTGGTAGATTATAAATGAAATCGATTAAGCCAATTTTGTGTTAAATTATAATTTTTTAAACTGCTCTTTTAACTTTAGAACAATGACATTATATTAATCTAGTAATGATAAAGTTTGAAATGGAGAGATAAAATAATAATTTCAATTAACTGCTGAAAATAAATACATTTATACATACATTTTATTTCGTAATCATAGTAACATTATTTATAAAATATTTAAGTAAAAAAAATATTTTTCTTAAAAAATTTCACGAATAATTTTGCTAATGGTTATTATTAAAATATTTAATATGACAATCTGAAAAAAAAACAACAACATTAATCTTATCGTAATCCTATTTGTCAAAAAATAAGTAATATTTGTAGTGATACGACACTGGGTACCTTTTAACTACTTAATTTCTACGCCTGATATTAAATATTTTTGTTGTGCCTAAACCATGCTATTTGAAATATTGTATTCTATATTTAATTCAATTAAAGAAATTGTATATTTTTATAGTTTGTAATTATATTTTTATTTTAGTATATTATGACCCTGTTTATAAATTATGTTATAGTTATTGCAGTTGTTTCACGTTTACATTTAATGTACATATTTAAAGCATTTAAATGTTAAGATCTAGATATTCAGTCAAGATTAACAATAGTGTAAGTAGGGATACTATCAAGTCCGGGGCCTAATTAAAGCCTCTTATTAATGTGTCGTTATCATTTACGATCTAGTAAAACAATTGAATGTATAATCGGTTCTTGTTTAAAAAATAATAAATGTTTAAAAATCACTTTGTTTAATTAATCTGTTTTAAATATCTGTTTATATAATTATATCTAAATATACCTAATTGTCTAGTAATAAATAAACATATATAATGGTTCAGTAAACTTTTATTCTATATTACACTATATTACACCTTAGAATAATGCATCACAATATATCGTATTTAACATTATAAGCCAATAAGTCTACCACCCAAGTTGTTAAGTTTATCCGAAGCGGCTTTTGTGATTTTTCTGATAATTGTACCGGGCACCTGTAAAAAATATTTAATATGAATGAGTTTACAAGCCCGTTCTTTGAATGGAAGTATTTTTAAAAGGATATGAAATCCCAATAAGTTTACACAAAAAGAACCTGGTGTGAAACCATTGAAAAATAGAAGATAAGTTAATTTTAGTATCTAGTACGTGCCTCAAAGTGTAGTACACAGGCCGTGGTGCTAGTATATGTCGTATATATCTATAATGATTTTGGTGAGTTAACAAGATAAACAATTAATATTTTAAAATCTTATTACATGTTGTTACACCATAATACCAATACCACCATTTATTTATATTACAAAACGTGTAATTTCACATACGTGTATTTAATATGTATTTTTTTTTAATTTTGATAACCTTTACAATTAGCAAACCACTTATTATAACAGAAAATATTAATTTCTCACCTCTATGACTGAGTTAACAAAATTAGAGACACCTTCCGCTCCGCTCACTATCGCTCGCCCAGTCCCGTAGAATTTGTCTCCTGTATTGCCATATTTTTCTTCCTCCTGTATTGTGTCTACTAATGGCTTGGGCTGCAGATGCAAATTACATCAATCATGTCATATTAATATAGTATACTTTTATATAGATGGCAATGGAATGACTTATCCGCCTGGCCTAACGGTATACGCTGGTGGGTTACGAAGTGAAGATGACAGGTGGCATATCGTTACCAAATCACCAATATATGTATTATGAAATTGTAAATGAGACGCAGGTACAGACACATTTACATATCACATTATATATATATTTTATAACAATTTGTATATATAATACCTACATGAATTTATGTTACCTAGGTCATTAAAATTGTTTTTAATAATTTTGTCTGTCTGTAATAATCTGGAAGGGTTGTCATTAAACTGATGAAGTCGCGGGGAAATCGACATGAAATGTTTGTAATTCAGTCTCGCATAAATTACTGTACGGATGCGAATGAAATCTACAGATAGATGGAACATATATATCGCCACAATTTATCAATAATTGAATAGGGGGTTTTAATAACGTTTGCCATATCTATCTGCATATACCGCAGCTTATGGTTTAATATTAAATTAATTGACGTTTCTTTTAGTTTGCTAATAGTAGTAGGTTCATATTCGCCAATGGAATTACAATGTTAATAACGTTGACTCCACTACTGATGCGATAGATCCATAGACAATGGCAACCCTTTACTATATCTACCTCTCACTTGTCATGCATAGTTAATTTCATCTCGTGCAAGTACTCATTACCAAAGTGGTATGTTTAATTTTGCTAAGCATATATCTTTCTTATTCTATTTTCAACTGATTTTTGTTGCATTATGTTAATTGAAAACTATAATAATTTGTAAATAGATTTTACTATTAAATTCTTCCATGCAAAAATTATTAAATAATTTACTTGCAAAATTCCAGCAACTATATGATGCAAATTGTCTTTTACGGATAATGATTTGCTGCCCAAACCCTCTGTTTCTAACAAGGCGCCTTCCAAAGTCGTAAGCGGAGGAGAAAACCAACCATCTGCTCCTTGTACATTCAAAGATCCTGCCTGAAAATTAAAAATAATGGTAATGTATACGTATTGAATTGCGGTTTTGTGTTGAAAATTTGTGGTGACTTTTCAGCACATCGTTGTGATTTTGGAAGATTGTAATTTAACACTGATAGTTAAAATAGGAGTGTAAAGAGATATTTTTTTGTGAATAAAAGTTAATAATATATAGATAATAATAACCTTAGCCGTGTTTACTCCAGAGTTTATTCTCTGTGAAAGGATTTCCGCAAGAGACTTGTCGCTACTTATGATGCCGTGTTGGTTCGAATAAATATTGGAGCTTTCTTGTGGCTGGTCGTAGACTGGTAGGTCGACACGTATAGGCTCGTCTGTCGGAGCTGATAGACAACCTATTACTGACAGGATTACCAGAAGCAAACCGTAATACATTCTGGAATATAAAATTATCAATACTTTATCACTTCAAGCCAGTAGGATTTAGGATCTGTAGTAGTCTGCAGTAGAATAGGCACGTCGTGACAATTGTCCATATTGAATGCACTTACGAGTATAATAAATTGATGCACATCTTAACACCATGGGTGTCTAGTATTTATGGGCAGCTAGGTAAAGAGAGCCAGACTGAATAGTAATATATAAACATTCGTTTTACATGTATTTTGTAGTATATTTACATGGATGTACGCACTGGAAAAGAGATGACTGAAATTCCATTCCATTCCTACAGGAATCTAAATTACGATGGCGCGAGATGGGGATCAAACTATTAGCAATCCTTTGGCCTTCAACTGCCCTAGACTTAATATCTTGCACTGGTTTGTAGTGACTTTGCCACCCGCCACATTTTTGTCCGATGAATTAGAAATAACTGATGCCAATACATTAGAAAGAGATTAGAATTAGTTAGAAAAAAAAAATACATACATTATGGATAAGCTTAGCTTTTATGCAGTTTATGTCATGAAAAAACCATGAAAATCAATCATCTGTCAATACCTACATTGTTAATCACATGTTGTGTTTTGGTTGTAAAATTTCCGCTAACGGTTTATTATTATTAATATGTCTATATGAATAAATAAATAAAAATGGATATGCCGGAGATAACTAGATGTTTTGGTATGTTTCCTCCGAAATATGGAAGTTATTTGATCGCATTATTTGGCTTGGGATCTGGCGGCGTCGGGATAGCCGGAATCGTTTTGTATGGGATAGCGGAGAATATTATAATGTCTATTTTTGGTGTCCGAACTAATGCAGATGAAGGCTTAAAAAAAGTTGTGCTGATGTCAATTGGGTTAACCTCTCTTCTGTTGCTGGTGGCGAACGCACTATTGTTGCTCGGGGTGACTTTTGGCTCTCGGGGCTGCGTGTCTGCCGCGGTACGCGTAATTTTAGTAATGTGTGTTATAATAATGCTTGCAACAATAGCTATACCCGTCTCATGCTACTTTTTGTCAAGCATGTGTCTCATTAAAAAAATTTCATCTATCGTCATGGGTTTGGTGGTATTAACTATAACAATTTTTCTCGAGTTATGGGTATACTTTATGGTTGTAGCTTGGAATTTAGAGGAACAAATGTAATACAGTATTATTATATAAATGTAATTTGATTATAATCTAACTTAAATGATGATCTATTTTTAGATAGAGAAATAAAAATGATCATATATAATTACTGATTTATATAATTCATTGTATTAGTACGTATAATCTAGCATCAAAAACATTCTACATATAGGTACTCAATTTCCACTCGGAACAAACATATTACTGAGGACATAATCACTAAATAGATACCAACGCTACTTATATAAGCTTTTTTTGTTTGATAAACAATTATTGTATAACTCGAATTCTTAAAAAAATTGCAATAGTTCATGACACGTATGTAACTTTGATGTCAATGTGCTGGTAGATACAAATGAGATAGCTAAACGTCAAGAACTCCTTGACTTTAATATAAATCCATTATAGTCTTACTTTGGATGGTAGTACCTCCTGGACTGAGACATATTATTTAGATTTTTATTATGTACTTACAATAAACATACGAAATTATCTATAAAAGATGGATAGTTATTTGATTCCATGTAAAATTTTCATTAAACCACATTATTCTTCTCTATCTTCTAAACATATATATACACTAGCTGTCCCGGCAAACGTTGTTTTGCCATATAAATTAATAACGCTATAAAAAAATAGGGGTTGATGATAGAAGGGTGAAAATTTAGAATTGTATGTATTTTTGTATGTTATATCATACAAAAATAGAAACTAAAATTTTTGTCTAAAAAATAAAAAAAAAATTTAGGGGTGGACTACCCCTAACATTTAGGGGGATGAAAAATAGATGTTGGCCGATTCTCAGACCTATTCAATACGCTCACAAAATTTCATGAGAATCGGTCAAGCCGTTTCGGAGGAGTATGGGAACGAAAACTGTGACACGAGAATTTTATATATAAGATTTTTCCCGGAAATTAACGTATTCCTGCTGAATTAGCAAAGATTTACTCCATAACAAATATATTGAAAATAAATTAATAAAAATACGTAGGGTCTAGGGTATATGAAATAAAAATAAAAAAAAAAATATAAACAATTGAAAATAAATTAAAATTGTATAATTGTATTTACGTATTATTTATTATATGTTCTAGTAAATTGTTTGAATTGAATATTACTAAGATCAAAAATAGTATTTGCGTATGTATACAGCAATTAACTTTAAATAAAAACAGTCGGTAGCATCATTGGTTTTATATTACATTCGGGATTTACGTTCTATTACATGTAGGTACATAGATAGGATACGAACATACACAACAACTTAACTGAAATATTTTGTGGAAACACAGTAGAAATTATAGTTGTAGACAATCTCGCAATGGCATTTAGAAATTGAATCAAAAATTAAATTTAAGTAAGGTCTATATTGTACATCGCATAAATTTAAATAAATTAGTTAGAAAAATAGGAAATAAAAATTGTTTCTAACAAGGACAAGTATACCAAGAGCCCAAGTATGCTTCTGAATTAATTATATAGATTGTTTATTTTATATTAAATCAATTAGGTAAATACTTGTTTTGAGATCGTACATACTACGAGTACTATACGAAACAAAATATATACACATCTAATATATGTATATAAGTATAAAAACAATCGTAGACTATTACATTACCTACCTATAATTATATCTACTTAAAAGTACTTAAGTGAAATCATTGTCCTGGGGTTAGGAAATTCGCTTCGCAACTTACTTGAAAACCTGTGTCGAGGCACGTCTATGATGCACACAAACCACCCGGCCACTACTGCCACTACCAGGTATAACACAACACCTTGCGGTAACTCGCACTTTCACATTACATCACAACCTTGCCACTTACCGAATGTGGCTAACCCGGGACACAATTGTTTCGTTGACTTTGTGACAAACGTTAAAATATATTATATTACCTTTATATAAAATTATCGTGTCACAATAGTTACCATACTCCTCCGAAACGGCTTGACCGATTTTTATGAAATTTTATATGCATACTCAGTAGATCTGGGGGTCGGCTACTATCAACGCGAACGTGCCCCACGTTTGATTCGATATAACATAAATTATTTAAAGAAAAAAATGATAATATTTAAGACATTACATTCGATCAGAAATTCAGCACAAAGGTTTTAAGTAACATCTCGTAGTGTCTTAACATCATGTGTACCTACAGCAACTATTGGGTAGCCGATAAGGCCGTTTAGGCGAGCCGTTAAGGCATTAGATTTTTGACGATATCTAATATTTGCATGTATTCTTAATTTATCGTGTAAATTTAGGGAATGGAGAAACCTATTCAGATCCATATTTCCTTTTTTATACATTAATTAAGATTAAGATTGCGCGACTTCGGTATATGGCGTTTGACGAAGGTCATCTTGGACTTTTTAATGGGTAAGAGTCTTACAGTACTCGTTTGCGTCACCTGGGGCGGGCATGTCTCCGTGAGGGATTTCCTAGTAAATAAAAGGTACTAATTAACCTTCTTTTATTTGAATTGACATATAAACGATGTACATACTTTCTTAGTAGTATGATTAATATACTCGAATTAACTTGTTATTTAATTGATATTAGGTATATATTAAATTACGTATTAGCTAACGGAAAGGTAGGTGTAACTAATTATAATTTAGAAACTGGAATGTAATTATTTGTCAATTATTACCTGCTGCAGGAACATACTGCAAGGTTTTCATTGTTGTTTATCTGAAACTATTTTAAGGATTAGTTAGGAACCGTGTGTGATATTGTGATCAGTGTGTAAGTAACAACGTATTATTGCTTAGTACTCATTATATGAGACTTCTATGTTTCTTATGAACGTTCATATAGTTACAAAATATACAGACCCGTATGCTTCAATAGCTGGCGTTCCACCGGACGCTGTGTTGTTCTTGATGTTGCACTTACTGTACACTAATGCTTTTTTTTTGTCCAAATTATTTTAAGTTCATACTTTTGTCAGAAGAAAGAGTCCACATCCGGTTTAATGCGTAAATGTAACATGTATAAGAGGTCTAGCGAATATATAGGTATGTATTTATAGTAAAAAAACTTAAGCATTAACGTACAAATCACAAAATGTCACTCTCATAGATGAGAGCTAGAGCATAGGTACATACTGAAAATCGCTGTACTTACTATGTTCGAGTATACTTACTCCTAGCTGTTAAAAATAAATATATACAAAACTAAACAGAGAATTGCTAAAGGAAATTCAGAATAGGCAAGACGGTAGATATGTACCTACTTACATACTTGTTAAATTACGTTAATTAGTTACATTATTTTAATCAACAAACTTATACAATACACAATTACCTATTATAAAAAAAATACTATAGAAAGAGTATGAAAAAATGTATGCAATATTGCAATCGTATATATTTATTTACATATACCTACCTATTACCTACTTTATTATATTAGCGATAGACCGTGACCTAAAGATCTCTGGGAGCACACATGACCTATTGGCTACCAAGCTATTGTTTCTCTTGTATAGAACAAAGACATCTCAATCAAATTAAGCGTTTTTACTTAATTACTCATACCGTACAATTGGGATGTACTTACATTTCTGTGGCAACCATAAGGTAGTAGGTAGTAGTAGTACCATACCGTAAGAGAAAACAGATTTTTGAGATTTAAGGCAAAATATCGATATTTTGGGTTGTCATGCGTGTAATATACATATGATAGATACCAGGAGACTGCGTGGAGGTCAACTTCACATGACATATTCTAGCAATATGTCATGTGAAGTTGACCTCCACGCTATGGGGTTTTTAGTCCATATTACTAACAATGCCCTTCTCCCTATATACATATACATATTAATAAAAAACAAGAAACAAAGAACATGAGACATAAAATAGATCATCAGCAAAGACCTTCACAACGTTCAATAAATTCTGTATTAAAGGAATAAACAATCAATATAAATTGTATTGAATTAAAAAGTAAACTTGTAATTATACTTTTTAATTATATTTGCCTCTTTTTTTCTTAAATAAGCTTTAACTAATAAATGACTTATATTCGTTTTTAGAACATTCATTTGGTGACAATTTGCATAATACGCAGAGGTCGAATTAGGAACAAAATTACACCAAAATGTTATGTTATCGTATTTTGAGGACCTTTACATCAGGTGACTTGTTATAGAAAATAATAAATTTATGATAAGTGACAATCTACTCTAGAGATATACGAAATGAATTTTATCAACCAGGTTTGTGTAGCTCGATACAGTCGGGTACCTTTTTGGACGACGCAATGCTGCAAAGATATCAAGTCGATAAATATGGTAAACAGCAAAAATATTGGATTTATACCAGGTAAAAGCATGTTATCAGAGAGGTTACAAACCAATTTGTGTACTGAAAGTCTTCGGACAGTCTCCGGATCAACTGTGTGGACACAAGTTCGGACTTTCGTGCTGTATCAGAAAGATTGTCCACGTCTTCATCGTGATATAGAATTTCCAAACTTTGACCCATACAGAAAAGATGATTATATAGACGTCAGAAAGACAAGTTGGGGTTCCGGTGATACTAAACCGGGATATACATACGTCGTTGGTTTCTTTGGTTTCCTTTGTGGAACATATGCAGTGAAATCGGAGGTAGTACATTTCATATCTTACATGGCAGCGTCAGCGGATGTGCTGGCGTTAGCATCCATTGAAGTAGACATATCAAAAGTGGCTCCAGGAACGTGTGTGTCATATAAGTGGCGTGGTAAGCCTCTATTCATCAAGCATCGAACACAAGCTGATATTGATTTAGAAGCAAACACCCCTCTCTCTGTTCTGCGGGATCCAGAAACCGCTGAACAGCGTACAGTTAATCCAGAATGGCTTATTGTCGTAGGTATCTGCACGCATTTAGGGTGTGTCCCTATTCCTAATTCAGGGGATTGGGCTGGCGGTTTCTACTGCCCTTGTCATGGTAGTCATTATGACAACGTGGGTAGAGCTCGTAAAGGTCCAGCACCACTTAATTTGGAAGTGCCACCATATAAATTTATGAGTGATACACTTATAGTAGTAGGCTAATATTACTGTTAAATATTTTTATACACACGTCATGTATTCTTTCGAAAAAATAAATAGGTATAACCTAAATTGTAAACGAAATATCTGTTATGTACCTACCAACTCAGCTTCTGTCCTAGTGTTAGTAAGTTAATTAAAAATTTATGGAATAGTGTTCAACTAAGATACTACCTATATGTGCTGCATACATATTTACACGTATTTAATGAGTAGAAAGGTTTTACATTATTATGTATAGATCATAACTACATATAGCTATGGCTGTTATATATATATACATTTGATAACTAAATAAGACGGGCGAGTTTTATGAAGGTGACAAATTTATTAAGATTTTATCAATGGTTTCAAAGTGTACTGCGTGGAGGTAAACTGACATGATATATTCTTATTATCGGTCTTATATTGCTAGCAATGGCATTATAGCGAATCTACTGTCGCCGTTGTCTGGTAACGTTTATAATTGACTATCAAACAAGCTTGTCATTGCGGGCCGAATCTCATCTATATTATTAATATTAGGTAGGTATATCAAATTTATTTTGTTGTTATTAAAGGTTATATTCGTCATCTATAAATAATTAAAAATTCTTACAATATAATCTGTAAATAGCCATTACTTGTTTCATCTCTTCACCTTCATTTTTCTGGTTCTGATGCTACAAAGGAATACACATCATAAGGAATAGTGGCCATCATAGCAGTTACAGGATCATTAGTACACATTACTAACAATTCCCTTCCTTGGCTGGAAAGTAAAAGGCTTACGATTTCTACTGATGATATAAATTTATCAATACTAAATTAGTAACAAATTCTTAAAATGACAGATGATTCTTGAATACCTACTACTACTACTTATTTAGATTTATAGGCCGGCCAGCGGGCGAGTGGTATGTGGCTTGGTGGAACCATATTAAGAAGCAGCTGGACCACTACAACCTTGCTGCTCAGACAACCCAGAAGAGAGTTCTCTGGCGTAAATGTACAAGAAGACCCAAGATAAACTGGGAACACGGGCTGGATAAAAAAGAAGAGCAACTTCAATTTAGGGAGAAATAACTTTTATTTCTTAGCAAAAGGAAATGAATCCAGTACGTGTTAATAGAAATAATAATTTATTCTACCCTTAGGTTATTATTAATGCAGTCTGTGGTGAAAATGAACATTGATACAGTTCTGTCTTCTGTAACGTCAAAATGACAATTCTGACAGCAAAACTTCAAATTTACCTCTAAACGCCGCGTCGTCCTGACACCCTTATTCAGTTATTTATTGAGCAATCAACAGAATATATACTGTTTTATTAGTTTTATTTCTATTACATATTTTGTCCGCAATTTTTACAAATGAATGTTATTATTGTACTTTCTAGTTGTTTATTAATAATGTGAATGTGTGTGTTTATGGGACCTGTAAGTAAATTTAATACAAATATTATTGTTTTTTGCGTTATTTGAAGCGTGTGCCAATTTAATACGCGATATTTGTATAGTGGTAATTGCTGTTCTATTGTACACGTTCAATTATTTGGAACAATATTTTAATATTGTGTATTAGAAAATTTACTGTTATATTTATGTTTCAGTAACGATATTAAGTCATATTTTTTATTTTCTTAGACATAAACAATGGGGAAGATAAACAATTCATTCCTATGGGGTATACTTTTTGCGTCGGCAACATGGAGCGTTTCCTTATATCTCTACTGGATAATGAATATGAATGGTAAGTTATACTTTTTATGGCGATCTCAAAAAATCTATAAAAATTCTACTAATCCTAAATCCTACAAATCCTAATACTACACTAAGGATATTATTGATTTAGTGGCATCCAATTATATAAAGAAAAATTATGAGGCACTCTTGTGGATAAGGACCACTCTTCCCATATCCTAGTGTGGATATCTTTTTTGCACTCTTAAATTATAATCTAACATAATGAATTATTTTCTTTTTGCGATGTAACACTTATGTGAGATAACACTTATATGAGGTAACACTTATATGAGGTAACACTTTATGAGAGGTAAAGGGACAAACAAATGCATTGCCATGTAATGTAATGTAGTATGTAATATGGACTTTATTCTCTGTATTTAGCCTCTCATCTCAAAAGTGCAGAAGCTTCTTGGTGTCTTCACAGGCTTCATGCAAATGCATTGCCATTTCAAAGGACTAAGATGTCATGTCACACTCCACCCTATAATTTTATAGCTAATTATCTCCCTAGCTTTCCATCTTCGTTGAAACTAATGCCTATTGTGATTTTATCTATTTTTTTTTTATTCATGTAGGTTACAGACTACAATGATTTGTCAAATCTACCTATTTCGTATACTTATTGCTCTTTGGTTATTATGAAAGATTACATTTGATTAATTGTAGTGAAAGTAATTTTAATTATAATTTATTTTTGATATAATTAACACAAATCATATTAAAATACTCCTCATAAAACCTCATCATAAAACATTAATTTTTAATCTTAATTATATAGTAATTAAGACTAAAAATTTCATAGTAGTAAATATAATTGACCTATCAGAAGAAAAGTGGTTTTGCAACACCACTTTACTTCTGTTGATCGCAGGTTCAATTCTTTACACATTTGTATTTATCAGAATGATTGTATCACTAGGTATGATTTTTATGTATATTATGTATATATTTATAATGTATCTATGTATTTATATCAGTTGTTTACTACCCATAATACAAACTCTGCTTAACCTGGGGCTAGATGGCCTTGTGGGAATTGTCCAGGGTTATTATTAATAATAAGCTAAATAAAAAAAAAACTATATGCTTAGTACCCAAATAATTTTTCCACTGTAGGTACTATTATAATATTTCCATTGTAGTTAAATAAAGAGATATAAATATAGAGATATAATGATAATGATAGTGTACTAGCAATCCTTGTATGTACAATAATATTTCCTAGCAGTCATGTCCAGGACATCATTGGTGCTCCCCATACACACACACATACACATAAGCTTTTTGATTTCAATATAACATATATAAATATAATTATATCTTTAAATATAAATGTAATTATATCTTTGATTTTAGGTGAGAATGTAATAAATAGGTCTGAGAACAAAATGCTCTACCGATTAGCAAATGTAGATGAAAAGGATAGAATAAAAAACAATGACAGGGCTATTGCTGCATTGGAAGGTAAAAATTTGCTCTCAGACACTCCACAACGCAATGATAGGTACTCTGGGAATATATGGAAATATCAACGGAGTGGAGTTGATTACCAGAGAAAAGTGATGCTTAAACAGAAATATGCCAAACAACTAGGATTGAAATTGTCAGCAAACCCAGACAAAAGTTTGGGTGAGTATATGAGTCTACTTAAGTATTACTGTGTAGTATGTTGAAATGTTTTTATATATTTGTCCCTTGACTAGTAACATTATTTAACTGAATAAAGTTAAGTTACTTGTTTCTTCTTTATTTTTACCTTCATAATATCTTAATTTTTTAAACATATCTATAAATCTATCCTAAAGTTATAATTATAAAAATGAATCCATTGATTGTCAATACCAGTTCACAGCTAAATGGATGTTATTTATTTTGATGTGTGGATAAGTTGCTGTGAGTACAAATTAAGGCTATTTTTTTTTCTTATAAACAAAAAGGAAATGATATCCCTACTGTTCTTTTTTAGTCAACAAGCTTTGTTCCCATAATATATATAAAAAAAAAATATATGTATTATTATTGTTAAATATTATGCACACTATTAAGAAATCTCTGTGAACAATAGTTCTTGTGCACATATTGTTTATTTTCTTGTCAATTTTGTAATATAATATTTATAATTATACTAATGAAATAATATTGTAGATGGTCAAGTTGGTTTGATACGCAATGCTGAAGATGTAAGGTTGAGAGACAAAGGTTATAATATGCATGCATTCAATACTCTTATATCACAAAGAATAGGCAAGCATAGAGGCCTACCTGATACTAGGAATAAATTGTAAGTATTTATTTATTGTAAGTACATCCACAAATACACAGTTAATTGAATTTTATTGGTATGACTGAATAACCTTTACTTATGTTACACATATCTGAATGTATGATCTGATATCTGAAATGATATCTGAATGTACGTGAATCTTTTAGTGCACTATGACTTTCAGTCCCTGAAAATGATAACATTTTATCTTTGACTGTATTAAGTTGAATTGGTTCCTGTGTCCTATGGGATGAAAATGCCCGACTGATATCACAGGTGTCACCTGTTAATGTGTGATTACCAATTATTGTCATTCTAATCCCCTGTTACTACTTATTATAGGACTGTTATTATTAACACTAATAGAAGCTAATCAATATAATAAATAAATAAATTATAATAATTAATAAACAAAATTAAATATTATATAGGTGTCCTATTATTATATTAATTAATTAAATTTTCAGGTGCCGATTGCAAAAGTTTTCACCAAAACTACCTAAAGCGTCCATTATTATTTGTTTTTATAATGAACATTTTGAAACATTAATGAGATCTGTCCATTCCATATTAGATCGTACTGATCTAAATAATCTGAAAGAAATCTTATTAATAGATGACTTCAGTGACATACAAGGCCTACATGATCAAGTACAAAGTGCTGTGAATAAATTAAATATTATGATGCGTAAAGATGAAGAAATGTTGGAAACTAATAATGTAGATGATAATGTTATAGTAGATTATATAAATGATGATAGTAATGTGGATAAAAAAACCACAGATAAGAATAGTGCAAAATCAACTAGAAGTGGAATGAATATAAGGTTACTGAGAACAAGTAAAAGGGAAGGGCTAATTCGCGCAAGATTATATGGTGCCGACAATAGTGTTGGTGAAGTGAGTAAATTTATATTTAATCATCAGGGAATAATAATAGAAATAGAAATAGAAATAGAAATAATCTTTATTCAAATAAACTCATTACAAGCACTTTTGAATAGTCATATTTTGATTCTACCACTCATTCGAATGCAGATTCATCACAAGAAGAATGAGCAAGAAACTTGTGTGTTGCTCTTTTTGATAGATGTTTTTTTATATAAATAATTACAGTGTAACAAGTAAGAGGCATGCGACAATCAACATAGAAATCGCTACGCACTCATTATTAGTGTAATCAGATAATATTGTCAGTGCTATGTATTTAAAATTTTTCTACAAAAACATTATTATCGTTAACGAATTCTTCAATTTTATAGTAAGCTTTTTTGCAAAGGAAGTGTTTTATTTGACATTTAAATCTTTTTTCTGTCAGATTTATAACAGACTCTGGTATTTTATTGTAAAACCTTACGCAATTGCCATAAAACGAATTACTAACTTTAGCCAAACGACATTTAGGTAAAATCAGTTTGTTATTGTTACGTAAGCTTTTATTAGTGCAATCACTAACTCTTTTGAAACTGTCTATATTCTTCCTGGCATACATGATGTTTTCATAAATATATTGAGAAGCAACGGTGAGGATATTTGATTCCTTAAAGCACTCTCGCAAAGACTCCCTGGAACCCATGCTATAAATGGAGCGAATGGCCCTCTTTTGTAAAATAAATATTGTATTTATATCAGCTGCTTTGCCCCATAACAAAATACCATACGACATAATGCTATGGAAATAGCTAAAGTACACAAGTTTAGCCGTTGCCACGTCTGTTAATTGTCTAATTCTTCTTACCGCATAAGCGGCAGAACTAAGTCGACTCGCTAATTTAGTAATATGGGCACCCCATTGCAACTTGGAATCTAATGTGATACCTAGAAATACAGTATCATCCACAAAATTAATAGGTTTATTGTCCAACATGATTTTTGAATCTACCGGCCTTACATTGGGGAGAGTAAATTTGATACATTTAGTTTTATTTGCATTTAGTAACATATTATTAGCCGTAAACCATTTTAAAACATAAGAAAGAGCACCGTTTACTTCGTCCAAATCATCAATATGTCGATTGACTTTGAATACTAATGAAGTATCATCAGCAAACAGAACTATGTCAGCTATTTTTTCTACCATATAAGGAAGATCATTTATGTAAACTAAAAATAAGAAAGGACCTAAAATAGAGCCCTGAGGAACACCCATTTTAATACTAGTTCCTTCAGACTTTACACCATTTATTTCGACAACTTGCATTCTATTATTTAGATAGGATTTCATCATGCTTTGTGCTTCATATCTAATACCGTAATGTTCAAGTTTTAGCAAAAGTGTTTCATGTTCAACGCAATCAAATGCTTTTGAAAGATCGCAAAATACACCGACTGCATCCTGAGACCTCTCCCAAGAATCAAATATATATTTAATGAGAGCTACACCGGCATCAGTAGTTGATTTACCGGCCGTGAAACCAAATTGTCGACTGTGAAGCAGTTTATTTACTTTAAAGTGTTGTAGCATTTGATTGAGCATAATTTTTTCAAACACTTTACTCAATACTGGTAAGATAGATATAGGCCTATAATTACCTACCACAGTTTTTTCTCCTGACTTAAAGAGTGGAGTTATTTTGCTATGTTTCATTAAATTGGGAAAAACACCGTCAGAAATACATTTATTGAAAATAATTACTAAATATGGAGCAATAACATCTATAGCGGTGTTAATAACTTTAACAGACATGCCCCAATGGTCTTCAGTCTTTTTTAAATTTAATTGTTTTAATGTTTTAGTAATTGTAGCAATGTCAATAAATGTAAATTTAAATGTAACCGGACAAGAAACAACATTATCAATAAGGAATGATTTAGCTGTACCAGGAGAAGAGTCCAAAGAGGAAGTAATATCAGTTGGAATATTAGCGAAAAAATTTTCAAAAATATTGACAATTTCTTTTGTGGACGTTACTATTTTATCATTATAATTTAGCGTAAAATCGTTATATGGACTTTTAACTTTGCCAGTTTCTTTGTTAATAATATTCCACACTGTCCTTATCTTATCCTTGGACTCTTTAATTTTTTTATTTAGATAATTAGACTTTGCTACATTACATACCTTTTTAAAAGTTTTTGAGTATCTTTTTACATAATTTACGAATGTACTATCGAAACGGTATTTTTTTTGAGCATATAAATCAAATAATATATTTCTACTTTTAAGAATTCCCTTTGTAGCCCATTCTGAAAATTTTGTTTTGTTAATAATACTGATAGTTTTTTTGTTAAAAGCCTTATTATATTCGTTAGAAACAATATTGAAGAAATCTGTATAAAGTTTGTTAGGTTCATTAGATGGAAGATAAAAATCTAATTTACTACGAACTGATATTTTAAATTTATTTATCTTATAACTAGTCAAGTCTCTTTTTAATAAATTAATTTTCCCAATTTTGTTTAAGAGATTTGGAAAAATAACTATTTGACCACAGTGATCAGACGGAAGGTTGTTTATTATTATTTTATCTAAATACTCACTATTGCTAAATATGTTATCCAAGCAAGTAGCAGACGTGGCAGTGATACGAGTGGGTTCGTGGAAGACATTACTCAAGTCAAAGGATTGAAATAAACTTATTAATTTAGTTTTTGTGGTATTATGTGATAAAATGTCAACATTGAAATCACCACACACTATAATTTTTTTGTTAATATTAAATACTCTTTTTAAAATATCCTCCATTACCTCTTCAAATAAATTATAATCACTATTTGGAGGTCTATAAACACATATAACTATATAATTGTCTAGTTCCACACAGGAAATTTCAATACAACATTCAACAGAAAGATTGCCAATATCACTATGTTCTTTTACTTTTATATTATTTTTCACCAATATCATAGAACCTCCTCTATTTACTATTTTTCTATTAAAGCAGCTGACAATATTATAATTGTTTAAGCTGAACATCATATTGCTCACTTTGAGCCAATGTTCAGTTAAACATAGAACATCTATATTATTTTTTCTAAAAACAATTGAATAATTAATTCACAGCCGAGAAAACTTTGTATGTTCTGGTGAACAATTTTCAATTCTGATAGCTTTCCCTTTGTCTTTTTCAGCAGTTTAAATCTGCAGTCATATATATTATTAATAAATTATTCCATTATTGCATTGCAGTAAGGATTAATCTAAAAATAGTCTATCTAATATAAATATGAGTGCTTGCTCATCTAAATACTATGTAGTATTTGAAGATTTGAATGAACTGAATAGTATAACATAAAAGCAAAATGTATCATTAGAGTTTCTTACCAGTTCATCTGAAATAAATATTTTTTGATTTGATATTATATTGTATTTGTACCTGTATGCCTAATATTTTATGATTATCTTTGAAATGAGGAAGTTTTGTTGTTCATATTTATCTGCAGGAACTGTTTTCTAAGTTATGTAGTAGAAATATTGATTAATATCTTTTAGATGTATTTAAAATTAAGATTCTTTTAAAATACATAATAATTTTCTATTCCAATATATAGCTTCACTGACTATTACTTTATTGTTGTAGTTTTATGATCACCAATTATTCCATTGTTTTATTTATTAGGTATTGGTATTTTTGGACTCCCATATTGAAGTAAATGTGGATTGGCTACCGCCATTATTAGCTCGTCTTGTTGAGGGCGTTGATGAGACGAATGTGAGGTTCTCGTCCAGGGCTGTGGCACCAGTTATCGACGTTATCAACGCTGATACTTTTGACTACACACCCAGTCCTTTGGTTCGGGGTGGATTCAACTGGGGATTGCATTTCAAATGGGATAATTTACCTAAAGGAACTCTTAAAGGTTGGTTTGAATATATTTTAATACTATTAGTATGAGCATAGGGATATCAGGCTCTTTAAGAAATTATCAAATTTGCTGCAATTAAGCATTTTTTAAGTTTTAAGAGGTAGTATTTGTAAAATTTAATTGTGTGGGTACTTCAGTCTCAACATTGGAGTAGTCATGCAGTTTGCTTTGTAAAATGTTGAAGGCAATTAAATTACAGAAGAAATTGCAAGACACTTCAGTCACCTGGAATGTATGAATGGTATTGTGAGCATAACTTGATAATGTGATATATATACATAGTGCTGTTTATGTAAATAATGTTTAATGTAAATATGGTTACCATTTATCAGCAGGTTTCAATTCAGTTTATTTGCTATTCCAATTGTGCCATACAGTTTAAGAAACTAGATTGTTTTATAACATTGTATGCTTTAGGTATATAAATATATATTCATCAATGCTTTTCTTTGCCCCACATTATAAATTATTTTCCCTTGCATTCCGTCTCTGTTTGCAGTCATATCAACTTTCACACAGTTATCTCATTTTCCTTTGACATCTGTTATAAGGATCCACATTTATGTATGGCATTCTATTTTATAAATTGTACCACAGGCATTTTTTTGTGTATAATTAATATTATGTGCGTTACCTTGTTTATAGTGGATGAAGATTTCGTGAAACCAATAAAATCACCGACAATGGCAGGTGGACTGTTTGCCATATATCGTGACTACTTCAATCATATAGGGAAGTATGATCCCGGAATGAATGTGTGGGGAGGGGAGAACTTGGAAATTTCATTCAGGGTAATCAGAAAATTAATAAATGCTTATATATGATAAAAACAAATTACTAATTGCACTTACATTCTTACGTTGATAACATAGATGAACATGTATAAACATGTAACCTAAATTTAGGTCTAATAAATTAAACACACTAAAATATGCTATAAAAATAACATAAATGTATTAATATGGTATAAAGATGTCCAATAACAATTGATAGGTTTATTCTATGTAAAATCTGTAATTTGTGTTTTTTTTTAGATATGGATGTGCGGTGGTACTTTGGAGTTGATACCCTGCAGTCGTGTGGGACATGTTTTCCGTAAGCGACGACCATATGGTATCAGCGAAAAAGAGGATTACATGTTACAAAACTCAATGCGCATGGCACATGTCTGGATGGATGAGTATGTTGTAAGTAAAATTTTATAATAGATATATCTGACATAAAACAAAACTGGCTACTAATAGTCAGTATCCACTTAATTAGTCTACGTAATATCCTAGATTTAATAAATATATTGGTGGTGTAATCAATATTAAAACGTTTGGGGAGATGGGAGGGGCGATGTAGTTGTCAGTCCCCATTGTGAGCAGTGTACCGTGGCAAGTCGACCTCCAGTGTCTACGTCTTGGAAATAATCGTAGTTAATTCCTGGTGAATTGACCATAATGGGGTAACTGAAGTGATTTCATGTTCATCCTCACCTGTTGCCCAGATCGCAGACATCATTAGCGCAAGGTGCTGCACTTTACAAAGACTATGTAAGGTGCTAAATAGTCTTTGTAAAGCGCTGCGAGTGTTAACTACTTTTTTAATATATGATAATGGAATGGTTCACCCGCCTGCCCTAATGGTATACGCTGGCGTGGCACCAGTGTAGGGCAATAAGATGAGCATGAGATCAACCCGACATGGTACATTCCTAACAATAGTCTATTAGTAACAATCCCCTTCCCTAATGGTGGGAAGGGGATTGTTAGCGTGCGTGTTAATTTGCAGTGCTGATTGTTATACATACCAACTTGTTTGCCATTACATTAGCACAAAAAGTAACTATGTATTGTTTTCAGAACAAAGTAATTGAACATAACCCATCGGCAGCACATTTGGATATAGGCGATATAACAGATAGAAAGAATTTACGTGAACGTCTTCATTGTAAATCGTTCAAGTGGTATTTGGACAATGTATATCCAGAGATGGAATTAGGAGAGAATACAGCCGATAAAAAGAGAGTGGCGGCACTTAATGATCCTGACAAAAATAAATTCCAACCTTGGCATTCTAGGTAAGTATTAAGAACAAAAAATGCTATCGCTACGACGCGGTCTATCGAGGCATTGTCAACTTTCGCCATTATGATGGAGCTAACCTATGGCATAACCAGACTTTGCTGTGTATTATTTATAAGAAACGATTATAAGGGTACGAGCCTAAAACCTCTTTTTGATTAATTTGATTTATTCTCGGTATTTTCATCACTGTTAATAGTTACACTGATTTTAACAGCTAATCCACAGTTTCGTAGAACTGTACCCAGTTACCGGTACCAATTCTCCTATACCTAGATTGAGGAATTCATTGAACGATTGAGGAAATCATTATAGTGACATCGTAAACATCTACTTCGCCGCATTCTGTGTATATCATTAAAAAATATACGACTATTTAATAGGAGCAGTCATAAATTTTGCGGTTAATTCCCCATTTGGGCCCCGCTCGGCATATTACCATAGATATTTTTGCCTTTTGATTATGTTGTCTATGTGTGTGTTTCGTGTAAGTTTTTGGTCGAAGGTTACGTCCAGGTACTTGACTTTTTTGGAGTACTCTATTATTCTTCCATTTACTTTAGGCATAACAGGTTTATCAAGTTTCTTCCTTTTTGTTAATGGAATAATGGCTGTTTAATCATGATTGACTGATAATTAATTTTCTTTACACCATTTAATTATAATGTTCAGTGCTCTTTGGATGCGGTCTTATATTTTTGTTGTACAGTAGGCTCTGACCATGACTACTATATACATCTGTGTAGCCTTACACCTCAAATTGGTTTTTAGTCATAACATCTGATAGCTGGTCTACCGTTAGTAGCCACAAGAGTGGTGATTAAAGGTCCTTCTTTAGGGTATCCCTTGTTTTAATGTAATGATACGAAATGTTGTTTTAATGGTTCGGTTTGCTTTGATCCATTATAATTGTATTACTATTATATAATTTATGTTTTTAGAAAACGCAACTATACAGATTCGTTTCAAATACGCTTGAAGAATACATCTCTATGCATACAAAGTGCCAAAGATATTAAGACAAAAGGCAGCGGACTTGTTATTTCTAGTTGTATAAGGACATTAAACCAGGTAATTTTGTAGTCTAATAAATATTCTATTTATTGATGTATGATTTGTTTTTGAACCTGTGATCTTTGTGACCACTATTAGTATATTCTATATGTTATGAAAAGTTAACTGCTATGTTACGAACAGTATATAATTAAAAGAAAAGCAAAATAATTGTAGGAAAATATAACATTTTAATTCATGTAAAAAGTAGCAGCTTAACATTATATTGTAATTAGAATTAAATGTTAAAATCTCTTATGTAACTTCATTTAGATGGTTTGCTTTGTTCTTATTCCAGATGTGGTTTGAAACAGCTAGGAATGAATTGGTGTTAGGACGTACGTTATGTTTGGACGCGTCCAACAACGTTGCGCCATCTCTCGGGAAGTGCCACGAGTTGGGCGGCTCACAAGAGTGGAAACACAAAGCAAGCGTAAGTTACTTTTAAATCTTTTATTTAGTTTTAATCAATACCATATATATGACTTTTATATCAAAAGATTTCATCTTGAGTTTAGCACGCGAAATTAAATTTCGATTCGAATTGATATAATGTCTGAAATAATCAGCGTGGTTATTAAGATACGACATAATTGTTTATATTTTAGTTCAGGATACCGATAATTCGAATATATTTGATTAAAGTAAGGCAAGTAGTGTGTGAACTTTTGGAATGTTCAGCATGAATTCATCTATTCTTTGTCATAGATTCTAAAAAATCTAGAACAAAACCATTTTGTCGTTTCAAGTGACGCGTATGTGTATTGCGTTTGTCCCTACTGCGTAATAGACGTAAAAGAATTTTGTTAAGATATCTATATTATAGGTATAATGTTATATATATAGGTATATATTTAATTTCTTTCGGACCGGAACTTGTTGATGTGGAAATCATAAACATATTAGTAATTAACATGTGTGGGATGTTTTAGGCGGGAAGTCCAGTTTACAACACGGCAGCTGGCATGTGTCTCGGGGTCGACCGCGTGTACCGAAATGAACCCCTGATTATGGTTATCTGTGACAATCGACCTACAAACCAGTGGGACTTTGTTAGGTCTTAATTGACTACGGTTACCAATTAAGATCCGACATTACTACATTGGTTTAATACATGTACGGTATTGTAATTAATACGGTCAACGAATTTGAATATGAATCATATTTTCGTTTTTAATAAGAAACATATTTTATTATATGTATCTTGACTGTATTGTTGTGATTAATGTAAGTAATTTATATAAAAAGATTCAGTGTTGTATGTATATATGTTACCATTGTTGTTATCTTGTCCGACACATAATTGCAAATATTATACAATTATATATCAGTTATACTATATAGATACCATTTAATAGTGGACTCTTATATAACCTCAATTTAAGAAAAAACATGTTTCACGGTATGGGTCTTTTCTATATTGTGGGTCTACAGAATTAATAGAGCTCTCTACAAACTGTTATACATAAAATTGTTATTATATAGAACACCACTAAGTGCTTACGAGCTGTAATAAAATTATATATATACAAATCTCCCTCAAAAGTGACAAGCAAATTATAAATGAATTTAATCATTTACAGGGGAAACCACAATAAAGTTAATGAATTCAATTAAATGACATATCAGCTTTCAGTTCAAATACATATTGATACAAATAAAAATTAAATAATATAGAAATTATTTTAGAGATAATTAGAAATCTAAAATTTGAATTTTATATTTGTATACATTATACGCTTGTCCAGATCTTCCTCTGATATTGTTCAGTATTTTTAAGGCAGCTTCTTCAGTTGAATGACTTATACATATAAAACGTCATATTATTTTATTTAGTTGAGTTTAATATTACAATAAAAATTTAGACATGGTTGTAGATAATGACGCGTGCTTTAACGCCGTCTTATTACCTATATTTCAGGTTGTCTGTTATTGGACAATACTAGATACTTATGATATTTTAATACGGTTGTCTTTAGTTATCTATGTATGTGTAAAATTAAAATGAGTGACAGTACCTCTTCGTGTCTAAACTGTACTGATCTGAATCTAAATTAGCAAGTTTGAATCTCAAGTGTAGACTACGTGGGTGTACAATGTCAAATCATAAAACGCTGTCTCGACGTCTGACTGATGAGTGAATTATTATTAAATTGTAATGTTTTAAAGAAATATAATTACACCTCACTACAAAATTTGCATAATAGAAAGCATCACAAACATAATTTATTGCTATTTGGTTTTAAGCAAGGTATTATAGATTCTATGTGAGAATTGTATTATTGTGACACCGTCTAATGTTACTAGTTTTAAAAAAGTATAATTTTGAGACTGCGAAGAAAATCTCTCTTTATGACTCGATTAGGATAACTGTGTCTATAAATATGTCTTGGCATGGTAGTGTATTGATAATTTTATAGAGTCTTGGAAAGTGTTACGTTCTATTGAGCTAATAACAACCTTTCTTGAATGTTTCTTTGATGATGGTTTAGTTAGAAGTTTGTGTTGTATATAATAATAATATATATACCGGATGAGTTTGTGTACCCTCCGGAATAATGTCTCTAATACGTCCAAGAAGACGATTCGATTGACATTAAACTGTTGTACCTTTTTTTAACTACAAGACCTATACTAACTTATCTAACAGGGTAAGCTTCGGTGAAAAGATTGAAGAAATAATTTGCACAAGTGCCTATCATAGGGTACGTCATTATGAAAATGTCAATTTATTTTATGTAATTATCAACAGAGTTAAGTAGTAGACATGTTTGTACGACTATATGTATGCTATCGAATTTGCGGATCTTAAGAGAATTAGTTCACAGTTGTACTAATCGAATTATAACTCTGTGAATTTTTGTGCAAATTGGCCTAAATGTTAAGTAGAAAATATGTACAAATATATAAATTTACCCTATTATTGGTAAATTGGTACAATGTCCGTCCTACAAGAATCTTGTATCAACTTTTATGTGGTTCTTTACTTTCTTCAAGCTGAAATGTACAAAGAATTGCGTAACTGAGAACCTTTATTAGAATTTTGTATTTGTCAATTTTCATTTGAAGGGCCATGAAAGTTACACTTTCTTGAATTTATTTATTTTCATTTACTTGACACTTTTTATATTTACTTTATAGGTACATTCATTTTTCTTTGTGATTCTACGTTTTCTGATACAGGGATGTTCTTTTGTAATATTTGCGGTATTATTATATAATGCTGTTACTAACAAAAAAGGATAGATTAAATTACCGTTGAAACTGTGGAATGACAAACTTATTGATTTTAGGTACTTGTTACAAATGAGAATTTTTAATAACAGCATTACATAATTAAGCCTATGCTACACTTGTTCATATGCTATTTTCTTCTAAAGATTCTATAGAGATTGTTATATTTAGATAACTATATATCATGTTTGACGTATATATATGTAACGTATAATAGAAAGAGCAAATGAAAACATATATTTAATATACGCTATAGAAAAATTGATATATATGTATATATAAATATATATATATATATATTTGTAATAAGCAATATTGTGAATGTTTAGTACAAATTTATTAGAAAATCAAATATTGATATAGGAATTAATGCTGTACCACTATCACTTAGCACGTTAACAGTTATCCAACCTCATAAAATACATGTTCACGGATAAGTCCACAATATTTTAAGTAACATTAGAAAATAAAGTGGTCCATGACAACATGACAGTAGATCACATAATCAAGGTGTTATTGTTTTCTTTATTATTTAAATCTATAAGATAATTGATTGGTATATTTACATCTGTAACTTTTATTTTTATATGTGGCATATTTAATTAGCGGGGTCAATTTAATGGAAAATATTTTCTAACACAATTTGGAGTTGTTAACAATTTTGGATATTAATATAACGTCTGTCATTTTATAACATTAAGATGAAAAATGATAATCATTTAATAGCATTGCCTTTTTTATTTCGACTTATTAGTCTATCTTTTAAAAACATGAAAGTAATAAAACATTATTATAAAATGGCTTTACAAGAAACTGAGAATATCAGAATAGCTAATAATTTTCTAATTTTCGTTATTGTTTCTCTTATTTATTACGTCTTAACTTAACAAGTAATCTGAAACCTTCAATACATAGACTGTAAATATGCCTTTCCACTGTTTTTTATATAGTTTTGAAATTATGCACTCGGTAATTCATACGTATTTAGACATAGATATATGAGAATAGATTCTAATTTTTTAGAAGAAATTATACATATATATACAATAAATCATTCAGATTTATATTAATATACGTAGGATTTATTTTTGATCTATTGATTATAAATTTAAATGTTAGTAATTTTATACTTATTTATATTGTGTTAAGAATCTCATCCAGTAATGAATCTATGAAAAGTATATAGAAAATATTTTATATAATTAAGCGGTGCCTATGTATGTGATAAATGCGTAGTCCTCACAAATATAATTCTATATGTATATTCATACTACCAATGTCGATGCAACTATAAGCATTAATTACGATTATAGGTAAATGACAGTTAACAGCATCTTACGAGCAGTTGCAATTGTCAAATTAGGCATGTGTCCTAAATGGACCAATTAAGAATAAGGTAATCAGGTACCTAATAACCTGAATCTATGAATGTCCAGTAAAATAGGTATGATTTGTTGTAAGATTAGAGAGGATATAATATATTAAGAAAAAAAAAATCAATCGCCTTGTTTAAGCGCTTTTTAGATTCAATAGTTTTTGCTATTATCGACATTGGTTTCAGCACAGTATTTTTCTATAAATATAGTAATTGCCAGCAGGCAGAATAGTATAAGTGATACGATGTCAGGTTCAAATAAACATTCTAAATTAATTACGTTAATGAAGCAATATATAACTAATTCTTTCTGTATGGTGTATCCTGCAAATAATTTGTTCCTAGCCTATATATGTTTTAGTATTTTTTTACAATAAAAGTAATTGTTAATGACTTATGCTTTTAATTGATCATAATCCTATAAAAGTTTTTAAAATAACGTGGTTCATTATCTCTCTTCATCTCTCTAATTTCGTCTTTCGAATAGAATGATTAAAAATGAATGCTGCTTGATTAATTTATTAGGATGTAAGAGAAGTGTAGGGAAACTCAACTGAAACGGAAGCGATCAGACTAAACTCGTAAAGTACTATTTGGCCCTCCAAATACAATACAACACAACACGCAGACTTTTATTTTACCTACTCTGTTTGTGCTACGTCTATAAAACAGTATATTGGCCCAATGTAAACAATCTGAGTTCAATCACTTGTTAGACTGAAAATTATTACATATAACTATTGTCATAGACAACTATGACTTCCACTTATTTCATCCAATGTAAAGGACATATGTTATAGAGGTTATACATTAAAATAAAACACAAATGTTTTTGATATGTTAATCAACATTTATTTTAACATTTAAAATTACATAAAAAGAAGGCATTTTGCCTTAAAAGTCTTTGATTATTTATTAATTATGTACCTACAGAATTGATTTCATTTATAGAGTGATTAGTGACAATAGAAACGTGCATCAAGTGTGAACATGCTATCATCCAATTAATACATCAACTGACTTTGGTGGGACCTCATTAAAATACATCGAAGAGACAATATTAAATACATATTAAAATTACATTTTATTTTTAAAAATTTGGAATAATCTGCAATAGACATTAGTTGAAGGTTTCATTTTGAACCAATATAATGATTAGTATAGTGTATAAATAGATAGCATATTAAAACTTCATGTTATAAATAGGAGAAATTTAACTCAATCGATATGTTTTACATAGGCAAGTTTATGTAGGTATATAAATAGACATATTAGAAAGTATTTTATAAGTTCATAACTTAACAGTGATATACAAATAATTAGATTCGTAATACACATAGTATCTAATCACCTTAAATGACTAACATATAAAATGAATACAATACATGAAATCATCTATTTTGACACTTTTTGATTTGATCGTTAAATAGTTGCAAAGAAAAATATTTATTCTAATTATATGAGCAAATATTATCAAATCTAGATTGAAAATATAGAAGCTAAACGCTAAACGAATAACGTATAGGTAATAGTAGAATATTGTCTCCAACGCTTAATTGCTGGCTAGCACTGACCACCGACCACCTACTGTTCCTGTATACATCGCTTAGGCTGCGTTTTTGGTTGGATCTAACGCGTAACGTTAGCAGTCAATTCAACACCAGCACCAACTGCGTCAAACGTTTGAATGAATTTACATTGGTCCCAACACTTTTCAAAAAGATCTTGTCGTTAGTAGATATAAATAGTCTTAAATCGTGCATTTTCGCCTTTATAATAACTTTCATAAAAATTTCTACCTTGATCTTATCGCAGTGCTTAATATGAATGATGTTTCTCTATTTAAATGCCAGCAGAAAAAAATGTGGAAAACAGATACACTTATAATATAGGTATTAAGTTTAACAGGAAAATACTTTGAGACGAAATCTTGACACGAGGTGTAAGAACAATTTGATGATATGATGTTATATGATAAATGATCGGTTACCCTTCTCGGAACGAGCATTTACTTAATTACGTAAAAGATCTAACATCGCTATACAAGCAAACGGGCGAAGTTTCTGTTACGTGACTGTAACTTGTAGATATTGTATAAACACTATTACACCTATAGACAAATATTACTGGTTTTAACACAAAATTACTTAAAACTGATATTGAAGTGCATGAACGTATACATATACCGAGAGGGTAGAACCGATTAAACGTTTATACTACGAGTAAATAGTTAAGTAATTAACAATATTCAAACAACATGGATGAGACACAATTAGAAATAAGAAAACATCGGTGAAGTACATTCAAAATTCACACTTATCATCGAATTGAATATATGTAAATACAATGAATCATGTTTAATTTAATTAGTAAAATATAGAGTACAAAATTGAATGGGAAAAGTAACACCGAACATCTAGTACAACATTTTGATATTATTAGTATTTAATTCACATCGACGCGTTTAAAAACTGGATCATGCTTATTTATTTTATATATGGTTTTCTAAATTCAAATTGTTTTCTAAACAAATTGTAAAATTCTTAAATAGTCGGATGGATACTTGCGGACTTAATGTGAAATTAATCCAGTTTTTCAACGTTCAATTAACGAATCCAATGATCATAGATTCGTTTACAAAAATTGTTTATATTCGTTGTACACAACCCACAGTTAAAACTTTGTGTTTCAATCGACATACTTTTAAATTACAATAATTATTTTAAATACATATTAACTCTATAAAATGAAATACACTTTTGCAGGGACTTACTTAATGTTAATATTTCCTTAGCTTACCTGTTTTCTTTTTATTACTGATTACAATGTCGAGGACTTGTTTAGAGCTAGAGGTGACAGAGAGGTGCATAATTATGGTTATTGTCCGACCAGCACGTGATGTTGCGGAGAATTATTTTTAAACAGGCCTTAATATTACGACATCAAATTGCACGATTAATTTAATTTTATTAATTATGGTAATATGCAGTTTTTAATAATTACGGTAATATGCAGATATATAACGTCCAGCTTTAATATACGATTTATGTAAAAATATTGTCCAATGTGGACTATATCTTTTTGAATACTAAGCACATATAATGACTGGCTAATGAATACGTTTAAAAGTACATGAAGTAAGTTTATCTATGACAATCTACTGTAGGTATTCAAAGAGAATAGTCAACATTAAATAATATTTTAGTATTCATATAATAAGCTGTAGACGTTATTGGTACTATAATTACGAGTATACTGATACTTATGAATTATAATTATAACATCACTCAAGTGGCATAAATAATCTTAAATACCAAACATTCATTTAATGTACATTGTCTCATTATGTTAAATATTAATGACAGATGCATTGCCTATAATATGATAATTGATACCACCTTATCTTCTGTCGCTAATTGTACAGATTAAACACAATAAAAAATACAGTAATAAAAATTTTGATATTGCAGGATATAAGCATCAGACTGCAACCTTATCTACAAAGTCCAATTGGGTTTTACTGAATATCTTGCAGTCTCCGTGGTCTAATTATAAGCTCTAATTTTATCTACAAAATGCCACTCAATTATGTTATCGAATGGCATACATATTGGTAAAGACTAAGCATCTAGTCAACGAGATCGACTGCAACATATTGAGTTGTACTACTGCATTTGTCATTATGTCTAAAACATATAAATTCTACATATTCACAACTAATCGTTTGTATTGCTTTCTACGAGAATTACACGTATCGTCCGTAAAACTATAAACTAATAATAGTATGTAATCAATTAATATTAACACATAAACATGTAAAGCATCGTATATATTAGAATAAGTATTTTGCATTGGGGAATCCACTCTAGGACCAGTGCCTAAGATGATGATGCTGTTCATGTTAGATCTATATTCTAACGCAGTTCGCCGATATATTACAACAGACTGATCCTTACTGAAGATATGCATCTATACACCTCCTCAGTCTTGCCACTAGCTCAGGATAACATCAAGGGGACACATTACGTTACTCTAAATTGTAAATTGAAGGAACAGCAAGCACCCCGTTACATCGACCGTCATTTATAATCCTACTAAGTTAAAGTATGTATGTATTTGATGATATTAGACTAAACTATTATTTTTCCTGTGTGAAGTGCGTGTAGAATTTATTTAGTTATTATTGTTAGTGTCTAAAATTGTTATTCGTGATGACGAAGGTTTGTGCTGTTTGTCGATGATTCCGGGGTTTAGTGTTAAGGGAATTACAGGGTATTATTATATTGCGACGACAATTACAATGTGACATTAAAACATTTATGTATACTGAGTAATGTATATCTAATAATACCTATTATTAATTACGCTACGTGGCCACAAGGCTTGAGATGAGAGACTAGAGTTACACGAGTAATTCGGCATTAGTCAGCCTTGTGACATTATCAGATAATCAGATAACACGCCGCGTCCGGAAATATTGAGTTTCAGCAAACAAAAGTCACCTCTTCATAAAATTGGCCCATTCAAAACGGTCGTGTACGTACAAACCGTCTTCACTTTACTAAAATATTCTCTCTCATGAAATTCGCTTAGTTACATCGATATTTGCGGAGGCAGTGGGATTGCATCCTTATAAGTGCCTGATTGAAGAAAACAAGAAGCACAGGGGGCGTATGTAGCCCTGGAGGCTCTTTATGCCTCACGAAGTATACAACCTTAACATTTAAAACAGGTTAAAAAAATAGGAATAGACTTTGGATATACTATAGGTCGAGCGCCGGCCATGCATAGTTGTAAAGTTGGACACGCACTGATACAATTGGCTTATAATACAACCCTTTTTTATTCCTTCAATTTAAGATAACTGAATACCTAATATAAATCCAACTTGTGTTGCCTACGATCTACCCGATCTCAATAAATAGATTTTACCACATAAAAATAACAGGATCGGGTGATCTTTAACAATTCATGTCAATATGTAATCAGTGTGTGACCAACCCCAATTCTATGGACGACTTGCCCTCGGCCTAAAAGACCACTACTACAATATACGTAGAGTATGAAATCTTACAATACTAAGTGCCGCCATTTTTAATCTATGCCGAACGCAAAATAGTCGACTAAAAGGAATACTTCTGTCGTGTGTTGAAGTAGTGATCTTAATTAGGGGTTTGCCTGTAAAGGCAGTGATAGTGGAAGATCGTGGGAGCGCTAGGCGAAGGGCGCTAGGGATAGGCGTGAAACATTACGCGAAGGTGACGCATATACCAACATCAATTATTAAGCTTTCGACATATATTATTATACTAATTAAAATGAGAAAGGCTTTAATAATTAATGTCAATAGTAGCGTCATTTATGGACGTAGATCTCTGATCTGTAACCGCATACCTTAAATTCGAAACATGTCTATCTAAATCCTCAATCGTATATACATCTGCGCTCTTAATAAATACCTGATACATCTCGTCACAGTTCAGAAATCTACTACACTTAAACTAGCACACTTAAAACACCAGCAATCAATTTACAACGTCGGTGTTATTAAAATTTACGAGATCTTATATTATTGTTATCATTCTAAATTAAATTAAATTTTATAATTAAGTACAATGTATGTCTATTTACTTGGTAACGTGAATTCCTAATATATACGACTAGACAATGGATATTCCATTAACAAGTACACAGGTTACGGCAAGCAGCACGCTTACTATGACGCGCAAAGACCTAATATCTAATTAAAATGCCTTATTATTAATACTGATATAATACTGCCTGATTTCCTATTTATCCTACGCTAAATTACCCGAGACATCAAATTGGGGTGTTCTCGGGCACCATGACATGCTGTCGATATGCACTTATGATTACCAATCTTAAACTATGTTTATCTAAGTAATGAAACGATTGAAATTTCGTAATATACCTAAAGACGATGTAATCGTCGAGTCGTTTGTATTATAGCTAATTTATAACCTATAATTCTACGGTATGTGGATTAGTCACTATTTTATAAAGCGAACCAGCAGGCAACGCGCCATTCCGTTTCTCCTTTTGCGGCTTATGAACGGCAGTGATGCAATATGATTGAAAAGATCGTGTAACGATAATACTAAAATGTCTAATATGAACGTTACAAATATTTGTCATTAATTCAATAGATTTTATCACAGTTCTAGTGAAGAGTTTGTTATACAATTATGATAACTCTGCATCTTAATAAAGTTATTTACGCCATTTGTTCTTACAGAGTTTTCAGAGAGAATTGTACCTATTATATTAAAATAATGGAATTTAGTAGAAATACACGTTATGAGTGAAATTTCGAATTTTTTTTTATCAAAACTGATACAAGACACCTACCTAAGTATAAAAAAATCATAGAAAAATGTTGCTCATCTACTTATTTACAAAAATGAAATTACCTTAATCTACCATTATTCTTAAATTAAATTTTTTCCAAATATTTTAAAATTTAATTTACATAGTCGATGAGCCTAAAAATAGTAAGACATTTAGTAGTAGTTTTGGTCATTCATACATGTATATCATAAGCTAGTTAGGCGTTTATTATTATTTATATAATATATACCTATGAAAAACAACCAACCGACCGATTATATCAATGTACAGCACGAAGTGATGAATCTAGAAACATAATATTTTACCGTATGAATCCTCATGTAATATAGGATCCACGAATGAAAGACTTATAAAAATTCCTGCGGGAAAATAAGAAACACAATTGCTACGCGTCGGCGTAACCACATGCCTTTGTTCTAGTCTACAATAATGAAACGAATATGGTCTGAATATTTGGCTGTTTGTTGCGTGCTGGCAGCATCACTTAGTTGGAAATAGTCGATACGATCAATATTTAACGTTTCGGTGGCTTATAGCCATGTGTCATACGTTCCAAGAATCGATGTAAGTCGTGGAAACGAGGTCGCTGCATAGGTTCTCGTCTCCAGCACTCGTGCATCAGGTCGTACAGTTCCCGACGGCAGCGTGGTGGGGGCGCTGCTGGAACTCTGGCACTTCGCCCTCCGCAACGCCATTCACTTGCGTTTGCGACGACCTAAATAAGATTGTATCTTTTATCCGATTGCTAATAAAAGGATAATAATGTTTAGATGTATGGAGACCCCGCTTTTAACGGATCGTATAATGTACCTAAATGGCTTGATGGATTATACAAATCGGATATTATTATGCCAACAGCTGTAATTATTCAGCTACGTGATGGCATAGTTATTGCACAAGTAAGTCAACAGAACAAAAATAGTACATTGTTATAGGTCCTGCTATTATGATTTCTGATGACTGAAACTTTATGCTACTTCTGCCTAATATAGACAATAACCTTCGAAACATGTCTTGCTGCATTAAGTATTACCGTTTAACTATAAGATGAGTTAAATAAGTTCAGAACATTCAGTTACTGTTGACCTCAAATAATATTTCTAAATCTCCTGAGTCTTGACCTTATGAACGTATTAAGCTACACACCTGTCTAAAACTTGAATTTTTTGCATGAACTGTCAGTTTCTATAGTACAGAAGCAATAAATTAGCAGAAAAGCAAATTGGCGAATAGTACTGATATCTTACCTGATCATCATTCATTTCTTCAAATGGTTTGGACATGCAATAAGTTAATACCTCCCATACGGTCACGCCAAAAGACCATACGTCACTAGCTGGTGAATTAATGCCCTGGAAAAATATAATTTATTATGTAATACTCAAAGTAGATATTAAATATTAGTACAAACTCAGTGCAGCATTACAAAATTAGGCATTCTATTGTTCATAGTACTTTGAATAAGCAGCAATTTAATTTTTAGTTAATTACTCTGTTATATATATATATATTTACCCTTATTGAAAAAAGGTAAGTGCAGAAGGCACTTCAAACCTGTTTTAGGACTTATGGAGACGGACTTAAACGGATACGACTAAAGTTAACAATACCATTGACTTATTATTTATTTTCCAACTTCAAAATGAATAATTTTCTACCAAACATTTTGTAGTATTTGGAGAATGCATATAAAATCTGCAATTACCATTAGCAAGCTCTCCCATGCCATCCAGCGGAGTGGCAGTCTCGACCCGTCAGCCATTACGTGGTAGTCACCGACAAATTCTTCACAGAACATCGCATAGTCAGATACTTTAACATTTAGATCTTCGCTCACCGTAATATTTCTGAAAAACAGAATACCTAATTAGAAGATGATTCATCTTCTAATGCGAATCGCTTTTGAGTATCCAATTTGGGGTTGTATGTCAGTAAATCCAAAATAATGTTATTTTAAAAAGTTATGGAAGCACAGTACAATGCTATTCAAATGAAAAACTTATAAAGCTTAGATCTTTTAATCTGAAACTTGCATACAATGATTCCCGTGAATGATTGTCAATTAAAAAAAATATTTAAAATATTATAAAAACACGAAACAATTTGTACTTGATGGGTATGTGAGTGAACACTTACCGGGCCGCGAGATCCCTGTGTACTAACTCGAACGATTCCAGATACTTCATGCCGGCTGCTATCTGACAGCATATGTGAATCAAACTCGAATAACTGAAAAAAATATACATAAAAAAGAAATTATAATGTTTTTTTCTGTAAATATATTCCTATACAGGCTGTCCCAAAATTCGAAAACTGGAGAACAAGGCATCACAGCTATCAGAAATAAAAATAACATAATTATATAAAAATTAAAGTACCAAAGAAAACAGATCATATATTTACTTGTTTAGATTATTCGATAGATTGATTTGATGTTTTTGTAGATGGTTTATATTTATTTTTTTGTTGGCGGATTATTTTATTTTTTAATGTTATTTTGTAATTATCTTATTTATCCTTTTATTTGAAAGAGCAATCAAAACATAGTTAAAAAAATGGTCTATTTATTTTTAGAATATACCTAACAAGGAGATTATTGTTTATATAAAAACATTAGGGCGGTTTAAAATTAATATAACATTAAGACAGTCAGACAACTATCTGTCAGTCAGTTATCTGTGGTATAATTGACTTTAAAAATTATACAGGTTTGTTTTTACTCAGTATTCTTAAATTGAAGTTAATGTTTTTTTTTATCTTGTGGTATATGAAGACAATGTTAAAAAAATAATATAAAACTTTATGTAAATAACTTAAACTATTCAATTTAAATACCTATATATATATCGAAGTAAATATAACGTGTATCAATGTGGTTTTAGATATATATTATTTTGTTTTCACCAGTCAGTCTATACAGGCTTTAAACCGCAAGCTGCCACATTTAATTACCATGTGAAACCTATTGGATAATTCGAAATGCAGACGAATGCTTATTGCAAATAGTTCGTAAAATTAAATTGATATAGATATACATATCAAACAAAATAAAAATTTTCAATAATCTATGGTTCTTTAATAGTTTTTGATTTCGTATGAGATTTGAAATCCAATTCGCAACAAATATATATTTTTTCTAATAATTTAATATAAAAAAAATTGTTAATATGAATGAAATGAATTGAATTTTAACAATTTTTAATCGAGTGTCATAGTTTATAAAAAACTCTGAAGTATTAGAGACCGTCTACAGATTACGTCACATGAGTGTAATGATTATTTGATTAGTGTGATTTTACATAAATTTTTGTAGTAGTTGAAAAATTTGTTCAATTTGCATTTCAAATATTTTTTTATTGTATTAATTTTTTTAATGTATTAATATGTTACAAAACTTCCACGTCACACAATTTCATACTACATCGACCCCACCACAAAGTGTGACATAATTTATAGAAGGCCCCTTATGTACTTACTGCATCAAATAGATACCATCGTACCTACTAGCAAAGACGTATATTATTAATTGTGTATTTCACTTCTATTTAAATATTTTTAATACATTTAATGTACTTAATGCAACTATTAAATATTCTTAAATATACCGGTTGAAAGTGTAGTGTCTCACATGGTATCTACTTTAGTACAAAACACCTTAATTAAAAATCAGTTTCATAAATAAATAAATGTATCTCGCTTAGCTTATTTGGAATAATAGACACAATAGCAAAAATTAGGGCTTACTTCAATTTCCTGTCCAGTTTCAATATCGATGGCAGGGGAACGGCATCTCCGCGGTCTAGAGCAGCGCATGGGGGCTCTAACAGGCTCAGCCCTAAAACCCTGGCGAGTTGAGGGTGTTTCAGGCCAGCGCCCCATGTAGCCTCGCGGGCAAACGCCGCTCTAGAAAAAAATATTGAGATCTGTGTGGTCACTGTAGCACAATAGAACGTGTCGCCCTTCCATTTTATTCTACCTACGAATGCATTAAAAGTGAAAGGTAATTAGATACAGTGTACCAGGCAAGAAAGAAGGAAAACTCGAGATAAAACACAGTGCTGACTTTGGGTAAGCAGCTTAGTGCTAGATATTCTTGTTATGTGTGGAGAGTCATGGGCAGCTGCCAGTAAATGGGTTGTTACGATACGACACGACTCGTAACAATGATGTAGACAATATAACTTGATACAGTGTTAAAATACAATGTGTCACTCCATTTCATCCCCAGTTTGCGATTTCATACTTGTAATATTCCTATAAAATATGGAATATTTGTTTTCTCTTGTATGGTTTATTTTAACCATATATGTATATGGAATGGTGTATCAGCCTTTGTTAACAGTATATGCTTAGGTTTAAAATATTAATGATATTTTTTATTGAGGGTTTTGAGCTATTATCAGGTGTTAAATCCTGTAGCACTGCGACCTACATAGATCTATTGTACATGCCCTATTTCTAAGTTCGCTGCCTAGGCCCGTCAGGGTAAGGAATTGATGGATATTCTTAGGAGCAATGGATTTTATGTCGTCAGGATATAGTGTATGTATACTTTCCAAAGGAGATATTTCGTCTATGCATGAATGGGCTACACCCACATAGGATGGCGTTTCCTCTTCCCCTTGGCAAAAAACCTGCAAATTGTTGCAATGGAGAGAGAAAATTAGTATGAATACAGGTGTGCCTGTTATGGCAAACTTATCAAGTGACTGTGAAGTTTTCCAGGGTGATTGTGTAGATAATGATCTGTAATTTATTCTAAAAGGCACATTTGTAGCAATGTCGTTACACTCACTTGCGCCACTATTAAACGTAGGCTCTATGGGTTATACGATATCTTCTTAGAATGCGTAGGCCTGGATGCACTTACTTGACTTCGCTATGGCAGCCGCGCCACAGAGTCTTCACAACAACAAGACGGCGTTGGTCGCCACTCGGAGACTCTTCGTCGCTCAGTTCTTCGATGCCGTCCGTCTCGCAGATCTGGAGCTGTGATAGATATAAAATTGTATGTCTATACGTACATACGTTATTACCTACATGTATAATGTTTAACTTTAGATGTAATAAAATATATTGAATAGGAAAAATAATTAAAATTACTTCAGAATTTAGCGTAGCTGTAGTAGATAATATGTACAGACATAATAGTCAATTTTTCATGACTTCTATTACGCATTATTAGTTGATTTTTTTTAATGCAATAAAAATTGTAATGTACATGAAAGTTTGAAATAACCACCTAAATAGTGCGAAACTTCTCATATGGAAAATTCTTGAAGGAGCGCGTTTACCAACAAATTGTATTTTTAAACACATAAAAAGGATGCTGTGAATTTACATTTTTATATTCCGAGGCACGTGGGAACTTTTCAAGAAAATAGTTCTTAAGCACGTAATATAGTGAGGAAGGGTAGAGAATTTCCTGTATATTCGCAAAAGCCTACTTTGGCCCAGTTTCTAAGTTTACCGACCGTGGAAAATGGCTTCGCGCCTAGCGGATTTGCAGGCCTTGAGAAAAAGCCTGCTCCAGCTTACTACAAAGGTGTACCTCTTTATAAATTGAAATCTTTCTACAAACAAGAATTATTACGTCTTTATATAATCAATTGAAATTGTAGACTTGAATAGAATATTTCTTTATTCTGCGAAAAATGCGAGTCTTTATAAAAAGTATCATAAATAATAATTAATGATAAATGTGACCAATAATAGTTAAGGAGCTACTTATAACGTTATTTATATCACTCTACTTCACGAGTTTAATTGAGAGAAACTTTGCTTATGCTTTTATAGTTGCACGGATGTCATAACTTTTAGTCCGAAAGTAACTTTATACAAGGGAGGGCTCAAGATAAAGGTATGACGTAGTTATCATTCTGTTCACATCGGCTCGGCACTGAAACGGGGTGGTGTGATTCGACGAGTTGAAAACAATCAACTAAGGATAATAAATAAAAGTATATATGTATTAGATGCAGTATACAAAGTTACTAGATTCATATTCATATTTAAAATATAAGTTTTTATTTAATGTCACTTCTTTCACTGCCTACTATTTCCCTGCTCCTGCATACTAAACGATTAAAATATTTTTTCTGATTTCAATAACTGAAAGGCTTATATCGTACTGATTTTGATTTTTGACGCGATTTCGTCCTCGAGTTCACGATAATTGACGGAAATAAGAATGTATAATCTATATAAAGCTATATAATCCTGTTTGGATTATATAGTATACTATTATATTAACTCACTAAGAATATTGATTTATTTAACAATTAATAAAGTGAAAATATTTAAATTTGGAGTAAGACGACTGGTTCCAATTGCATCGCAAAACATTGCAAAGTATCCATCCATAAATAGTAAGCCATGTTATAAAAGAAACTTCAAAATAAAAGAGAGAATGCGAGTTTAAGTGTAAATCCGTCAACTAATGGAATTAGTGTATTGTTTGTTCAGGTGGTCCACGGAGTAGGTAAGTACATGCTCTGTGGTAAACAATGTACTGTAAAAGTCCGGCTTCTGTGCCCATAGAGGCGGACTGTTATTATTTCATTACCACTGAAATAACCTCGTTAAATGTCACGTTCACGGGAAAAAATACAATGTTTTAATTTATCGAGTTTGTTTGCTTTTGTTGGTAATAAAAGAAAACTTTGCGACCATGTGTACGGAATAATGAAAAGATAAAACAACGCAGAGATGAGATTACTTTTATGTATAAAAATGAACAAATTAAAATTCACAGAAGTGCGAAAAAGTTAAAAATAAAGATAATAAGTGTAGTTCCTCCAGATTATTATGTTTAAAAGTTGATATATTAGGTTATTGTATATTAATTTGCATTACAAATATGAATGTTCTACAACAACTGTAATTTGGTTTATATTTTTGAACTATTTTAGGTACTACTATTTACTCTATTGTTTGTGTCGAATACCTTTTAAATTATACGTTGAATTTAACCAGATTAACGCAATTCGCACTTCATTAATTGTAAAGTGTTTATAAAAAAGGTACTATAAGATATACTCATATATAAGTTTAAGGCGACGGTATATTGAAATCGAAATCGCTATTGTAGAGGCAGCAGCTCGCTACGAAACGCTGCAGTGTTAATATTAATAATATTTACCGCTGCGGCAAAACTATTATTAAACATACTGTACGACATACACGATGTCGACATATGTGTATATCAAATGAGTGCTCATATATATATATAAAGTATATCTTATTATTCTACTTGAACTACCAAACAAGCTCACGTTTTAGTGACCAGAAGTGGTGACTAACAGTTGTTTACATTAAGCCTGATCAAGTGTTAAATTTGATGTTTTCCTTCTCAATTCAAGGAGCGCCTTGATTTTCTGATAGAAACTTGAAATGTACGTCAATTTGAATAATTAAATAAAATTTGGAGACACTTTTTTTAATCGGAATCGTTTTGCTAAGCTAATTGTTTTGTCATACAAAGTGTATTAATTTCATAAACTGTTGGACATTTTGGAATCAGCAAACCCAAACCTGTTTGCTAATATTATGCTAAGTCTGTTAAGATTAAACCTATATTATTAGGATTTCGTCCTATTGAGCTAGTTTAGAAATAGCTCAATAGACCTCGTTTCTTAAATACGTAAGAATATAAGTATGCAGTGATATTTGGTACCATTAAAAACTTCACATTTTAAAGAGTTGTATAGAGCCTTCAGTATGTAATAGGAAAATACATCTAAATAATGTGATGATGACAACTTTTTAAATCAGTTTTATATGGAATGTATACTTGGTTATATTATTTTATTAATGTTGTAAATACAACAAAAATATAAAAAGCGTCCCCAGCTATTATAGAGAATCTGTGGGGTAGGACAACGCGAAATCGCAGGTTGAGCGGCGCGGGGGTTGCGGTCAGATTGCATTTTCTTGCTACGCCCAGTAATCAATTTTTATGAGCATTTTTGTAGACCAAAGCTTTCTGTGGCCCTTCTATAGTAAGTGATCCATTAAATATAGCTAAAAATTTTCAAAAAGTGCAGGTTTACCTAATTTTATTTTTTTATATACAAAATATATATGTAAAAAGATCCAATCCAAAGTTGTTATCTTTACAATAGTATAAACACAGTCGCTGCCGCTGTCTGTACGTTTAGATGTTTCAGTAATTGATAGAGTGATTCAAGATGAAGTTTTATATGTATAATACAGTACATCGATACATATGATATTATAGAAAAGCCGAGAAATTAAAATATTTGTAATATATCCAGGGCGGGTCGTTAATATGCTAATAAAGTATTTGTTTTTATTTAAATAAAGCGTTATATATGATTATACTAGGAAATTACTATTTGTGAGATAAGAAATTAAAAACAACACTATGATTACGCGCAACTCCTATTCCGTCCCTCTATTCTGTTTACAAATTCACATCGTACTATCAAATGAATAATCTAACATTTGTGACAATCCCTTTCAGTGGTGTACACGTATTACAAATTTAATATTAAGCTGTCTGAGATGAAATCCATCCCAGTGGATCATTGTTGCATTAAATTGTCCCCTCCATGTTGCTTTTATGTTGGCATAGATACATAATGAAAAGCACCTTAAAATGAGTTTACACTTTGAGATATTATTCAGGAACTACAAGAATTGTATTACTAAAAATAAAATGAAACATACAATGTCATTTTTTCATTACGTACATATATGAATGTTGGCTGTCAATATTAACCCTAAATTTCATTTTCAACATAATATGTGGCACATATTATTTTATAAAATTTGTATATTATTACGACACGAAAGTTGGTGGAGACAGGTATCTACATATGGGTATACAACGTGTTTTCTGTATCTTTTGATTTTAGAATATGTTGTGGAAAGATCATCTACTTGTAAAATAAAAGTTATGGTACTTTATACAGTCCCTTTGGTGTACCCTTATATACGCAGTATAAGTATTTTCCAGGTTTATTCATATAACCAAAAACATGTTATTGTATTGTAATTCATATAGATATATAAATTACTTTTTTGCTATCTCTCTAATCCTGATAGTAAGACAATATACCGGCCAGACCAGGTTTTTTTATATTGGCCAGGTTTGCAAGCGAAACGCAAAACAAACAATAGCGCGTGCCTCTGTTGTATTTTCATTAAGAATGTTCAAACAGGGTGAATTAGTGAGCTGTAGCCACCTGTATACATCCCCCCAATGTTTGCCAGACTCCCTTGATATATTCTACCTATAAATCTGTTTAATCAGGCGGTAGGTCAATCAATTAACGAAAAAATACACAATCCTGTGCTATGGAATCAGAATAAAACAAATAGTTGTATGTATCTATTCTTTTGTTAATTTCATGTATAGATATTTCTTTCTGTGTATTGTGTATATTACACCAATATTTAATGTTTGTCAGTATTTGAATTTATGCATAAAAATAATACTTTGAAATACGGCGTCGGTTAGTTATGTATAAAATGATAACATTTTTAAAATGTTTATCATATTAAAGTACAAAACTGTTTTTTCTGCAGTATTATACAGTGGCGACAGTTGCGTATGTAAGAAAGTGAATAAAACTAGAATAAATGCTGTCCAAACGCGAACACTGCGCAAAATATGCGGATTGTCTGCCACACCGCATTCATAATACAAAAGTTGGTAAGCCTTTCACTTTGAAAGAAACTGTCGGTGAAAAAATGAGAAAGGGTACGCTATATCAAGGTAGTAGAGTAGGAAATGTAGGGTTTTTTTTAATAGATATACATGGTATGGGCTGACGAGATACAAGTAAAGTATACAATGGGGAGGATGAATTTAGGTCACTTAACTCATCGTTTATTACTTAACTGACTAATAATATTTTATATATACATGTACAAGCAATTTAGCGGTTTTCCTGACGTAAATGGTAACCCTCGCATATTTATTTGATTAGCACAGGAAGTCATCACATACAGCGTCCGAAATATTCCTAGTGCATTGCTAACTTAGATTGTTTCGTGTCTCAGTTCCTGTTCCATCTCACTCTTCAACCGAAATACAGCTTATAAAACAAACTGCATGAGGAAGCTGTAGTAGATGAGACAGAAGAATCTACGCAGACTTTGCACATAGACTATGTAATGTATATATGTAGGTAAAAGATGGAGAACCCATTGCTACAATAGAACTAAGTTATAAATAACTAAAGCATTTGATATAAATAACTATACTTAATGTATAGAACTAAAACGCCGTAACGACTATGAAATGAGCTAAAAGCATACGAATTAACTAAGTGGATGTATTGCTTGAAAGCGTTTGCAGAAACGAACTGAACGTTTTGGCAACAAATCCTAATTACACGTGGAATGCGAGTTATACAATACAGGTTCCGTACTATTCCCGCCTGTTAATTTTAGTTTAATTTGTAGATTACTACGACGCAGCTGGTTTCGAGATTAGGCTAAAACCATTCACCAATTATCGGGAGAGGTGTCTGCTTGCGAGCAGGCACTGTGTATGATTAATTAAACGTCAATAATGATATTTACTCACCATAAACACAATTAATAATAATTGCGGACTAGTGGTGTATCATATTGACCCTTAAGACTACGATAATACCAAAGTTTGGTTCTGACAATAATATATTACTATATATTTACTGACGTAGAAACTGTCGTATCAATTTATATAGGTATTCCTAATGGTCTGGTGATAGAGATACCGGCAACAAATCAAAATCCGTGACGCGGGAATGGGCTCGCCTCCTGCCATACTGAATTCAAATAGGTATATGTAATTATCCACTGAAATGGAAGTTAAAAGAGACTCTGTCTCTATCTATCCCTCCTGGGAGAACTATAGAGGTGGTATCTTTATACAATTCCTATATATTTTTTCTATCTTAAATTATTTATTAGAGTTGAGATTTATTGTCTTGCCAATGCTAAGTATGCTGCTTTTCAATATTCAGTACATATTGCATAAAATTATGTACTCCTTAAAAGACTACTAGACAGGTGTAGCCCATTTTTAATTACTTTCGTGCAAATATCTACGTTTCTAATACCTACGCTCATATAACTATGAACACTAATTACGGATATAATTTGGACAATATGCTGGTGGTTTAATATATTGTTCCTATACAAAAGGTTCTCCCCAGTTCACGGAAAGTTGGATGTACATTAATTTTGTATTATAATTATAACCCTTGTTCTAGGGATTGTAATGTTAATTTTTGATAGCTAGCTGCGAACATCTCATCTTGTACATGCCGGTTCATTTATTTACATTGTTTATAAAATTCATACTGAAATGGTTTGAATATATTCATCGATTTATTTTAAAAAGTAAGAAAGTATTCAATAGTACGTAATACCTAAATACTATTATGAAACAGTTTATTAGTATAGAAGTAATAATTTGCAGTCCATAGATTTACATGTACAAAGAATTTTCTCTACGCCGCGCCGCGCCACAGGGCTACGGCCTATTCTTTTAATACTACGTCAATCACAGATTTATTCATTTTGTTATTTGCATTAAAAAAACACATAAATAGACTGTCATGCAGGATATAGTCTTTGGATTTATTATGTCAAGAAATTAATTTTTATTGATAATTTAACAAACTTTGCTCTACAGGCGATCCTGTTAAAATTCAACGTCTGTGGCGACAAATTGTCAATAATAAAACCACAAAGAATATTTGCTTTGAAATAAAGCCATATAGCTAGAAAAATAAAATTTATTGTTATAAAATGTCATAGCGGGGACGCGGTTTAATTATTCGGTAAAAATCAAATAAAAAAATTATCTTAGTAAAAAATGGATGACTTCATAAAAAACTTGAAAAAGAAACTGTCCGTCGATAATATTGTAGACCAGATGAAGGAAGGTACGAATAAATGTTTACGATAAATTCAATTAAAATCTATATTATGCATTATTTTATTTTACAAGGAGTTGATTTAGAATAATATTCTTTTGTTCCTTTTTATGTAATAGCCAAAGTCATTGACGAGCAGGCCATAAAAGAACAAGATGTCCGAAATACTCTTTCCAAGATAGATCCAAATAATATGATGGATGTTGATGAGATAGCTTTGAAGCTGAAAGAATTATCAGACCAGTCGAAATACAAACAAGAAGAGACCAAATCACAATCGAGTAAAGTTGTGGATGCCGCCAAAGCTAGCTTCAGCGTTATCCAGAAATTCACTAAATCTGAAGATCAAACTGAGGAAATTATGGTTGAATATCCTTATATTAAAGAAGATAATGTTTTTAATTTATATGATGATTTCAATTAGATAATATTTTGGAGCTGGTTTAGCTATAAACGGACAATAAAATGTTCTGCATTATAACATTAGGTTTTATTTATATATATTTATAATGATATATATCTGTAGGAAAGTGATGAAATGCTGGCTTAAAACTTGGTATTGAGTAGGTTTAACTCGACAAATAGCGCTTGCGATGCGTGATTTTCTTATTATTAGCACAAACTGGTGTTTAGTGGGTGGACGTAAGCAGTTAGTGTGTGTGGCGAAAAATGCCGTCTTCAATCTGTCACTTTAAATGGAATCCTGTCTGTAAGAAGTTGGAAAATAGTATATATTCAGGCAGTGATTTAATATTGATATCAGAACACATGTTATTTCATAAGTAGTGTTAGGAATATTTATACTCCTATATTCTAATTTTAAATTAAGATTATTAAAAAGTTACTCACCATTTTTGTGTACACATTTTAAGTTACTGTACACAGATAAGTAAAATTTCATAATGTTGTTCTACGTGTAATGTGTAAGTATTATTTAGATTATTTTATTATTAAATTTTGTGTTAAAGTCATATATCACAAACGTAACCTTATTACTTAAATTATAATAATCTCAACATAATTTATAACAATATTAAAATAAAAATATGGTTTGGTTTATAAATAGCATAATACTAATTCTAATATCTAAGCCTTAAGCTACGTTACTATCCTATTAAGTAAATATGAGGTACGTACGGTCCCATGAGGGCCTTCTCCAAGGAAGGTGACTGGTCGCATGCGCCCCCGCGGGAAATCCAGCAGGGGCGCCACTCCGTTTGGGGGCTCGGCTTCGGGAAGTTTGATTGAGGTGAACAGACCAGGCATGGGCCGCTCACGACGGCATGTTCGTTCGTCGGGATAAGTCTGTGAAAAGAAATCGTGGTCAATTCATACCGAACTAAATCCCAGCTTTAGCATCTAAGAGCATTATTTAAAAAAGTTTAATTTATATTTTTAAATTTATTTATGTTGAGATGAACGTGAATTATTAACGTTTTTAATGACACCTATCTATAACCAGAAATCTGTGCCCACCTTATTATTGGCGGTGGTATTGATCAGTTTTTGTTACGATATTACACTGTTAATAATGTCCGATAGTACACATTTTATATGTGCCAGTAAATAACCGAGGTTCTCGGCTTAATTGCTATTCCCCCCTCTCAAGATTGTGCTCGTATAATTTATACTACACGATGAATTATAGCAGACGTGGAGGTGTGGGCTGAAGTGCGTGGACTGCACTAATTATAAGAACAAATAAACTATTACAATCGTCGACGTCCAGTAGAGGTGTATACTGTAAATCATGAGTACGTATAATTTCATACAAACTGGGATTCAACTCGTGGAAAATATTGCATACTCATGAATAACCTCGTATAATAATAGATTATAATGAAAGAACAAATTTCGTTTACAATTGAAAGCACCAGTAATAACAACCGGCACAAAAGCTTGCAGCTTATTTGTAAGCCGTACAAAGCCATAGTAAAACATTAACAAAACACCACCGGGTCCGCAAGTCGCTTTCCTCATAATACCATCCTATACTCATTTATCATTTCGCAAACGGCCGCATAATACCCCTAATGAGTAAAATCCAAGCATACCTTGGGCAATACCATTAATATTACAAACCCGGCCTCTCCCCTTTACAGATGCGTATTACTAGTAGGTACGGTATAGTTTGAAGGTTATTTGGGCGGGTTGTGTTGTTCAGTGGTTGTCAAGCTCCTTAAAAAATTCTATAAAAGCATATTTAAACCCTGTGGATAATATGAATTCGGGTATTGTGGGTGACATTTGACACAAAGTGGCTTAATTTCATTGCTGTCGGCAGGTCTTTCAAATACTTTCTTGACAAATATTTCTTTGTAAAATATTATTTTAAACGCACAAAACCTAAACGCATATAACAATATATAAATATATATGTTATATACATACATTGTACACTTATTTAATCTATTATAGTAGTACCTATGTACTATGCATACTATGTACACAGCAAGCAAGGTTCCAAAAATATTGCTGTGGTAGAGTAGAGATTTACTATCCTGTCCGTACACCTTTCCCTAATTCACCTACCATGTGTTCGCTTCCAAATTTTTCAAAGTTAATTGCCGCGTAACTTAACTCATAAATTTTATTTATGAGTAAATAGAATAAGCTGGCGGCTATGCAAAGCAATCCATTATTTAATTCAGCTCCAGTGTCACACCCCCACAACAGGGGGAGAGTGGGCGTTACGGGACATGTGACATATTCTCGCGTCGCCCGGGGGTACTTACAGTAGGTAGTGTTGCGGCTACATGTTACCGTGTGTTACAGTAATGGAGTACCCGCGGAAAGTGCGGAGGCAAGAACGACGTCGCGCTAAAATGATGCACAAAACATACTAAGTAAAAAGGATGTAATATTTTCAGTAACTCATTGTGTACAAGTCACGTCTGTTTTACTTTGTTAGCGTATGTTATTGATAATGGTTATAAGAGCAGTAATTTAATAAAGTAATATATATCAGATAGAAATTATAAATTAGTGTTTATTAAAAAAGAAATACGATTTTCACTAAGCTCATTAAATTACAAAGTTCAATGCAAAAGTTAGGGGTTCCCAAGGATCTGGGTCCAAATTACAAAACTGAGTTTTCCCGGTGAAAATCCTCATTATCTAAGTTGGTATTTGCCTCAAAAGGTCTCATTTAGTGCACTCTCATTTCGCCCGACCTACCCAACAATGATTACTAAAGTATTTCATTTTGAGACGCCACCGCAGGGCTGGGCTTCGTTTACTTACAAAAAGTAAACTTAATATTGTTGCTAAAGAATATTCAACGTTGCAACTGTACATTAGTTACATTAATGTAAATAATCAGCATCTTAAAAATACTCAGTGTATTTAAATTAAAAGAAATAAAAGTTGAAACTAAAAGCTGTTGACAACTCAATTGAAAGCTTCTGGCAGAGTAAACGTGCTTAGTTACATTTCTAGAAGTATATAAAAAAATCACATATAATCATTAAAAATATTGTATATATAATGAACTAGTCATGTCATTAAATATGTACCTAATATTATTATACATTAAAAACTAATTAAGTTCAATGATATTTAAATGACAAGAAATGCAAATGGGAGCCTATAAATAAGCGTGTCTGAGCATATATAATATTCGCGGTGAATATTACACGAGAGTCCGCTGGACCCCTGTAACTTACTACCCTGATTTAACATGTAATAGGGTCTAATATATATTTTAGAATACAGGTGTGTTTACTGTTAAAATAAGAATTGTTAATATTCAAATCAAAAAATACGAATCAACATATTAAACAGTAACAGTCTTTAAATTTTATTTAATCTTTCATTTTATAGTTACGTAACTATAAGTAGGCATTATAAAATAATAAAATGAAAGATTAAATAAAATTTAAAGATTTTATGTCGATACTTTTTGTATCATTCCTTTAATAATTGAAATCTACTTCCTATATAAGCATGTACCTACCTACTATATTATACTACCTTCCGTCCACTAATCGATATATGTATGTGTATCATGGCGTTTTATATGTATCGTATCGTGATTAACGAAGTTAAACGTGTCTTCATGTAATATTACCTATACTCATGAGGTAAGTGTTTGACAAAGTAAGGTACTGCCACTACAATGTAATTTAAAATTAAGCGAGGCCAGATCTCAGGTGTTCTTCAGTAAATGCATTAATTAAGATTGTCGGGAAAAACCTTAAACAAGGCATGTAGTGGGGCACTAATTAGCTTAGTTACCTCGCTGGCGGTGTGCGGTCGACATTTCAACCTCCGCGACCAAATACTTATTTATATTTATACCCATTTAGAGAAGTACTGCATACCATCCACGCGTTAGAGTTTAACGATTGAGATTTGGTGAAAATGGAATTTATTATTTATTATAATAACTAGTTTGAAATTATCAGGTCAAAAATTGAATCTAGTTACATACATTTAATACAAGAAAATTCTGAAATTTACATGTAATTAAATATACATTATGCAATTGATGAGCTTCGTTAAATATGTAAGGTTTCAAAAATCTATAGAACTAAACTCGCCTCTTGCGATATCCCATTTAATCAAAGGCGAATGTATAAAATAATATAAAATATTATTTATTTTCGAATTCTAAATTGTTAGTTTGTATTGTAAATGTTAATTAAGAGTATCATACTTACAAAAATATAATTAATACCTACTATACTTCAAATCGAAAATAAAAATATAATAAGTTTGTGATTCAATCCTACTTTATATTTTATAAATATAGCAAATTATATTAAGAGTTACGTAAAACATATGTCTAAGTTTTCAAATCACACCAAAAAATATTTCTTGTGTCTTTCATTTCCTTTAGGTGGCAAGAGAGTTAGTGGAGAGTGGCACGAGATAACGAACTTTTGTGGACCAATTAATAACAAAAAGACCCAACTTTAGGTATACCTGTAAGATAACAATTCATACTGATTGTACTGTAAGAGTATTGTTATTTATTATGGAATTATATTAATAGTATCTTCGTTGAAATATATGTTAATACGTACATACATTTTTTAGATATGAATGTATCAATATGGCTTTCCTATTGACTTATGTTTGTTTATATTCTTTTGACATACAGATTTAGAGTTAATAAAGTGATGTAATTTGTCTAGACACTGGCTGTAGCAATGATTAATATTTGCATTTACATAATTAAATATTACATACATATATATAACAAATTTACCGTTAAAGTTTATCAGGTTCAATTAGATATGACAAGTTATTACGAAACAAAGTTGTAATTACAAATATAAACACGAATAAATCATTTAGGCTAAAATACTACCAAAAACAAGAATCGTAAAGAGATTTGAGAGAGATCCCAACTCTAAAGGAAGGTAATCCTTGAGTGGGCAGCTAGCATACGTCGTTTGAGCAAGCTCCCAGTGTCATTATAAAATACGGGCCGCAATGTGGATTCACTTTGAGAAATGGAGAGCGGGTCTCTACCACCTGGGTCCCATACTCATGGCTACGATCCATGTAACTTTGTCCTGTTTTTGCCACTTTTGTTAGCCATTTGCTTTATTTTTATCAGTTTGGAATCTTGTATTCACTACAAGTGTAGGAAATAATAAAGAGTAACTTAAAATAATAGATCATTTGCTGACAAAACTGTATAAATATTCAGTTGCTTCTTTCGTGACAGATTTTAATACTAAAACTAGGAAGTTAATCCTTTAAGCGAACAAAATAAGTATTTTAATATGTTTAAATTACAAGATACTCGGCTATCTACTTAAAGTTTTTGATTCAAGAGTAGCATTAAAGAGTGAAGTAGTTTTAATAAAGTCAGTCAAGTTTTAAGGTTCGTTACATGGCACAGCTGCTACTATAAACACTCAAGTTTTAAGCTTCGTTATGTAGCGCAGCCGCTTCGTTTACTTAATTACTGCATAATCGATAAACTGTGGTAATTAATTACATTTAACCAAAACGTATAAATCCATTTTATTGTCACACTCATCTTTTTCACTCAGCAGATTATAGACATACCTATAGTAAGAAAAGGAGAAAAGAGTTCGAAAGTATAGGCTTATGTTAGTTTTCTTTTGATGATTTTATACATCAATATGATTAAAACAAAGTTAATAGTAAGTTTAAATAACATTAAACTTACTTTTGTATTTTCTTTTAATTTATTTCACCTGAATTTGGATAATTTAGTATGTGTGTTTGGGTGAGAGCTGTGGTGTTCTTATTATCTGATCATATAAAAACAGTGTGATAATTGTTCGTATTAAAAAATAAGGTTCTAAGTTGCTAGTAAGTAATTT